ACCTGACCTGCACTATCTTGTGCAGTTTGCAGTAAATATTGCTTTACATCAAGGTTTGTACTGTTTGAATTGTCAAAGTTAAAAATAGCGAAGGTGAAGTTAAGAACCTAAGAAATGAAACGCAGCAGCCAATTTGTGAAATAAAACTGGCAGAATACAGTAGTTATGCCTAATTACTTTTTTAAAAAAAGGCTTTAATGACTTTTGTCCAAAATTTACATTAACATTCAATGTAAGGATAAAGATATTCTGTCTTCTTGAAGTATTGTCTGGGGAAGAAGATCAGCCACACATCATTACTGTGGAAGTGATGTGTTCAGTCTGATTTACGCCAATACGTCCTGTGCCTGTAAACAAACAGTTTGCCAGCCTTTATGTTTTTTGCATAACGAAGGCAGTGTCCCCTTAAATCAATAAAGGTACAAATGACTTTAAAATTAGCTTTTGAGGCAGATGCTGACAAGTGCCATTTCCCACAGATTTTATTTCACTACGAACAAATAACATTTCGGGGAATTTGTTTTCTGCCTCAATCTCCTTTCCTGAAAGCTTTAAATCTCTTTACGTTTCTGTTGGCTGCCCCCTAATAGTGACAAAGAGCAAGGAGTGTTGGCTGGCTATTCAACTACTCTCCGCACCCAATACACACATACTCCAGCAAAGGTTGCTGGACAAAAATCAAGAATGTGAATCCTGGCTTAATTTCCCTTTCTGTCATCAGGCCATTGTGGCCAATTGTAGTACCCAACCACTACCCTGACTAAGATCTCAACTCAGACCAGAGATGTACCCCAGGTTCTTCCCATCCCTCAACTACTCATTGGGCAGGGTGAAACGTTAGTCAAGTTTCCTTACTCCACACGCCTGCTTACTTAGCAGTAGGAACCTGGTTGTTAGTCGATTGGCAGATCGCTTTTCTGTGGGTAATAATCTCTTCAAAACAAAAAATAAATAATAATTTGGTCACTCAATCCACGGCTGTTTGTGGGCTACTGCTGTGTGCAATTGGTTGCCTTGTTTCGCCCACAAAATATACAGTCAATTCACTTTGCAGTATATTCTGTAAATCGTTTGAGATGTCTCGAAGACTTGATCAGGGGCTATATCAAATGAAAGGATTATTATTATTTTTCTTGGATAAACTCGCTGAGCCATCAAGAGGAAGTTTTATGCCAATGGCGGTTACCATTTATAGCTGAAACACAGTCTACTTTCAGGTTTATTCTTGCTTTTGTTTCCCAGGCTTTCTCCATTCCTGGGTCGACATGACAAATACTGACCTGTGACAGACGACAAATTGGTTATGAGACATTTTTATTACAAATCGGGGCTCGTGAAAGAAGTAAAAGAAGAAAACACTACCTGAAATTAGGTCGAATTCTGACCTGCCCTTAGCTCTGTCCCCTGTCTGCACTTGCCTCAACTTTATGTTTGAATTGGTCATTATTTCATCTTTGCTTTGTATATCCACTTACCCTCTGCCCTGAATCATGTTCTCCTCTTTATACTCTGTACTCTGCTCTCTAATTTGAACTATAATTTATATTTCTAACTCTTCATTCTAAAGTCCTTGCTAAGAATGCCAGATCAGCAACCATGGAAAATTCTGGAAGTGACCAAGCGGAGAAAATAAGAAACACAGGCAATTAAAAATAAAAGTTACAAAGCACAATTATGGAGCAAAATTTTTTAAATTGAGTAATATTTAATAATACGTTCTGAATTCAAGTATCACTAAAAACAAGGAGAGGGGAGTGCAGTATGTGATATTATTATGATGAATCATATTGCATCATGTAATACAGTACATTTCTCTTTCCAGTTATTGTTCTCCCCCCACCCGCCCAGTTGTGGACCATTAATCTAGTGAAATACGGTTCATTCTTAGTCAAGTCTTAAAAGAAACAGTCAGTGAAAATCCTGGTCCAACCTTGCTCATTCAAGCAGTGGGTCTGCAGCACAGAAGCCCTTAACAAATATAAAGGTAACTGAAACCAATCAATTTTGAGCAGACAAAGTGAGTTTGTGATTCAATCACTTGAGAAGAAATGGCTAATGTAGCAGCACAGAGCACCAAGTGCAGCACTTGTTTTTTTGCAAGTCAAATGTTCAAGGTCATCTGCAAGACCACATAGACATCAGTAGGGCTTTTATTAATGCTGAAAGGTTTTATAAAGTGCTTGTCTAGACCAAAGTGGGGAGAAGGTGTTGTGTAAGAATACATGGATCGTGACCAGGTCATTTTATTAATCATGTTCACAGTTTGCCCAATCCCCACATAGATCATTAGCAAAACTCCAGAATCATTATCAAACCACAAATCGCTGCTATTGAACACTGGCTTACTGGCTTTTTAGAAGGATATTAGACTGTAGTTGGAAGGGAAGAATGAGGAAAGTTAGGGGTACCACAGTCTTAAAGAATGGGAGCTGGCATGACACGTGAGTTTTGATTTCCACACGCTGAATCATATGCTTTGAAGGACCTTCTTCATCCAAACTGTTGTGATCTTGATGATACATAAATGCTGAGATGTAAAGAGTAAGGAGAAAAGGCAGCAGGATGGCACGGGATAAAAAGAAATCTGTTACCAATCCAAAAACTCACAAAAAAAGCAGAGAATTGAGTTTCGAGTAGAGGAGCTAGGAACAGGCCAGACTCAGTGGACTAAATAGCCCACTTCTGAACTACAATTTGGTTTATTAATATTGTTCTCATTTTACTGAAAGCCTGATGTAAGTAAGATAGAGAGAGTGAGTAAAAGGATGCCATTTAATTTGGATGTTCAGATGAATTCCATAAATTCTTTGACATTCAGCCTCACATTCCTGTTTGAACCCTTTGATGCCACAGCCTTTTGGACTCATCCATGTATATTTCATACAGTGTGACTTCTTGCTTAATTACCTCCAATCATATGCAATGGTGTCTTTTTCTCCCCTCCACCCTACCCACCCCTATCTGCCTGGGCCATCACTCTTCCAGAGTGAGCGATTGGTGCTGCTGTCACAAGCCTGTCAGCTTGGGGACTGCACAATCCGAAGGCACAGGTTTTCATTTTAAAGCTTCATTAAGCAGCTCTCTACACCACAGTGTCTGGGTAAAACAAATTGCCGTTCATCTGGAGCTTAAGCCAGATGGTGAGAAACTGAAAATCTGCTGACGAATCTCCCTTACAATTCAGGAACAATTTAGGTTAATAAGCTTGTAATGTGCAAGTGGATCAAGTGTAAAGGGTGTACATGAACAGAGCGTTCATCAAAATGTTAGTTGCTGCATTAAGGTTGCATTGAAGGCAAACTGCCATCCAGGGAGCGAGTGGTTCACATTTGAAAACTGACTCTGATCAAAATCACCTCTCAATAGGTCACTCGAGGCACAATGTTATGGATTTACCGAAGAAACTTCAAAAGCTCCATAAAGACAGAAGGAATAAAAAAGCATTTGAAATTGATCTAAAAGCAGATGTTACACATTAAGACCAATATGACTGTCACACTACAGCATTCCTCAGGATTTCCAGAGCTCTGTGTTTAAAGAAATTACTGTACTGGAGTCCATTATATGTCTTCCTTTCCTGAAGATCCTGGATTACGCTGGGATCAGCCAGATGTAGATGTGCAGCCATCAGATAGCCACTGATAACACACATAAATGCTGAGTGAGCCAGTCAGTGAGCGTTTGAACACTATGCTACTATGGAGAGGTTTGGCATCTTGATGCCGTCTTTACCTGCCACACATTGAGTGAATGTGGAGGATGAAAACTGTGAGCGCACTGCACACATGATGTTATACATGCAGCGTCCTGGACACCATGACTCCCATCATGCTTCAACAACAACAACTTGCATTTACGTAGCATCCTTCACACGAGGTAGCATCCCAGAGCACATCACAGTGGCGGAGTCTCACAACAAGCTAGGGGGAGATGGAGGGAGGAGGTGACCGTAAGCATGATCAAGTCCGGGGGCACCCAGAAAAGCACAAGCCAACACAGCCAAAAGCAAAACCCTGAGGATGTACTTATTATTGTAAATTATTCGTGGCATACAGGTCACTTCGGTTAGTTATCAACAGTGCCCCAAGGCTAGCCCCTCCATCAGCAGCAAATGGTAAACTAAACTAACAATAGACATTTTAAATTGCAATACGTGAACCAGTAAAAAAAAGTTTGTACTGAATTTACAGCTGCTTCAGAATCCATTGAAGCCGAATATAATATACCATTTATTTTTAATGGGAAATGATGTAGAAGTCCCTTGTAAAATAATTCAACGCTGTTCAGGCCAACGAGCAAAAAAGGGCCTTGGTTGGCAAAAGTCACACAGCTATCACGAATAGCTGTGCGATTCCAGGTGACTTTTGTCAGCCAAGGTCCTTTTTTGCTCATTGGCCTGAACAGCGTTGAATTATTTTACAAGGGGCTATTCGTGATACATTGATGTTCAAAGGGACTTTAGAGAAGAGCTTCAAAAGGAAATGACACCACCCCATTCGTGGTGCTGTGACCTCAGTTACATCTTATCTGAAAGTGGCCATGAACAAATCAGCACTACCTTAGTACTTTACTTAGGCCTTCGCCTACGAATACACAGTCACTACACTTCACTAAAAACTTGTGAAACACTTTGAGATGTCTCAATAACGTGATAAGGCGTTATATCAAATGCAAGTATTGTCATCATGATTATCATTACTGATGTCAGCTTAGATTATGAGTTCAAGCTTTTGTGTAGTCGTTCAAACCCACCTCTTTCCGTCCCAGACATGAGTGTGCCACCATTTCAGCCGAACTGTTTATGCCAGTAGTGTGAAGACTGCATCACTGGTGCATTCAGGTGTTCTAACACTGCTTCTGGAACAACAGTGGTGCCTCATTTCTTCTGGATTGATTTTGGCAGCGGCAGCATTACGAGATAAATGCACACAGTAGGGACAGCATTGATCCTGTCAGACTCCACCTGTGATGTACTTGTATTGAATATGTTGTCTCTCCAGATCTGTTTTGTGAACCTGGATGGACTAGAAGCAGAGAATGACAATCAAGAATTGCAACAGGTAAGGGATTGGGAGCAACACTATTTTTGTTTGAGTTGTGTGTGACGTTCCCTTGGTTGGAGAAGACATCTCAAAGTTTTGCGTCCAATTTCTTTTTGAAGATTGCTTATTAATAATACTTTTTACTTAAGGCATTATCATAAATAGCCAGAACAAAAGAGGGAGTGCAGTATTGTATATCTAAAAATAAGAGAGTGGCATGGACAATATATAAATTTTTTCCTTTTGAATCTAGAAATTAGCTTCCGTCTCTTCGGATCTCCCAGACCTCATCACTTCACTAAACGTTTGCCAGCTCAAAGATAATGAACTCGTCCTTGTTAACGGATTAATTTCACCAGAAAATCATCCGGAGAACTCGGATGATTCCCAGGTAGGAATCTTGTGATTTTGTGTTGTAACGGTGCAGTTGTCTAACACAACAACAACAACAACTTGCATTTATGTAGCACCCTTCACCCTGGATGGCATCTTGGAGCGCTTAAAACTAAAATCCTGAAGGTTGGTGTAATTAAAGTTGTTGAAGCTCCTCTTCATTACCCAACCACCAACATTGACCAGAGTCTAAAAATAATGCCACCTCAGACAATGAAAAGAACCCAATATCCAGGCAACAGCATTTTTTCAAAGCTACCATGCTGCAAGTGTACATTAGAAATGTAGCAACTATGCTAGGTAAGCTATTGAACAGTGTGTTATAACACAATAAATATTGTATTGAATACAATATGATGAGTAAACAAGAGCTTTGAGGAACAGGGAAAGGCCTTTAGGCCCAATAACCCTGTTCCATTTGATCCTGACACCCACTTCCCTGCATTTTCACCCTAAATGTATCCCCAAATCCTTTCAGCAAATTTTCCTTTCAGAAAATTATCACAGGCCTAATATCTCTTAGCCTTGAGCATTGCCTTAACATAGTACTAATAATAATCCTTGCATTTGATATAGTGCTTATCACGTCTCAAAGTGCTTCACAGAATATATTGTAAAGTGGAGTGACAGTATTTTGTGGGTGAAACAATATAACAATACAAGTTTGTTTCGGAAACATTTAAGATTGTGCAACTTTTGCATTTTTACTCCTAACTTTACTCTTTATTCAATTTTAACTAGTATTGTCTGGTATAGGAACGCATCACTGTTGTGAACATCCTTTACCAGAAATGTGTTGTTAAACATGATCTAAATCATCTGATCTCATCAGATCAGGCTGCTGCATCTTCAAGTCTGTTCATTCACCCCCAACATTATGTCTCAGGGGATTATTCCGCTACATTATGTACCTTTAGGATCTCCATTAAGTTCCTTTTGTGCTGATAAATAACTATCACAATTATTACATTGTAAAAAAAATTAAATTATACATTTAAAATGTAATAATTTAAAAGGCAAATAGATAACTACTTGATAGACAGGAGTATCAAGGGATATAGAGAGAGAGTAGGAGGGTAGAATTGAGTTGTGGATTGTCCATGGTCTTGGAAAGTGATGGGACAGGCTCAATGGGCCAAACTCTTGCTCCTATGTTTCTTAATCGCAATACATTCATTTATGAAAACATTTGCTGAAGTTAACAGACGGCGAAGAATAACACTTAGCCCGAAACAATGAATTCGTCATTTGATACAAAATAATATCCAGCATTAATGTTTCCTAAATGACGCTGCTCTGCCATGCTGTTATTTCTCTCGCTGAGTAATACTGAACATTGCACAAAGTATGTAATACACTACCTACCAGCTGGGATGTTAGTAAACATTTGATTTCATTGAGACTTCTAAATGAGGAGTCAAGGCACTTCAATGCTGAGGTTGGAAAGAGAAGGAGAAAGGAAAGATTAAGCAAGAAGAGTGGTTAGATTATAACAATATTGGGTTTAATAGCCTGTATATTTGTAGGGAAAAGGGATGGAGGGAGGAAACGGAACAGAACTATAGATTGGAGCGCAACCTGATAAGGGGATGCACATGGTTGCAAAGAACAGATGTTAAGCTAACAGTGTTTTAGTTCGATTTGGTTAATATTACATTAATAAAGATACTCCACATGTTTGTGTAACTTTATTACTGCAATATTAATATTTGTATTTCAGTGCATGAGCTGAAAACAAAGCCAGCAGCCCAGGGAGACAGCAGTTTCCCTAAACCTAGGGCTAATGTTTGGTAAGAAATTGTGCGACAGAAACCCATTACTGGTATTTTATTCTGAAATATCAATTGGGGAATCAATGCTCATCTGCGAAATGATTCATTCACTTCAGTTTCACGCTTCTCTACATTGGTTCATTTCATAATCACTTGGCATCTAATGAATAAAATTGCTAAAAACATAAGAACATTAGCAAAATTAAGTAATAGTCTCCATAATTAACAGGGCAGAGAAAACATCAGAGATTGCAAAACCAACCCCAGGAAGCTGATGAAGCAGTTCATATTTACAGTTCAATCCTTATCGAAAGAGGCTGATCAAGAATCTGTATTTAGGGCTATTTGCTACTGTAAATTTGAACTTTGTCCTTTCATTCCTGGAACTATGAGTTTGGATCAAGCTCAGACTAATGGTGTGAACATCTCTGCCAGTGCCATGCAAAGTATCATCTTATTAGCAGTGGCGCTTGCTTATTTTGACTTGAAAACATGACTGTTATGATGCACGCAACTCTTAAAAGTAAGTACCACTCAACATCTTTAATGAGGTTGCAATCTGAGTCACTCATGCTGATCCTAAATTGTCACTGCTAACATTTATTTTATGTTCACAACTCTGTTGCAAAATTAATCTGGACAGGCTTAATCCACTTCCTTTTTTTAAACTGTGACGTCAAGGATCAAAACCCAAATATTTCAGGACACCGCAAGGAGTAGGAGACAAAGTATTGGTTAGATGATTCCAAGCTTTTAAACAATAAATGCCAATAGACCCATAGAAATTTACAGTGCAGAAGAAGGTCATTGAGCCCATTGTGTCCATGCTGGTTCTTTTAAGGGCTAGCCTTTCAATCCCATTTACCTGCCTTTTCCCTATTTCCCCTTTAGTTTACTATTTTTTAGTTATTTATCAAGTTCCCTTTTGGAATCCAATATGGATTCTACCTCAACTACCATTTCAATTAGCAATCCAAGGCGATCCAAATCTTAGCATCTCCTAATTTGCCCATTTGCTGGTTTGCTAATTGAAATTAATGCCCTCTGGTCACTGGCTGACTGACCAGTGGAAATAATTTCTCCCTATTGACTCTATAAGAGCCCCTCACAATTTTAATGACCTCTATCAGGTCTCCCCGCCCCCACCTCCCAATCTTCAGGAAGAGAAGACTCAGAGTGAACAAGGAGTTCTGAGGTCTTTAAATTGTGAAAGGATTGAGCCAAGAGTTGGAAATAGCAGGATGAGTTTTGATTTTAACAGCACGAGGACATATGGAAGAAGAAGTGCAGTATTTGGAACTTTAATGAGTGTGGGCCCACCACACAGACACACGCTTTCATTTTGCTAGAACAAAAGGTGGAGGTGGTTTAGATTAATGAACAGTTATCTGGGCTGGATTGCAGAGATTTATGAATTGGCTGTTTTTTTATTTCTTATTTATAGTCCAAGTGTAACGTTTCTTGACGAACTATGTGGACATAGATTCCACAGCGAGGTGCATATCAAAACCTAAATTGGTGCAATCTCACTTGTCTGTCACATGTTTGCCTTACGCAGAGTGTAATATGTACAGCAATTCTCACTTTGCAGGCAAAATGGAAATGTGGTGAATTCTCCCTGGGGCACTATTAATTTCTGTGCTATTTCTCCATTAAAATCACAACTTGCTGTGATCAGGATTGCTTGTATTTTTCACGCTGAGAGGCTTGTCAACATTGACAATGCTCATATTTATTAAGTAAGGAGTCCATGTTGAGTCCAGAAGGACTTGACTTAAATTGAGGTGAAAAATAAAATTCTCAAGGTCTAGTTTTCAGTTGTGAAAGTCAAGATTTACTAAAATAAATATTAATTCAGTGAGATCTGAATTCAGCTAATTCTAATTCTACAATGGCTACAGTAGTGGAACTGCACAATTAATCACTTCTAGCTCTATAAAGGGCATATATAACTTTTTGTATATATCCACCTATGGATATATAATATATATTTGTATTTGAATAGCTAAATTACAGTAGTAATATATCCATTAGCTATATCATAGTATGTGAGCTGTCAAATTATAAAACAGCCAGAATAGCAGAGAGAGACAAAAATTCCTCAACCTATCAATGTAATGCCAATCATTTTTAATTTAAATTTAACTTTTGGCAAATATTTCAGGAAGGCCTTTCTAGAGAGAGAAAATTGTTGAGATCAGAAATCACTAAAGTTAAATTAAGTTTATTGGGTAAAAAGATTTACTCAGAAGGCACATTTGATTAAGTAATTTACTGTCACAGTCTGACTCGTAGAGATTTTATTTTAATTTCATTGAAAGTGGATAAAATAATAATAATAATAATAATCCTTGCATTTGATATAGCGCTTTTCACGTCGGGAGGACGTCCCAAAGCACTTCACAGAACACACTGTAAAGTGAATTGACTGTATATTTGTGGGCGAATAAGTTAAATTGTAGCAGTTCCCAAACTATTGGTAATGGTTGATTATATATTAATTAGGTGGCCTACATTTTTCATTTGGAAGGCTACGCTCAACTCACCGTGTAGAACTGAGCTTTGAACCCAGTCAGAATTTGTTCTGGATTACATTGGAGTAGATGTGAATTATTCAAGTCATCAACGTATACAGAGAAGAGCAAATGCGATTTGTTTTCACTATCTGGGGATCTATTGAAGGGACTTCATACAGACCTGAATGGAAAGGAGACTCCTTTAAGGGAGATTGATGTGTAATTAACCTTTCTGGTGCTATTATTTGAATCCTTGAAAAAAACGATTACTCTGAATGTTATTCCAACCTCCAAAATGAGGTGGGCAGGAGGAGGAAAAGAGTTGGTAAGTCAACCATCAGAAATTCATTTTAAGATTAGGCTGGGTTTCAGAGTCTAGTAAAAATCAGGTCAGGTGAATAAAAAGTCAAATTCAGATTAAAAAATCAACAGAATTGAGGTAGAGGTAAGGAAATGAGACAGGGATCAACAGGTGGATTAGTGCCGGAGTCTTTAGAAACATTTAATCAATATTTTGTGGTAGATGCTCATTTCAGCACATTAGGTTTAATATTACAGTATTAAAGCCTATCCTGACATATGGATGGCTTGAGTGCTGTAATATTACTGTACATTTCAATATCACAATATGTCTCCATTTACATTCTGAAAAATATAGTTTTTTTAAAAAAATAAAACCTAGAGTGAGAGAAATCTATTCAACCCCATCAGCCTGCTTCCTTCCAATTCATGCGTATCGTGTATGGCCCTCGGCTGATTCAGTTCCTTAAACTCTCTCCCTTGGCAACCACATGTAATAAATTTGAGTCCATCACACCTCCATTTTGAACCCTAGTTGCCGTTTCTAACAGTAGTACAGAAAATCCCATCCGTTGATCGAGTATGTTAATCCTACCCAATTATTTGGAAGACCAGTATCTCTTCTCTTCTCTTGCAGTGTCGCAGACCATCAGACCTGTGTTTAGTTCAATGCGCAAGAAAATGTAGGAAGAATGATGTGGGCTGTGTCATCTATGAAATAAACAAATGCTTGATTGGCTTGGAATCTGTTCAGGCGAAAAGGTTACAGCCTCAAGGCAGCTCCATTCGCAAGGCAGAGGATGACACCAATTGCTCAGTGTCATCTATTGAGGAGGATTTTATCACCGCCTCTGAACACCTGGATGAAGAGGAATATGAAATCAACATCTCAAATGGTAAGATAATATTTAACCCTCATACTGCCACAGAATTAGGGCAATGTCATTCTCTCTTGACCCATTGTTCCTGTGCTTTAACAGTAACAGTATGATACTAATGTTGAATGTTAGGAGAAGCTTCATTATTGTAATATTTACCCTAAACTACAATTTTAAAATCAAAATTTTAAATTACTGATTAACCGTCTCCTGTTTTTCCTTCTTACCCATTATCAGCCCTATTTTTATATTTTTGGACTTTACATTTTCTTTTTCTGTCTAACCTGTACCATGCTCCCAAACCTCTTTCTAATAAAAATGAAGTTTGAAACCTGTCATCTTACAATCAGACCAGAAGTGTCACAAGTTTGATTGCTGGTCTGCGCTCACTTAGCTGATCTCAGCTGGGGTGGTGAGCAGGGATGTTACAATTGGACTCAGTGGCCCTGAGCTAAGGATGGAAAATCAGTTCCCGGTCACTATCCTTTGCACCATAATCCCTTTAAAGTGCAAGTTGATGGTGGTTATTGGGTCAAGCTTGGCTAGGATGCCCCTGGTGGTCAAACAGTTTGCTGGCATTTGCAGTCTTGGTTGGCACGGAGTGTGGCCACTTGAGCAAAGTACTGGAGGGTATGGACGACAACAGCAAACAACAACTAACTGCATTTATATCTCACCCTATACATCGAAATGACAAGGTGCTGGACAATGAAGGGTTTGCACCCGAGCTGGGGGCTGGAGTTGAGAGAGGAGGGCGGCAAGGGAGGTGGAGGTGGGAGGATGACTGAAGGTGCGGTCAAAGAGGAAGGTCTTGAGACGGGACTTGAAGAGGGCAATGTAGGGAACGAGGTGGACGGACTCCTGACACAGTGGACAGTCTCAGTGCCTGAACATGGACAGTGCCTGAGGAGCTGTATGGTGGCATGAGTCAATGACTACAGGAAAGGAGAGGGAAAAGAAAAAAGAAGAGATAATTGGGAAAAGAAATAGATGTTTTTAAACACAGAGAAACTGACACTTATACTTGTAATTATATTTTTTCACAGACACTTTGAGGTTTGGTAACTCAGACCCATCAAAAGACATGAAAAAGTTAAAAGGAAAACCTCGAAATCTCATGCAGACTCGACAAGACAAAGTCCTACACGCAAAGACTTGCCGCGGTGACGAGACCTTCCGAACAGCAGTGGCAAATTCAGGCGAGGAAAATACCAGGCGGGTCATATGGAAGCTTCAACGGGAAAATCACGTTTCTCCTAGTTATAGAGGGAAAACCAGTAACAAAGCTGAAGAAGACTCTTGGAGAACTGAACCCGTTGCCTTGAGTTCTGTTGAGAGAGGACAGCTCGCCTCCTGCACAGCTGAATGGGCTGGTCAGTCGCTTCAAAGGAACCTTCAAGCAGATTTCATGGATACTAAGGCAACTGGAGATCAACCGAATGTTTCTTCATCTCTTGAGGATAATGAATATGTAGAGGGTGAGTATGCTTCAAACTTAGCAGAATCTGTTCTGCAAGATGCCTTTATCAAGTTGTCCCAGTCAGAAGCCACCTTTACAACTGAAGCTGCAGTTAGCATCTCGGCAGGAAACCACGCTGCCCTTTCAGCCTGCGATGTGAAAGAAGACCCAAACCCTCCTTGCCCATGGAACATCCTTCCCAAAATTGTTATCGTTCAAAGCCCGGACAACTGCGAGAATCCTGCAGAGTGGCAAGAACCGTCAAGCCCAACAGTGACCTCCTGCCTTGATTCTGATCATCTGGTAAAGGATATGCCTTGTGCAGAAGAAGGAGCCTCCAGTGCATGTCATGACACAAGTGAACGTTCACCCACTCCTGTAGAAGTAGCACTGGCTTGTGCAGCTAATGTTATAGGAACTATTTCAAGCCCCCAACTTACTGAAAGTTTACAGTTGGACCAAGCCTTAAGCGATGGATCAGAAAACTCGTCTTACGAAGGAAACATTGATGAAGACGGAACCTTGTTAAACCATTCTGAATGTGATGGAGTGGACTTCTGCTTCTCCTCTGCTCTCTGTGGCGTGACTCAGGTGGCCAGTGCTGTGGCAGTCGCAGGCTTAGGCGACGGACCAGACCTCAGCTTTTCTGTGGCTTCAAGTGGCCTTTTATCTGCCGCTGACACATCTGCTGCAATTCCTCTGCAATGCAATGTGAGTGTCAGCACCTGTATGGACAACTTTGCCTACAGCATTGCTGAGGTGCTGGTCAAAGAAGCAGCCAATGTTCTCCTGAAGCCAGACCTTTACAAAAGTGTGGGAGACTTTCTTGAATCTATGGACAAGAAGTTAATTGAAACAGTGACCAAACCCAAACTATCCCAGTGGGAGGAATCATCAAGAAATGATTTTGCCCAGAATGTGTCAAATTTAATTGTGAAGCATTCCTTCCAAGAAGCTCAGAAGAGAGTGGGAACAACATGCCAGGCAAACGAGACCAGTTCGGGGATGGATCTAAATAATATATTTGTGGACAGTGCTCAAGAGTCTCTTTTCAACGTGATCTATTTCACGTGTCGGAAAATCGGGGACATTGGGAGACACAGTGATGCATCCACAGTCTTTTCTGAAGATGATGGCTATGACTGGAAGGAATTTGATTTCAGTCTTAAGCAGAGGGGCAGGATGTCAGAGAAATCATCGCAGGATCACAATAGCGAAGAGAGCTTTGAGAATTTTGACCCACCAGCTAATTTCCTTTTTGCCCAAGAAAGTCAAGAAACTGCAAAAAGTTCAAAGGAGGACAGACGTGGATCCTATGTGTCAGGCTTATCTCAACAGATCGACCTGAACTCCATGTGGCTTTACAGAGAAGGGGATGGGGATACTTTGAGGAACGATCAATTGAGATCAAGGAAAATTACTGATTTCCTTAACCTGCAGCCTCACCATAAAGAATACGACAGAGATTCCAGATCTTTCTCTGATGAGAAGCTTGACATAGATACTGGATACAGGGATGTCATACCAATGTCCAATTACATGTGTCCATTCACAGAAAGCAGAGAAGCACAAAGAGTCAAACGTTCAGCAGATAAGGAACAGAACTGTGTTTTAGTAGATGGACAAAATACCATTAGCCCGTACAAATCTCCATTGCACGCCACGCAGCCAGCAGACACCAGCCTTTCCATCACAGGGTTTGCAGACCACGTGTCCAAAACGGTTGTTTCCATGGCAACAGAGATGGCAGCAATCTGCCTTGAAAACACCAATGCAAAGCAACCATGGTTCTGCCCATGGAAACGAAAATTCGGCGATCCAGAAAAGTTTATGACAGCTCAAAGCACAAGCAGAGCATCCTTGAGGAGCAAAGAATCACAATCGGTCGCCCCAGTCTCCAAGAAACTTCGACCGCCCAGACTTAGTGAGATCAAACGAAAAACTCAAGAGCAGCCTGAGCTCAAAGAAAAGCTCATGAACCGAGTGGTCGATGAATCTATGAACTTTGATGATGTCCTGGACCCAATAAACAGCTTTGCAAATGACGTAGCTTCAAAAATTGTCAACTCTGCAGAATTGGCTGTGATTGATTCTGTGAGACAAGGGCAGGGTCTGGCTAGAAATCGGCTGTTGTGCGATAAGTGGAGCAGAGGGAAAGCCTCCAGTTATGAAAGCATCCCAGAGGAGACCACTGATTCAAGCAGCTCTTTGGGCATCCTGGGCTCAATGGCCAGGCTTGGCCAGCCGATAAGCAGGGCCAGTTCCATCTCCAAGCAGTCGAGCTGTGAGAGTATCACCGATGAGTTCTCCAATTTCATGGTGAATCAAATGGAGAGTGAAGGCAGGGGCTTTGACCTTCTGCTGGACTACTATGCGGGGAAGCACGCCAGTGACATCTTGAGCGCAGCTCTCCAGCAAGTCTGCAGGAAGAATGGTCACCTCACCGTCAACACTACCTGCCTTTCCAAGCAGTCAAGCACAGAGAGCATCACCGAAGAGTTCTACAAATACATGCTCAAGGAGATGGATAAAGAGAGCAAAGACAAGACTAGCAAGGAATGGCGTAACTCACTATTGCCTCCTGCTGGACGCCCAGGCATTTGTCTCAGGCAATCGTCTATGCCAGATCGGCGTGCATCAGAGGGGAAGTTAACTGTGACTCCCCCAGTGAAAGCAAACTCCTTTGATGGGTTTGCCCAAAGTGATCACAGAGATACACTGGATGTATGTATCAGTCACACACCAGCCCCCAGCGCCCTTTACAAATCACTGACCGACTCCTGTTTGTATCAGAAGTGTAAATCTGACCGCATCACCGAAATGCTGATCAATGAGACCTGGTCCAATTCTATCGAGGCCCTCATGAGAAAAAATAAAATTATTTGCATTAGCGCTGAGAGCCCAAGGGACGAACACTTAGAAACTGCAGCTCAGCCACACGTGGAGCAATACGCCAGCAGGCTAGCAGCCAACATAGTCAATTGTGGCAAATCATCCCTCAGTGGCCAACTGGACCCCATTGAACCTTCACAACAGGAGGCTGGGACAGAAAGTAGAAAACGCGAGTTATCTGTGAGCTCCAGAACAAAGCCAGAGGGGGAAAATAAGTCTTTTCCGCAACCAACCAAGAAAGAAAAACTGTCACACTGCCCAAGAGATGTGCCTTTGATTCATATAGAGAGTGATCAAAAAGGAGAGATCAAGGACTGCTTTCAGGAAATACCTGCCATCAATGCTAAAGCAATGACTGAGAAGAGATTAATGGAAAGGAGACATTCTGAGGTTGACTCTGATGGCATTGGTGGGTCAAGTTTGAGAGCATTCAGCAGGTACGTAATGCATTGAAGATGCCAAATGTTGTTTGTTTGTCCTAAGCTAAACTGTGCCAATTTGGACTCCTGACTTAGAGGAGCTTTCCCACTCTGCCGAAATTTTCTCCCGAAGACTCCCCATTCCTTACCAGGGTTCAGTTCCACAGCTGCTCTCTGGTACCTCACCCCAAATGTCTTCTTCTCATGCAGGTCTAGATAGTGAATTTCAATAGGCTATTTGACTATGTGTAGTTATCACAGCCAAGCCCATGCAAACCTTTCACCATATCAACATCAAGCAGAAATAGTTGGACAGCAATAACCTTGACTGATCTCCCCTACCTCTTCCTAGCCCTAGTAGTTCATAGGCCAATAAGAGCATTCCTCTGTTGCCCCAGCACAGATTGAACTTTCAGTTAGTGCTACACTGGGACAGAGTCTTTGGTCACAAGGCCATTGGGGAATCTGCTAGTTTAGGTATCTTTAACTCTGCAAAATGGTCTCAATAGATGCCCAATAAATTATTCAGATTGGATTCCATTCCATGGGATGGTCATCTGGGATACTCTCCTTGACAAATGTGGCAGGACAGGCTTGTGACGTTGGCTGTGTTAAGTGGAGCTAAGCTGTTAGCCATCCAGGGAGACCGTATAGCCTCGACACTGGCAGGTTACTCAAGGTCGAGGAGTAAATATTAGCTGTAATAAAAACCTTTTTACTAAATGTGACATTAGAAATTACTAACGAGGTCTTTCTTTCTCTGTTGGCTATTTTTGGTAATTATTCTGTCCTGGATAATTGTGTCTGATCTGTATAATTCCCAGAGGCACCTTAGTATCTTAGTACAATAGTGAGTCTTGTATCTCCCATAGGAAAATATATTTGAATTCCTAATGAAATATTCCCATTTCTGACAAACCATGTACAACTTGCCTTTACCACTGACTCTACACAACCCATGTAAACCTCCTGAGGGAAATGGCTGCATAGATGCTCCCTGATCCCCAAAAGGAATAGAGCAAAACTTCAGATCATCTCCACTATTCAACTTTCCGAAACAGACTCGAGGGGCTGAATGGCCTACTCGTGCTCCTATGCTACTTATCCTGACCTACGGCGCAACAGAGACAACAGTACTCCACTCCAGGAGCAGATATCTAATGCTAGGTCTGATACAATACACCCCATCCTCCCCTAACCAATTCCAGCTCAAAGCAGTTAAATGTGAATGGATACCCGGATGGGTCTGGTAGCTACCTTCTTTGTAGTTGCAGACTGCCATCACCATTTTAGATTTGCAGATGTAAATATTAACCATAAGATTACTCAATTACTCGATTGCCAGATAGCACCTGAGGAACAGAACTAGAGCACAAGTCAGGAGAAAAAAGAGGTTAGTAGGAAACTAAAATGGTTGGAATAATGTATCAGTGAACATGTCTAATAGCAAATTGTTAAAAAAAAAGTTTTGCCCATAAAATATACAGTCAATTCACTTTACATTACATTCTGTGAAGCGCTTTGAGATGTCTCGAAGATGTGATAAAACACTATATCAAATGCAAGGATTATTATTATTAAGTTTGGTGTCACTTAACTACTGCTTCTTGATATTTTCTGAATAAGTGTTGCAAAGTGTCCAGTCTCAACGACATTGGACAAGGCCACCACTGAGGAGACTCCCTGCAGTCTGAGCACCAGTGACGAGAGTATGGGCAGTTGGTCACAACTTGTTAATGAAGATGACCATGCAGAAGACAGCAGCAGCTATTTACACCTTAGTGAGAGGTCAGTGAAGAATCTCAATATGGGGTATTTGAAGGATGGCGGGAAGCTAATGAGAGCTTTCTGGGATGAGGGATTATTTTGCCTCGCCTGCTATAGCCCTACTAGGCAAAGACCTAATGGGTAAGGTGGTCCTAGCTGGACAAGAAGTGGGAAGCTTTCCAGACAGGGCATTCAATTGCAAGATATGGCGGTTTTAGATGGTTATACTCCATACAATACACAATCTGGGTCCCTAATCCTTGGTCTCATGGACCTCTGTCTAATCATCTCCAGAATCATGTAAACATGGTGCAAACAGGGTGCATACCTCCATTGCATATTCAATTCCAGGCCCAAGGGAATTGTTTAAGTAGATTACGTATGTGGAATTCTGTCTGGTTTGGATACTCTTATATTGGATGTCTGCATGTGTTGGACACCCAGCTATCCAAAACAAAAGGGTTATATGTGTGGTTTATGTTGAAATGAAGTAGGGTGGTTGTACTGTCCTGGTAAATTGTTCAGTCGTAGCTGGTTCAATTCCAGCAATTAATATTTTGAAGTACCTGAATGCCTTGGCTATTGCCAACCACAACTATATTCTCTAGGTGTAGGCAAGTGTAGGCAAGGTGTAGGCTAGGTGCTTCCCTCCAACCCTCCCCCAGGGAGAGATTACAGATTTCAGAATTCTCAACCAGAAACTCTGCTCCCTGTACGTTTTCAGCAGCTGGAAACAACAACTACATTTGTATAACACCTTTCGCGTCAGGAGGACGTCCCAAGGCAGTGGATAGTGAAGGATTTGCACTCAAACTGGGGGTTGAGATCAGGCGGGCAGGGTAAGGAGTTTCCACACGTGAGCCGCCTGACCAAAATAAATAACTAAAAGATATTTTAATTGTGGAAAAATGTCCCTATTTAATTCTGCATTGTCTGTTTTATCAGCAATGGGAACAGCAGCACCTCCAGTAGTCTTGGGCTTGTGGAGCTTGATGCCTACCAGGAAAATGGAACAACATCCACATTACCCAGGTCTGACCCCTACTTTCTCTTCAGAAACCAAAGGAATTTTCAATTAATGTTTATTCGGCAAGAATTCATCATTGTCACAATTTTATTTTCTCTCCTCAAACGTAAGGAAGAACCTAGGAAGTTTAGAAATTTCTAAAATTCTCTGATGACTTGCTTAGTAACTTGGTGACTTGCCTAGTGTGATACTGAGCCACACAGTACAAAAAGGTTCCATTTCAGTGTCTTATGTGTTAGCTGATTTCATGAAGGAGGTAGTTGAGAGACAGGAGTGCTACAGTTAGTTATTATTATATTAGTTTCAATATCTGGAGGAAAGGAGGGAAGGATCCACTCTAGATAATAATAACAATCCTTACATTTGTTCACGTCGTTGAGACATCTCAAAGCGCTTCACAGAATAATAATAATAATAATCCTTGCATTTGATATAGCGCTTTTCACGTTGGGAGGACATCCCAAAGCGCTTCACAGAACACACTGTAAAGTGAATTGACTGTATATTTGTGGGCGAACGCGGCAGCCAATTGCGCACAGCAATAAATCTCTTGGTGGAATGATTGCATGATTGTTTCGTTGCATGAGGGAAGTGTAGGGCTGAATTCTCTCCCAATAATGTGTCTCAGCCCAAATTTCAGAAGAGCACTTTGCACAGCCTCTGTGGACATTTTCTATTTACAGAACACCTGTGTATTCTCTGAATGAGATTACTAAATTTTACTGAATAAATAGAAGTTTTGTACGGTCACTAGAAACTAGGTTGTAACCGCCCAAACCCATTTTATATCAGACAGTCCTAACCAACAACAGATAAAGGAGACTTTCATTCTATTAGTCTTGCCTGGACTCAAAGTACTTGGAAATGAAATGGCTATTAGCGGACCATTTCATCTCATCCTGCTGCAGCATCAAGGTGTCTTTTAAACAAGTCCAAACGTTTGGGCTCAACTACTCTTCCTGGTAAAACTGTTTCCACTGTTTTTACCAACTGCAAAGTGAACCTAAAACTGGCAACTAAATTCCTGAAAGTAAAATAGAACCTTTGCTCTGGTTAAAATCATAATTGCCAGTGAATTGCAAATAATCCTGTTGGAATGTTTTGTGTTTCTCCTTGCTAGTGAGACTACAAGAGGAAAGGTCAAAGGGAAAGAAAATCAGGAACGTTCTGATGGTAAGATGGGAATGCTAATATTGTAAAGTAACTTTCTGACTGTTCACCATTTAGTAGGTGCTTATAAACACAATGAACCATTTGCTTCTGCAGAATGCACATCTGGATTAACAGTAGGCCCATCCAGTTACCACAAGGATTTTCTTGTGATGAACTTTGACCTGAATCCTGACTATGTAGACTTTGAGTTGAGAGCAACATTGCAATGGATAGCAGCCTGTGAACTCGGCCTTCCAGCAATCTATTTTAAAAAATCCCAAGAGAAGAGGATTCAGAAGGTAATTTCTTACTTTGCTTGTGCCTGGTTTTATTTTTCTAATAAATAACTGGACCATAGTAACTGACTGCGAGTGTCAGCTATTGCCGCCTTTGAACCAACTTCTTGATCAGTGTTAAGGATCACCACTTATACCTATCTGAATCAAGCCCTCATATTTCAGTCGGCTGTCTGGAAATTACCTAGAAGGAAAACCAGGCAACTAAGTCTGTTTTTAAATTAAGTCCATTTTACCCTTATCTTATGATTTGGATATGTTAATAATAATCCTTGCATTTGATATAGCACCTTATCACAGCGTTGAGACATTTCAAGTGCTTAATAATTATTACGTTTCCAGTCACTGGGAAAGTAAAGCTCAGAACATAGGAAATGTGATCCCATGAATCCTGCTTCAGACAGGGGACCAGGTGACCACACTATCAATGCAGTTCACCATAATTTGGCTGAGATCCAGTAAGTAATGTCTAGCTCCCAGAAATACTGAAACACCTTGTTTGTTACCTTAGGAGCAGTGGGATATGGTCTGATCCTGTAATCAGATTGCCACATAGTGAACTCTGATCTCAATTAATGACTGGGTTGGAGTCTAGGCACTTCCCACAGGATAAGGAAAAAAAACCTGAACATCAACAGCACTGTGTTGATAAGGCTTTTGATTTGTAATAAGGAAGCTGGGAGAATCCTGCCTCCTAATAGCATTTCATTGACTATTTTTGCTGGAAGACAAGAACAGGAGAAGATACAACACTAAAATTCAACTCAGTTACCAGTTCACTACCAGCAGCGGGTGGACACAGGAACAGCAAGTCTGTCGATGACAACTGGTGAAGCAGGTTTAGGGACAAAGGTGGTATCATAATGAATACCGCTGAGTTTAAAGATTTAATCGTGTTCTTTCACTTCCCTTCATTGACAGTAATTTCCTGTCATTACTGATAATTTGCTGTAATATTGTGCAAACAGTGTTTTATCTCTTCTTTCAGCAGTCCTTTGTGTTAACATAAAAGAATGACTGATTTCTTCTGCTTTCAGTTTTTAGATGTTGCTCGCTTTGCTCATCAGAAGGCCTGGAATGTTGGAGATCTCTTTCTTGCAGTGCTAGAGTACTGCAAACTCCAAGAGGAAGGAGGAAGGTCTCCCCCAAGGAGTCTGTTTGACTGGCTTCTTGAGTTTGGCTAAAAGATTAGTTTGTGATTTTTAGATAGAAAAGGCATCATAGTCAATTGTAAGACCTTTCAACGTTTTTGACTGTTCCAATGCCAGCTTGTGTTCTTGTTGGAGTGAGATGTACATCATTTACACATAGGGGTAAACCAGCAGTACTGTACACACCAGGTAAAAGCTGACAATGGAATTTGTGTCCAATAAGAGGGATTTAAAGCTCCCTTGGTGGCTAGTTTAGTAGATTGATTAATTGTCCAGCGTGGGACTGAGAGACACAGACCTGGAAGGTCCTAGGTCTGATTCTTGGCCTGTGAGAGTTGGCTGATCTCAGTTTGGATGTTAACATTGGCCAGCACCCCAGAATAGGAGGGAGGGAGGGAGAGAGACAAAATTCAATAGGTTTTTCTTTCACGATTGTTATTGATTGATCCTTGTTTGAAAATACAGAATTGTAGAGTTTAAGTGATGATGTGATCAGACTTAGGACAGAATTGTTTGCCAGCAGACACTGTCTAGGCTCATGCATGGATGACATATTTTTAAAACAGACTGTCTAGTCAAGAGGCAGAACCCGAAGAAGAGTGCAGAAAATCACAAATGGAAATTTTTCAAGAGTGATTCACTGGGTTTAGAAGCTGTAATACCAGTTCATTTGCAAGATCACAAGAGGTGTTAGCCTATTTGATTTCATCCTTCCAGAATGCCCCCTCTATCGTCTTCCTTTTGCATTATTGACTCATTGGGTTAATTATGCACATCCAAATCATACTGTCTTCCTTCCCAAAGAAGCATTAAACCAGTTTCGTCCCAATCTACTGATAGGATAGAGTGGCCACTGTTCAACATCAACAACCAACATAGCAGAATAGTACTAGATATGAATAATCTATTCTGTTTATCTTTTGTGCACTATACCTCTGCAGCTGACACATGCACACACAAGCTTGACAGTACCAGATATCAGCAAACAGTCAGCTTTTACCCAGTGTGTACTGTAGGTGTGTATTTGTGTGCTGTGAATCTTTTAGAGCAGGCTGGGATATTGTTCTTGAAAGAATATTTTTGCAATCATCTTATTAAAGCTGTGTAATGTTTGTACAGTGAGCATGAAAGTTAATACAGCCAATCCTTTGGCTGGTGTACAGATTTAAGCAATATGATTGCGACAATAAATTCAACATACAGTAGTGACGCTGTTTATATTCTGCTGAATTGTTGCCCAAAACTGTAGTCGTGTCTTAATGGAGACTTCTGAACACTCCAAGCAGCAATCTGTGCTGTCCAAAACTAGAAAGTCGCACAAAATGGAAATTGTGTTTGTCGTGGGGGGAGAAAGAGACATTCAAGATAGTTAATGCATTTGCAGTCTTGAGGCCTGTTCCTCGTGGTGAAAAGGGACATCTTTCACATGACATGTGCTTAGAAAAACAAGAGTCTATCACTTATCAATAAAATTAGAAATAAGTTCACTATTGTTAGTGATTTGCTCATGATAGATCCCATTGCTTTTTTTAAGGAGAAAAAAAGAGGTAAATTCAGGGGCATGTGTTATTTGTCACTGATAGTCATGATCATATAATTGCAGATTTCACCCCATAAAAGTTGTCATGGTTGTATATGTTGAAAAATATAATAGAACTTGCTCCTCTGTAATTTAGGTTCTGCCTGACTTATTATTTTAAGCCTTGATACTTTAAAAAAATATGATGCACAAGATAAGAAAGAAGGAATCTTGGCAAAATGCACCTCTGACAGGCCAGTCAGTGGTGCAAGACGCTATCAAAGAATCAGTCTGACACTTCTCCATCTGCATTGGGTTTAAAAAATTCCTGCTATTTTATTGTTCATGAAAAAGCAGCAGTTCTGCTAGTGCCGGTTCTCATTTAAAGCTGGTAAGTGGGTCCCCCACTCTTGGGGGTGAGCGCAGGCTGCAGAGCAAGCAAAACAAATTACGTTGTCAGCTCACCCAGTTCTAAAGCAGAACTGTCGTAAAACTACTTGATTCAGAACACTTTGGTTACCTAACAGAAATCTTGTTTAGAATTTTGCACTCCAGTTAATTCAATTATATTAATTCATACCGACTTGTTTTGCAGTCTCAGTGCAATAGAGCACCAAACAATAACCTAGAAAGCTGATGTGCATCTCATTCCTTCATTTCCTTCCAAGCTTCTTGTTCCTGATCGCCATGGAGTGACAACCGGATATAGCTCAGCTGGACTCGGTGTAAGGAAAGAGAAAAATTGGGTGCAAGTCCCATATAGCACTCACTGTCTGGCCTTTTACATAAAGAATGAGCCACTTGGACAAGGCACTAGAGCATGCCTGAACCCCAAGGAACCACAACACAAGCCACTATAAAAGGCGTCTGAAAAAAATTCACCCCCCCAAAATCTGACAAAGTTCCATTTAGGGTTAACTATTTTGCCACATAAAATGGCGTGGAAATGCTCTGTACATTTCTTTTGGGTCTCCCCACAACATACTCTATTTTTTCTGTTGTTCCATAAAACTGAACTCATCTTGGATGTAATTTATTTACAATAAAAATGTATTAAAGGTGTCAAGAATGGTTTCTGCCTCTGAGTTACAGCACTCTTACTTTCTCTCCACGCCCCAGTTTTTTTTAATAATGTGATACGTAAATATTATTATGACCTTTATTTGCCAGGAGACTCAAAGCTTTACCGACTGACAGTGTTTTGGGGTCTCCGTTTCTCCAACTACAGGATACGTTAGTCTGATGTTGTCACATTGGGGTAAGTTCTATATAGGTTACTCCTATCCTTTGTCCTACAGACCTAGTTTCTATCGCACATCCTCCACTCTCCTGGTTCTGGTTTGCTACTTGTGTCTCTGCCCCTGTACTCTGTTGGAGAGAAAGCAGTCGGGTACAAACCCCTCTTATCTAAACTCTTTCATGACCTTTCACTAAACTCTTGCAAACTGCCCCCACTTTAAGAAGAGCATTAGGTTTGCAGAGAAATGGATAGCTCCCTTTGTATTCATGGCAGCTTGATAGGATCACAGAACTGTCAACTCTTCATTGCTGCTTTCATGGTCATTTCTGTTTCCTTTTTTCTCTCTTCCAATCTGTCTCTGCCTTTTTTTTCTAAAAAAAACATTAAAGTTAGGATTTTTGGATTCTATTTTTTCCCAATTTTAAATTTCAGTTTAAACCACTTTTTGACGGGATCAATTTTCAAAGAAATTTGCTGGAATCTGGACATGAAAGGTCGGTTTGATCAAAGGCCCAGAGACTAATGCCTGGCACAGCGCTTCACTGCTGCGATCAGATCAATCTCTGGTGCAACAAGCCAGGAAGAGGCCTCTCAAGTGAGTATGGTCATCGGATGGCTCAATCCAACAGTAGATAAGTAAAATTAATCTCGGGCACTGGAATAATAATAATAATCCTTCCATTTGATATAGTGCCTTATCACATCGTTGAGACGTCTCAAAGCGCTTCACAGAATATATTGTAAAGTATAGTTAAAGAAGGATTAAAACTCAATTATTAAAAATAAATTTTCGGAAGGAAAATTAAGCTTTTCACTGTGCTCTGTGCCTTTTACTGTGCTTTTTTGGCAGTTACTGAAACCAACTTACTTTTTTTTAAATAAGACAACATGCAGCATTTAAGTAGAGTCAGCTCGTCTCCTGATCCTACACGTCCAAACATTGACAGCACCAAGTGTGTAAATTACAATGGCTATGTTCCGTTATAACACAATCCTTTGGCAAAAGGTTCAGTGTCCCAGTTGCAAACAGTTAATCTAAAATGTTATTCTTTATATTAATGGTTAACAACACAACCTATGTCAATGAACATTCCATTTATTAATCCAATTTATTACAACCTCATTATTTACCAGATCTGCTGAGCTACCATTTCAGATACAGTACGTTGTCAACAGACTTACTAAAGTTCAAGTGGATAGAGCACAGAATACAGATCTTACATGTATCTTGCAATGTGCTGAACAGTTGTTGACACAGCAGATTGTCATATTGAGGAGTAATCGGATGGTTCCCACACAAATTAGTTTCCAGTATCAGATGCAAGGTCCCAAGCGTGATACTTTCAACTTTGGAACCATCAAGATAATTTCAAAGATGACTTGAAAGCAGATAAGGAGTGATGGAGTCACTTGCAGAATGGCAACTCTAAAGCCTGGTGACAGAAATGCTAATGCGCTGAAAATTATTGATAATTTGCGCTGGCGAACAATCTCCCAGATAAAATTGGTCATTCCCTTTATTGCTGTTTGTCAGATATTCCCTGTCTGTAAATTGACAGTCAGCAAATACACAATCGCTGCACTTTATCGTAAATCCTGTGACGAGCTTTGAGATGGCGCGACGATAATACCTGCATTTGATATTTCACCTTATTTTTTATTAGAATTGTGAGAAATTCCAATTTCTTTTGTGGTAAATATTTCTAATATTAGGAATCCTAATGGGACTTTATAAGCCAATTTGAGATGATTCTGCAACACCTTGCCTTTTCAGAGAAGACTTAATTCCTTGTAATGCATTTTTTCTTTCCTCCGGAGACGTTCAATGATTTCCTTTAGTGTTAACAAATTAGCAATGTGATGAGGCATACGGGAGAAATTCTACCTTGGAGACATTTGTAATGTAGGCATTTCTGTTCCCTTACAGACCAGTGCTAAGTTAGTTTCTGTGAACAATGCTCAAAGCCATTAAGAGGCTAGTTGTAACTACTGTACCAATACTCACACAAAAATACTATAAAAACCCTTGGCAGAAAAGAGCTTTCTTACTCTAAGAGCAAATTACATGTAAACTTTTTTTTTAACATTCTGTTAAGATGAACAGAATTTCTCTGATATCTAGTTCCCATTCTGAACATTTCTGGATCCTATACATATTCCCTACACTGAAATCATCTCCAAAAGAGAATCCTAACCACACTGGCATTATTTTTCCTTTCACGCGCTAGCTACACATACACAGATCTTAATCCACGACTGTTTGTGGGACATTGCTGTGTGCAATTGGCTGCCACGTTTCACCCACAAAATATACAGTCAATTCTCTTTATAGTATATTTTGTGAAGCATTTTGAGACATCTCAAAGATGTGATAAGGCGCTATTTCAAATGCAAGGATTATTATTACTAAATATGTATGCATCCTTCGCCCCCCTCCCCAAGGCACTATTAAAAAAAGAAACTTACTCCTGGATATTATGAGATAAACTTTTATTCTGCAAAAAGATGGTAGATAAAGTCTGGGAGGTTAGCTTATGTGATACAGAGCATTTCAATCTATTCTTAATACTTTATAAAAGTACAACACTGGATGTTAGTAAAAATAAAGTTGGGTACAACATTGTATGTAGTAGGTCTTGTAGACAAACATTTACCAGCACGAATTAGTAAAAATGCGTAATGTCGTATATCTCTAACTTCACTCAGCGCCATATCCTGCAAGTGTTATCCTTGCTTCCTGCATTATAATGAAAAATAATGATTATCTTTTAAGTACAAACAAGCAAACATTTTACAGATCTTGGCTAAGTCATTTCAGGATATGAGAGGAAAAAGAAAATGGTAACTACAATTTTTTTTACTTTATAAAACAAGTATATTAAATCTGTGGACTGGGATTCAAAAAAAGCATAGAATAGATACAAATTTAGAAATAAAAAGAATGCTGCAAATAATGAAAATAAAACCTTAAATTATAAAAATGTAGGTTGGTCTATCGACATGTAAAATAATAAAGGTTTAAAGTCCTTCATCAGAATGCAACTATCTCTTTTGGAGTCTAATTGACCAGCTGGCCATATGCAGTATTTTTGTTGGTTTATTTGGCTACACATCACTTTGGCCCAGAAAGCAATTTATTTTCCTTGATGAGTTTAATGTGTAATTGTAGGTCTGAAAATAGTATTTAATTGGATTGCCAAATTGTTAAGATGTCCTTGTAGAGGACCATCTGGCCAATCATTAATCTGAGGGATTCAGGAAATGAGTTTATCTCTCCCCATATGATAGTTCCCAACATTGGATGGGCCCATGGGAAACTCAGAAGGGAATGGAGGAAAGATTCAAGCAGGTAAATTATGCATCCCCTCATAGTTAATGTCAGTGGGACAAATGCCTGGGAAGTCATCCTTTCCATGACCCCACTGACTCTTGTTGAATGTCAGGTGATAACAACTTTAGGCTCAGTTCTGTATTCCTTGCAGGCAAATTGCCTGACAACATGCACATTTAGGCTTGCCCTTGAAGAATGGCTATGTGGGAGAGGCACAGTGTCCAGGAATCAGTGCCAGTGGGGGTTGGGGACAGAATAGGGGGAAGTAACACAGAAGGAATGATTCAATTTTATCATACAACACAATAAAGATAATGATTAACGTCATATTTCACTACCTGTGATGATGGTATTCCCTTCGTAGTTAAAGGCACATGAGAAGATTTCATCAGTATGGCCTTCCAACACCTGCAGACAATGGCCTGTGTGAGGAGCCCAGAGTCTCGCTGTCTTATCTGAGCTGCCTGTAAGGATGCGACTACCCTGAGGATTGAAACAAATCTGGAAAGAGCAAGATAATGTTAGAACCAATGCAAGACAATGCAATGCAATGCAATGCAAGGTGCTAGAACTAGTCATACACTGCAAGAATTATTTCAAACCACAGCACGTGGAGTCCTGTAGCTCAGTGGTTAGAGCACTCGCTTTGCAAGCGAGAGACCTGGGTTCAATTCCCGGCAGGGTGAAACCTTGGGCAAGTTTCCTTACTCCACACGTCTGATAATAATCCCTCAAGAAAAAAAAACAATAATAAATTGGTCATTTTCTATCCATGACCGTTTGTGGGACACTGCTGAGCGCAATTGGCTGCTGAATTTCACCCACAAATATAGTCAATTCACTTTACAGTCTATTTCTCTGAAGCGCTTTGAGACGTCTAGAAGACGTGAAAAGCCCTATATCAATGATTATTATTATTACTAGTTTACTATGTAAAAAGTTGGAGATTTTTCATTGGCAAATTATCATCAATTAAACTCCATTTGGCAATTAAGAATGAAAGTAAATCATTCTTTTTAAGAATAATTTAATTTGCACTGTTGGTGGTGAACATTCTATGAACAATCATACAATCACTATTTGAATGAAAAAACCATATTCCTTAAATGTGACATATCTCTAAATGTTTAAATCTACAATTCTTTGACTATAGATTATTGTCATTTAATCAAACAGTATTACTCGATCCATTAAGCATTGAGATTTCTATCAGTTGTGATGCAAGTGGTTATTAAATGGACCAAGGCACGAATATTGAAATGTGAAATTACAGTACAGAATGCCTAATTCTTAATCAAGAGGTGATACATTTGGCAGAATCATTTGATCAGGTTATTCCAATTATCAAGCAAGCTCTAAAGCAGGAGGGGGCTCTAAATCTTTTTAAATTAGTTAGATTTATATGATTTATTAGAATTATTAGATTTGTTGCAAATAAAATGAGTTCTGCTACCTAACTTTTTGAAACCAGCAGCTGGAAAAGACGAGAGACTGAATACTGAAAGACCTTGAATTACAAATTATAGCAAAACTTTCCCCAGGTATAAAGCTAATGTGGCAGTTATATGACATAGTTTTTGACTTACACTTTTGTACTGAATCGTCTAAAACTGAATAGAATTCATGCAGCTTCAGGAGTTGGGGACCTGATTCAGGCAAGTGGCTCGAGGCCAGCTCTGAGAGGAAGTCTTCCCTCCTATGCATCAGCTGTAGAATAATTCCAGTCAGACAACAGCCAATGCAAAGCAACACCTCAGTTTCCGAATACTCCTTAAAGCTGTTAACATTAAGGACTCAGCTCTTTAATAATGTTAAAAATGTAATCAGCATTCAACCCCTGACGTTACATGAGCTCTCATTTATAATCAACCTCATTTGTTAATCTCACCAAGGTATCTGGTTGGATCGTGTTTGTTATGTGGGAGTGGGGAAGAGATTGACAGAAAAAGTCAAGACATAGATAGCCAGTGTTAGTTAGGAACCCTGGTTATATAATAATAATAATCCTCACATTCGATGTGGCACCATATCACTTCGTTGAGATGTCTCAAAGCACTTCACAGAATGTATTGTAAAGTAGATTAAATGGTTATTTTGTGGGAGAAAAGTTAGTTAGGAACCCGTGAGTTTGTGCAGAATGCACTGTAGTTTATATGTATTTAATATGTTCAAGCAGTTGCAATTTACTCAAGCTTTTATTTAAACAGGTGCAAGAATATAAGTAGTGCACCATTAAATTTAGTGCCTTTTTTAATCTTGACAAAAGATGTATTAAAACAGGAACTCACCTAAACTTTATAACTATCTAATTGAATGATTTTGTTTGTACACTATTACTTGTTCAGCTTACCACCACGATTAAATTCCTCCTACACACCAACTACTGGTAATCATTTGTTTCCCAACCTTATTGATTCCCTGCTATTTCTTCTGTTTGAGCTCTTTTGATTAATCTGTTCCCATCTAGTTTTCTCTCTCTCCTACTCATTCACAGGTATACTGTTCATTTAGGTTTCAACAACCATCATGATCCAAGCTAGGAGCTGGTGCTCATGGCGATTTTAGTATCTTCCTGCCCTTTTCTCACACCAAATTACATTGTGTGCATTTTATTCCTGTTTTTTAGTGTTCCGCATTTCAAAGCAATTAAAAACAGCACATCTCACGTGTGAACAATCCACTTACTGCACCCAATAATCTGTAATAATGTTCAGAGTGATGCTAGGCCAAAGGGGAACCCTTGCTGGGTATAAATGAAGCACAATACAGTCCCACAGTGCCTTAGAGGCAGATGTGCAAAGCATCTCTGGAAATAATGGGTCAAAAAGATGTGCATGTATTTTTCAAGGAATTTGTTTTGTACTAGGTGAGGCAACTACTGGTGTGGTAAACCCCAAGGATACTTCATCATTGTCACAAGAGCTCAGAGTAGGTAGTATAGCTCAGAGCTGGCAAGTTAGTTTCAACGACTCCAGGGTTTTATGCAGAGGCACAAATAAAATTCAAAACCATGAATCCAGAAGAGGTTTTGCAGAGTGACAGGAACCAGCCATGACAGTGATACAATTTCAGCCTTTCTGGAGAAGAGTTTGAAGCATTTAAAAGCATTTTATTTCAAGGTTTGTGATATCTCGATAACGATTTGATGCAGTCACGCAGAAACCAAATCTGATTACACACACAAACATTGAGATCCCCTTATTTGGAGGGTGGTGGTGTAAAATCAAATGTGCTTGCATTACGATCCTCCCGCATAATTAAGCCTCTTCCATCTTTGCTTATCACATAAATGCATGCATCACCGAGAAACAAAAAAGCTATCAAACTGCAAAATGAAACTGCAGAACCCCTCTGATACCAGGGTGTTTTATGATACCCGTAGTTTTTATTTTTGCTGATTAATTATATTTATTGCTACTGGTTAGGCAATAAAATTGGATTTGATTAATATTATACACCATTTAGTTGTTTATGAAGCCATTGGTTCTCCCACATAGCTGATGCTTTGTCCCGTGTTCTGTTGAGGAAGGTGAAATGTGAAAATGGCCTTCTGCTGTGCTGTATTTATTCCAGCACTGCTGTTGTTTGCAGCTCTATATGCCTTGTGAATGAGGAATTGCCACTATCTCCAGAGCATTAACTAGTGCGATAGAGAGGGTTTTACCACAGCTCTAGAGATGGCAAGTCAAAGAGTGAATGCACGGCTGCTTCTGTGATTCCCTGGTATTGTGGTTTCCAGCCACCAAAGTAACAGGAAGAATCCAAATCACCAGCTGTCTCAGGACACAGCAGAGCTCAGAGCACCCTTTTCAATTTCAAATCATATTACTGGCAATCAGCTCCATTAGATTTTTCATCTCTGTATTAGTTCTGACAGAACAAAACTGATGCAGTGGTTAGTAAGTAAACCTACCTTGGAGATTTCCCCCTCATGGCCCTCTAACTTCATTAAGCACTTGTAGTTGGCTGCGCTATAAACTCTTGCGGTACCTAAAGGAGAAGTGAACATATTTAGAGGATATAAGTGTACAATAATCCCTACTAATTCAGCACTAAAATTAACAATTTCACTCATGGGGGCATCAGGATGGCTGGTGTCATATATGCTAAACGACTGCAGTTAAAGGCAATCTTTTGGGATTGGGATGTGGTATGAGGGTAATGTGGAGTCCTGTAGCTTAGTAGTTAGAGCACTCGCCTCGCAAGTGAGAGACCTGGGTTTGATTGCTGGCAGGGTGAATGTTAGGCAAGTTTCCTTACTCCACAAGCCTTTGTTTACCTAACAGTAAGTAGGAATCCATTTTTTTAGTCGATTAGCAGATCATAATAATTCCTTCAAAATAAATAAAAATCATTTGGTTACTCAATCCATGACTTTGTGCGCAATTGACTGCCACGTTTCGACCACAAAATATACAGTCAATTCACTTTACAGTATATTCTGTGAAGCGTTTTGAGACGTCTAGAAGGCTGACAAGGCGCTATATCAAATGCAAGGATTATTATTATTATTACAATAATGTAGAGGGAGGTTTACTCTACACCTATACCACCTTAGAAATGTATCAGTTTCACATCGGGCAGTGCATCATAGTTTCAAGCACATCCCTCTTGATTCTTGACCCCACACCACATCTACTCACTATATCCATTCTCCCAATGCCCATTGCTTCCTCTATCTAGAATCATATCTGGTTGCCTCATGAACCCAATTACAGTATATGGCCTCATTTTTTGTTGAAAGGCATATTTATAACTAATAATTTACAACAGTTTTATGTAGATAAGAAAGCATGGAAATATCCAGGCAATGAATTTGTTTTTCTAATTGAATTAAATAATCAAATGTTCACAATTTTACAGCCTAGTTAAATTGCCAATGAAAATTAAATCAATCTCACACTATAATTAGTGATCAATGAACTGTCAATAATCATACAGCACACTTTAGATCATACGTATCAAGAAATCTGTACAATGAAACATTGCACTATTCATTAGGTTTGTATATGAAAGACCAACAGTTTCAACTTCAATTTTTAAGATGTATGAAAGAATTCCAGAAATACATAAACAAGGATGCGATGTAAAACTAAATCAATGTAGGATATCCCTTTTAGAAGCAAAAGACAATTAAGAAAGAGCCAATGAGCTAAAGACGGGAAGTACAAAAGAACACAGGGAGGAGGATAACCTAGTGCTCTGTAGCACTCAGCCACATAAGGCAGCAAGTTCCACATTTAGTCTCTGGATTGCCCCGAGTTAGCTGATCTCAGTTGAGGAATGATATAAAGAACTGGCCTTGGTGGCCCTAGGTTAGATAGGGGAAACGTCAGATGCAGAAAATAGCACCAAGAGCTTTTTAATTAAGATAAACTGAGTCACTAGTCATAACTCACTGGACTATAGTTTAGGAACCTGTCAGTACATCACTAGGTACAAACTGACCATAAAGGAGTAAAATTATTTACTGAAAAGTCACATCAAAGCACATGTTAATTATTGCACTTACCATCAGCTGAGGCCGTGGCTATGAGCTGCCCGGTGTAATCAAAGCAAACGTCCAATATTTCATCGTCATGGCCAGATAGTGTTGCCACACATTTCCCACTGACAGCATCCCAAAGCTGCAAAAGCAGTGAGTGTCCATTAACTGAATTAGTCAACAAGGCTTCAAAGGAGCCTTTCAATAAAACAATACATTTTTTCCTGCCATCATTTGATTGAAAGGGAGCCAGATCCTGCCTTTGGGAGGGAGGGGAATGTTTGCAAAATTATGGTCAAAGTCTCCTGTATCTATGCTGACTACTCTCAATATTCTGGGACGTGTGCCATAGAGCCAGTACCTTTTCCACCTGGAGTGCCATTATGTTCTTCAATATAATTTCCTTTTGAATAATTATCCCTAATAGGTTGTTTAACATTCTCTACTGGTAATGATCATTTTCTGTGAAAACAGATGAGCAAGACATACACAAGAATTTGGCAACTAGACAGAGTTTAGCAATGAAGTTTTTCTAATTTTCTCTCGACTTTCCATGTGCTAAATTATCCTGATAGAAGACAGGGAGATTCAGTGGTTGCTGCTGATAGACAGTTGGGTATGCTCAAGGATTTTAAGAGTTCTCTTGAGAAAGGCATTTCTACATTTCATGCCTTTTCCTCCAACTCAATGAGTGCATTTTTTAAATTGAAATTGTAGTGAAACTCTTTAGCAGGGGTCTAATTTTGACCAAATTTTTCCAACTCCAATATTAATTTCTTGCTATAGTATTTTGAGCATGAATCTCACCGTGCAAGTTTTGTCCATGGATCCTGTAGCAATAAGTGAACAGTCCCAATTGAACTGTGCACTGCTGATTTCTCCTCGATGTCCGATCAAAGTGTGCATTCTCCTAACAGATCACAACAGGAACAATTAATATTCCACATTTCTACATAGTTACATTTCAATCTTACCTGAGGCTGTATGTCAGAACGGACTGGCACAGATCCTAAACACAGATTCCAAATCACATCTATACAGTTTTTAGACATATTGTACTGTCTGATTTGTATCTAAATTTTATTTTATACAATAAAACTCGTATAAGTCTTATCTTTATCAATCATCTGATTGCCTATGTCATACATGCACCTAAGACCCATTCAGTTTGCTACCAAAAAACACTTAGATTTCTATGCACTAGTCGTATTTTATAAATCAACGGATAATTGTAATGGTTTCTTGGTTCCAAATAAACCTAAATCCTACATAATCTCCTAATCCTAAATCATCTCCTGATTGTAATGCTGTTACTGCGCTTTCCAGGGTAGGATATTGCTTTAAGCAGTTAATGGCAATTAAGAAAGGGCCAATGAATTAGAAGCAGGAAATATAAAAGGGAATGAGAGAGCAGGTTTGTGGTTGGAGTATTGGAAGCAGAGAATAAAAGAGTTGCTTAATACACCAGTGTTGTGGATTCAAAATCATTACACTGGCTGCTGGTTCCTGTACTTGTTTCAAACAATGCTTTGAAATGTGGCAAATTAAGTCTTAACCCTTCACTTCATGTGCACTTACCGGCTGCAGTGATGAAGTATCACAAGGGCAGTACAGTGTGCTCCGTTGAAACAAGCATGGAAAATTAGGTACTTGTTTACTGTTATGTGTTAGTCATATAAGTTTTTACTTATACAAGTTTGTAACTTGTATTTTGCATAAGTCATATTAAATATTATGGTCCTGACTGATATGACTTATGTGAGGTTTACTGTATTATATATTGATCTATGCATTCATTATTTGCATCATGTGGTAATTTTCATTACATTGCATCTGTCTCACAGACTTTCAATCATCTGACTTTTTCTTTAATACTACAATCCCAAACAGTGTCTTGAACCGCTCTCACATGCTGTTCCACCTGTACCATGAAATAATGGATGTAATTCTGCTCAGCACTCCCGTGATTGACAGCAGGGACGAATCAATATATTATACAGAAAAGATTACATACCTGCCAGATCCCACATCCCACACAGAAACAGTATGGTCAAAGGAGCCGGTGATGATCTTATCACCCGTGGTATTGAACGATAAAGAGATGATTTCAGCTGAATGGCCCTATAAGGAATTAAACTATCACTGGATGTTTCAGCACAGAACAAATCAAGGTATGAAAGGATTATTAGCATCAACAGTGATTGAGAATTGAAGTTTTTAATTAATAATTACTTCAATAGAACAGTCCAATGTAGAATTTCATAACAACGGTGAAACCCAAAGTTCTAGGTTTACGAGATCAAGGTAGCAGATGGCCAATGCAAGGATTTTGATTATATATCTAAATTTATCAGCTGACTGCAGAGCAAAGGATTCTGTATTATTCAAAAATATAAAACATTTAAATATTTGGCTCAGACTGAAATTTCTCCCAGCTTGACACTCCCTGGGTGAAAAACATATATAAACACAAGCGTGCAGAAGTAAAAAAAGACCCAACATGCAAGGTGATTTATAATGAACTGTTCAAAGCCGATAGGAAGAAAAGTACCTTACCATCAGCATCAAAGTATAGACTGAGGCTGTGCAAAAAGGTCACCACACAGCTAAGAAAACATGCAGAAATATTGAAGCAGATGGAACAATTCAAGGTAACTTCATAAATGCCTACAGACTTACCGTTAGAGTCACAGATTCTTCGCCTGTCCTAATGTCCCAAAGCTTTGCTGTAGTATCCATGCTGCCCGTGGCTACTAGAGTACTTTGGGGATTAAATGACAAACACACCTATACAGATTTAAAAATGTGCTAAAAATATCAACCATTACAATGGAAATATATGCCACAATGTTATTTTTTATTTTAAAAAAATCACATTAATATTGCCCATTCTTTCATGACATAACTGGTAAAAGTGATGCCTGAAAGCAAAACCTGCAACAATATGAGCCACAAGTTGTAATCCAATGACTGAGTAAAGAGAATGTTAACAATCCCTGAAAGCAATTCTCAAATGGGCTGTCAACACCCTGCAAACATGTCAAATAAATTATTGCTTTGTATCATTTACAAATAATGCATAAGTGTTCATTGGTTTTAAATCAACGTTCTTGTTGCAGTGTAAAATGTAGTCATTTTGTAGTTTATTAGTCATTTATTTCATATAAGATTTTATAAGAGTAACATGAGTTATATTTTGTAGGTGAACATGGCATTTTGCACACAGCAATGTCCCACAAATAGCCATGAAGTGAATGATCAATTTTATATCAGAGATTGTTGGCCAGGACATCAGGAGAAACTCCCCGTTTCTTTTCGAATACTGCCGTGGGATCGTTAAAATCTACCTGAACAGGTAGGTTAACCTCTTTGTGTTTCTTCTGTTAGTCATTTAATCAGCAAGTGATGATCAGGTCAAGGGACCGACTACCCCAATCCTATACAGTGAATTAAACAATGTATTGTTGAAGCATCTCACTTTAATCATTATTGCAGATTCCCATATACTCAAAGTAGAATCTGGTACACACAAATTCCCCCAGTGAATCATTAACATTTTTAAATATAAAACAAAAGTAATACTAAAAGTTTAGTATTACCAACTTTAAAATTCAGGTAGTTAGACTTACAATTTCAGCTGTGTGTCCACGGAATGTGTGAAAGCATTTGCCTGTCTCAGAACTCCATAATTTGCAGGTCTTGTCAAATGAACCAGTTGCAATCTTGTCTCTAAAAGGAAACAAGCAGTGTCTTCAAAAAGGATTTGAACATAAACCTATTAGGTACAATGCATTCTATTATCATTGATAATAGAGAACACACAGGAATCTGTTGTTCGAGGGCCACTTCTGGCAGAAGTAGCCCTCCGAACATTTACATGAATGGAGGTATGTCTGTGTTTGATCAGTGGTGTGTATTCAGTTTTTTCTTGATTAGATATTTCTTGATTTATGGCATAAAGAAATATGCAATCATATTTTTTTGGCTGACCATAAAGGTTGGTCACCACTGCATTAGAGAGTCTTAATAATGCACCCATACTGCCAATGGGTATTTGAGCTCAATGTCCCCTCATACTCCAACACATGGGTGGAAATTGCCCCTGGATCAAGATTTACTTTATAACCAGAGAATTTTAGAGTGTGCAGAATTTGGCAAATTGTACAATTCAGTTTTTAACTAATTTTCTGTATTTTTTAAGAAACATACAGAAAACTGACTTCAAAATTAAAAGAGTGTATTTAAGAATTTTAACAAATTCTGAATGTGTTGAAATATTACATGAACAGAAACTCTCCCAAGGATGTATTAATATACTCTCATATACCTCACGCCACTTCACTCCAAATTAGACAACCACTATCCATGATAAATAGTTGTATGTGGTGTGTGAAACAAGTGGGATGGGTGAAATGAATGACCTTCACTCATTCCAGGTTTTTGTAAGTGCTTAAATAATGCTTACTGACTTCCAATGTCTAGAAAATAACAATCAATCTTAAAACTTTCACATCATTCCTGAGTGCAGATGACATCACAACTGTAATTAGCACTAAGACATCACCAACTTGCATTAGTCACTCAATTAAAAGAATATCTCGAAGTATCTAAGAATGGAAGTGAGCGCAAAAGAGAATTATGGGCTCTTAATTTTGAACTGTTTTATAATCGCAAAAATTCCTTTCATTTTAATTAAGCACATGCAAAATATAAGTGCAAGTGCTTGCAAACTGTTGATGCAGATCACTCTCCCAGTCTACAGTGAGAATTCATATACAGAGCCATTAGAATATCCAGCTACATTTGCAAACAGTGAACAGCATTTTAAATTCCCACCTGGTGACCAGATTTGGATCGCTAGTTTGGCTGATTGTACGGTATCTTGCCACTAAGGGTTTTTATGCTGGATATAAATATTTGGGATTTGTATTCAGCATAAAATACAAATATTCGGGATTTGTATACTGAGTCTAGGCTCATACTCCGATGCAGTATTGGGAGTGTACTGTATTGTTGGAGGTGTCATCTTTTGGATGAGGTGTGAAACCAAAGTCTCATCTGCCTGTTCAGGTAAACTTTAACGATAATAATAATAATCCTTGCATTTGATATAGTGCTTTTCACGTCGGGAGGACGTCCCAAAGCGCTTCACAGAATACACTGTAAAATGAATTGACTGTGTATTTGTGGGCGAACGCGGCAGCCAATTGCGCACAGCAATGTCCCACAAGCAGTCGTAGATTGAAAATGATCAATTTATTATTGTTTTTGGTTTTGGAGGAATTATTATTAAGCTCTGTGTGGAGTAAGGAAACTTGCCCAAGGTTTCGCCCTGCCTGGATTGAACTCAGGTCTCTCGCTTGCAAAGCGAGTGCTCTAACCACTGAGCTACAGGACTGGCACTATTTGAAAAGAGAAGGGAGTTTCTCCCAGTGTCCTGGCCAACAATATAGCGCCTTTCATTTTGGGAGGATGTCCAAAGGTGCTGACAATCATTCACTCCATGGCTGTTTGTGGGACGTTGCCATGCGCAAAGCAGCTGCCACATTTGCCTATAAAACAGAATTACTTCACTTTACAGTGAGACATCCAACCATCTAGCAGGCTAACCCAAATCACTATACCTAATGCAAGAATTATAGTAATTATTATTAATAATAATAAATATGAAATAAGAACTTCACATTGTTGAACATACCCATAAGGATTGTTAAAAGCAATAGCATAGACCACATTCCTGTGTCCCTCCAGCATGTGCAACTCTTCTCCCGATGCGGTGTCCCACAATTTACAGGTTCGATCATAACTCCCTGTGATAAACCTTAAAAAAACAAATATTAATGTAATGAAACTAACCTTATTTTTGAGGAAGTGAGTTAATGAAACCAATTCAATGTGAAGTACTTCCACCATCATGCTCTACACGAAATGCATGAAAGTTCCGTTGACAAGGCGAGGTGATGCTGAACTGTACAACCAAAGAATATCTTGCATTTGATCCCTGCTGCACTGATTTAGCTAAGGAAAAAGTCTGCCAATGTACCTGTTCCTGAACGCTATACAATTTACACACCAGTTGTATTCTTTAATCATTTAATCATGGATAATGCCGGCAAGATTTTGACCCAGGGACAATGAAGTCTTTAGCACATCTTTTAATGTCAAGGAGGTTATCAGGAGATTCAATTCAGTGAGTAAACATACATCAGTTAAGAGTTGTTTGTTAACAAGATGAATTGGATACTCAATGAGTGAGATTTCAGACAGAAGACACAATACGTACGTCGAGCCAGATTTGTTGAATGCAACATTTGTCAGCGGCAGGATATGTGCTCGAAGAACCTGCAAAACAGCAAATTGTTATTGAAGTAAAACCATTACTTTAGCTGTTTATAAATTTGCTCACGTTCCTGGATTGGATACGTGAAATAAATTCTTCATCAATAAATTATTTCTCTTTCAACTGCAACTTCTCTTCTCCATCACAACTTTTCTAGCGTTTAATTTTAACTTGTGTGTTACGTATCCATTTTCCCTCTGTACTTTACTCACTTCTTCTCCTGATAGAAAATTGCATGCCAAAATTCAATAGCCACATTAACTGCAGTTATGATGACTGCACCAGAATCTCAAATACGAAGTATCAATAACTAAACAAAAGGAAAACCCAGTTAGTGAATGAGGATAGGATCAGGATCAACTGTGATGCCCTACCTAGTTGAATAGTCTCCCAAAACTCACTGCCTAAGCCTTCAGGTGAAGAAGGGTGACTGGATGGTGGTTCATAACAGCTCAGAAGACTTGAGGTTTGAAATAGCCATTACAGAAAATAATTTTGATTTGAAACACACTGAAGAAATGTATTCCTCACCTTAAAAAGGTAGAACTTGTGGTCATCTTGTTGCCCAAGTTTTTCCTGCAGCCTCTGCACCAGCTGTTTCAATTGCTCTTTACGAGATGCAGTTATAAGTGGCTCAACTCTTTGGATTTCTTGGACAACAGCATCTACGTCTGCCCTGGATTGAGAATTTCATGAAGAGGGAAAAAAATAGAACTTCAACCTCAATCCCTCTTAAAAGTTTAAGTAATGTTATCAATATAAATGAAAATAGAATCAGTTCCCAATTATCTAATGGCTTGATTAATAACATTTTAATAATTTAAAATAAAATTAAGCCATATAGACTTGGAAAGTCTCAAGTTTATTTGTGGAATCAACTCACTGTGATAGACTGGAGATAAAAAATTAATAATGATAATCATGATTCTTGCATTTGGATCATTATTATTATCATTTTCATGTCAGGAGGATATCTGAAAGTGCTTCACAGGATTTACTGTAAAGTGAGGGATGTGATTTTATTGGTGAACGCAGCAGATAATTTGCGAAAGACCAATTTCATTTGAGGAGATTGTTAGCCAGCTGGACACCTGGAGAAATTCCCTTCTCTTCTCAAATTGTGCCATTGAATTGGGAACCCTCAGCAGGTCAGGCAACATCTATAGAGAAAGGAAAGTGAGTCAACGTTTCGTGTCCACAATTCTTTATCAGAACTAGGTCCACAACCCAGTTCTGACGAAGGGTCGTGCACCCAAAATGTTGACTCACTTTCATTTCTCCATAGATGCTGCCTGATCTGCTGAGTGTTCCCAGCGATTTCTGTTTTTGTTTCAGATTTCTAGCATCTGCAGTATTTTGCGTTTTGTGCCATAGAATTGTCCACCTGAACAGACAGACTAGACCTTGGTTTAATGTTTAATCCAAAGGATGGCACATCCAACAATGCATCACACTCCAGCATTGTGTGCCAGCCTGGACTCTGGGAGTTCAAAAGCTTGAATGTGAGTTTGAATGCTATAAACCGAGCCAGGCTGAAACCAAAAATAGCCAAGAAATAAGACACATGGGTGTGATACCATCAGTTAGGTCTCTTACCTACATCATTATCTGTTGAAATGGTTGAAGAACCGGAAGGGTAGAGCGGAAGAGGAACAAAACATTTCAAAATGCGGGGAAGGAATTGGTAGTAATTTTGTACAATTTATACTTACACTGGAGTCAAGTCAAGCAGATCAATGGATTTATTCATCATCTCCCCTCCTTTTTCATATTCCAAAATAATCCCTGTACAAGAAAAATCACAGTTAGATTTTTAAAAGCAGCAGTTTGCCTTCATATCCATAGCGCCAGAGAGAGATCCAAACTGTTGAGGTTTACACTCCAGATGGCTGGAATGGGGTCAGACCGCAAATGATTCCTGCATAAAATAGGTTTAATGTGGGGAATGGTGTGTGCACTATCTCCCCGGAGGCATGGCGACGGGCTACACCTGGCTGACCAAAATAAATTGTTCCGTATTGAATTCTGATGAGGAGTCGCCCTCAAAACGCTAACTTATTATCCGCTCCGCATTGACAGCATTTTCTACTATTGTAAGGCATACTGTATGGTCTAGGATGACATTCCAGTTTAATGCTGGGCATATATATATATATATATATATATATACACATGCTGCAATGTTGGAGGTGTCATCCTTAATAATAATAATAATAATCCTTGGATGAGATGTTAAACAGAGGTTCCGTCTGTCTGGTCTGGCGGATATTAAAGATGCCTAATTCGAATAGAGAAAGGAGTTTCTCCTGTTGCAGTTGCCAACCATCCCTCAGAAAAAAATTGGTCATTCACTTCACGGCAGTTGTGGGACATTGCTGTGCACAAATTGGCTGCGATCGGACTGACTCCAGGGATTGATCAGCCAGAGGGCGAGGATCAATGACAAAAAGAGACACGGGGAGGAACAGAGGGAGAGAGACAAGAAGGGAGGCAGAGAGGGGGGTCAGAGGGAGAGAGACAAGAAGAGAAACGCAGGGAGGGAGGGAGGGGTCAGAGGGAGGGAGACAGAGGGGGGTCAGAGGGAGAGACAAGGGAGTCAGAGGGGGGGTCAGAGGGAGGGAGACAAGAAGGGAGGCAGAGGGGGGGAGGGGGTCAGAGGGAGGGAGACAGAGGGGGGTCAGAGGGAGGGAGACAAGAAGGGGGTCAGAGGGAGGGAGACAAGAAGGGAGGCAGAGGGGGGGAGGGGGTCAGAGGGAGGGAGACAGAGGGGGGTCAGAGGGAGGGAGTCAGAGGGGGGTCAGAGGGAGGGAGACAGAGGGGGTCAGAGGGAGGGAGACAGAGGGGGTCAGAGGGAGGGAGACAGAGGGGGTCAGAGGGAGGGAGACAGAGGGGGTCAGAGGGAGAGAGACAGAGGGGGTCAGAGGGAGAGAGACAGAGGGGGGATCAGAGAGAGGGAGACAGAGGGGGGGTCAGAGGGAGGGAGACAGAGGGGGGTCAGAGAGAGAGAGACAGAGGGGGGGTCAGAGAGAGAGAGACAGAGGGGGGTCAGAGAGAGAGAGAGAGAGGGCGGTCAGAGAGAGAGAGACAGAGGGGGGGTCAGAGGGAGAGAGACAGAGGGGGGGTCAGAGGGAGAGAGACAGAGGGGGGGTCAGAGAGAGAGAGAGACAGAGGGGGGGTCAGAGGGAGAGAGACAGAGGGGGGGTCAGAGGGAGAGAGACAGAGGGGGGGTCAGAGAGAGAGAGAGACAGAGGGGGGGTCAGAGGGAGAGAGACAGAGGGGGGGTCAGAGAGAGAGAGAGACAGAGGGAGCGTCAGAGAGAGAGAGAGACAGAGGGGGGTCAGAGGGAGGGAGACAGAGTGGGGTCAGAGGGAGGGAGACAGAGGGGGGTCAGAGGGAGGGAGACTGAGTGGGGTCAGAGGGAGGGAGACAGAGGGGGGTCAGAGGGAGAGGGTCGGTCAGAGACGGGGGGGGGGCAGACAAAGGCAGAAACATAGACTCAGGCGGCCGCTCTATGTGCCCCAGAGCCCGGGGGTCTTTGATCACTTAACCCCGACTCCGGGTGAGATCCCCCCCGCGAGATCGGGTCCCTTGAACATCACTCGGCTGCAGCTCCCCCCCCCCCCGGTTGCCCGGCCTCACCTGGCGGATAGTAACGGAGCAGAAAGCGCTTGAGCCTCATGTCCTCCAGCCCGGGCCCCGCCGCGTCCCTCTGGCCGGTCGCTAGGCAACCGGCAAACCGCCGCCGAGAGGCCGTTGGTGCGCACGCGCATTCCTGGGGCCGCGGTCACGTGGGAAGCCTCCCGCTCGACGGGAAGGTGCGGGCGGTGGGCGGCGAAGGGGGAGCGCCTGCAGTGCCGGGCCGCCGCCCCCGGGGGTGGGGGGGGAGGGGGAGCCTTCACAGCGAGTCGCTGTCACTGCCCGCCTCGTTAGTGACTGTGCAGGTAAGGGACTGGCCGCCAACTCTGGGGGTGGGGGGTATTGGGGGGAAGGGAAAGGGGGGGGTGATGGCTGTGATGGGAGAAGTCAAACCGCACTGACTTGTATTTACTGTGGCATCAGAGAGAGAGAGAGAGAGAGAAAGAGGAAAAAAAAAGTTGAGACCACCTCACAGATTAATGAACCCCCCCAATGAACCCCCCCACCCGGAGCGGCAACCGAAGACCTGCAGCGCCCACTGCCCTCGTCATCCCGCCCCTTGGGGGTGGGGGTGAGGGTGAGTGGGGGGGGGAACGACGCCGTCCTCCTGACCCGAAAGGCGCCTTTAAAAAAATGTGATTTGTTGTTGTCGTCGTTTTGGTTGGTTTGTTGTTGTGGTTGTCGTTCGTTTCTCTTTCCGACGTCTTGAAGCCACTTCGGAGGCGACCGACGGTTGGCGGACCTTTTGCCGCTGCCTCCCGCAAAGCCTGAACGTCTCTCGCTTCGAAGCGCGCGCCGGTTCCAGTTTGACGAAAGAAGCGCCCGTTGCGTGCTGCGTCCGCGCTGGTTACCCTTCCTGCTTTGCGAGGTTTATTGGGGAGATTGTCCGACGTGCGGTTAAGAGGCTATAAATGCAAATCCTTCCGGATACGTGGCCTTGAAGAATAATCAACGGTCTGCCTGGTTGAGGGCTTACAAAGAGTGTGGACGGGGCTGCGTATATCAGCGTTCAGTGAAAGGTTGCATTACAGATTTCTATCTCATTGCTGACTGAATCACTGTCGAGAGAACGTGACATTCTTTTCCTGACTTGTCTGGAAGCCCACTGAAAATACTTTTATGGTACAGCAACTGCAGAGCAATCAAAGTTTCCCTCTCAATTGTTTTTTTTTCAGTTGTTACAGTCCGTGAGTACTTTCAGTATGAAGCTTTGAATCGAGTAGTTCTGTTTTCTATCCGGGATCTTTGTCAAAAGCAATAAACACTGAAAGTCTGTGGCTGCGATATAAATTGGAATTGATCACTGAAGGCTGAATACAGAGCTGTAATTGCATTGTTCTTCATTTTCTCTTGATATCTCAGAGTCATGGACTGCTGCAAAATGAGGAAAGATAAAGAATGGCTTTATCCAACATTCATTTTGTGTGTTTATGGATTTTTTTCGATGATGAAACCTGCAGAGCCCTATTTGACTCTTTATCTGGTTGCGCCAAGCAAAAATTTCACAGTTTACCAGGTACATATTCCAAAGTATTGATTTTTAAACTTCATTCCTTTACTTGCCAAGTATCTATCTCCTTTTTAAACTTCCTAATCAATTTTGCATCTAACATTATGTATCCAAATGCCTCGATATCCCTTCCTTCCTTCCTTCCTTCCTTGCTGTACTCAAAATTGTCTGTCGCATATGCCTACAAAATACACAGTCATTCGACTTGACTAAGCAGGCTAGACAGGCTCACTAGTCAACTATCATTACTGGTTGCTAGAAGGCTGAAATGCATTCAGGAGAGAAGGGGGCAATTTGAAGTGGAAGGTAAAATCTGTGTTTCTTTACAAAAACATGAACTAATATTACTGACCTTTCTTTTGATTAGGTGGCTAACCAGATGTTCCCTGTTTGGACGTACTCTTTTTTGGTATTGTTGATCCCAGTCCTCTTGACAACAGACTATTTCCGTTATAAACCTATCATTGTTCTTCAAGGATTTTCCCTTGTTATTAATTATGTTTTGCTGCTGTTTGCAAAAAGCATGTCAGCTATGTTATATCTTCAAGTCAATAATGGTCTAGTATCAGCGACAGAAGTTGGCTACTTTTCTTATATTTACAGTGTTGTTAGTCCTACACACTACCGGAAGGTGACCAGTTATTGCCGGAGTGTCACTTTGGTTGCTTACATGGTGGGCTCAGCAATGGCTCAACTCTTGGTTTCTTTAGGAGGTGCCTCATATTTCCATCTGAATGCAATCTCGCTGGCAACTATGTCTATTGCCTTTCTGACCTCATTTATTCTTCCCATGCCCAGCAAGTTTACATTCTTCAAAGTCATAGATCAACCCCCATCTAGAAGAATACAATCCAATTCATCCAGCAGCTTGCAAATCATGACAGTTGTCAAGGGAAACTCAGAGAACACTGTCATCCCCGAAGGATTCGAGATAGACATTAAAGAGTCTGTCAAGACAAAAGAGAAACTTGTTTTTTTGAGGGTACTTATACAGCTGTGGTATGATTTTAAGGTTTGCTATTCCTCAAAAGCTCTGATCTACTGGTCTTTCTGGTGGGCCATGTCTACTTGTGGCTATTATCAGGTGTTCAACTACGTCCAAGTGCTTTGGAACAATATCGAACCATCTACAAACTCATCAGTTTATAACGGTGCTGTAGAAGCAGCAACAACGCTTGTGGGTAAGCTTTTTGGTATTCAGTTTTATTACTCTGAGTATCAGAGATGTCTCTCCTGCTGTTTAGCTAATTCCAGAGAATATTTAATAATCCCTGATCTTCCTCTTCGACCATTGCAGTCACCTTCCCCTTTCCCCCGGCTCAGCATTGTGCTCCGCCACTGTCAAGTGCTCTGGGACGTCACCCTGCATGAGGGGCTGTATATGCAAATGCAAATTATTGATATTCCAGAGAATATTAGGTACAGGTTGGCAAGAGTCAAAACATGGGGACTTCAGAGTGTGCGTAGGGTAACAGTATCTGAGAAGGAAGAATCACTGCCCCCAGTGACTGGTCTGTCCTTCCAAGTTCTGCTGGGCCATCAATGCTTAGAGCAGGATCAAGGGTTGACAGATCAAGTGACTGCTCCCCAAACAAGATCGAGACTGTGGAGTGTACCCTTTGGTTACATTTAAAAGTTCCTGAGGAAATGAATTATCAGACAGTTCGGGAGATAGAGCACATCCCCTCCCCCCCATACTATTCTCGGTGTATTGCCCTTAATGCTGGATAATGCACTTCCGTTTTTGCTTTTTGACAACTGATCGGGAGGTTTGCAGCTTTACTCTTGGAATGTTTTTGTTTGGTAAAGGCTGTGATCGGAACCTGAAGTCAGCTGTTCAAATACTTAGATTTCAACTTAGACCAAATAATGTTCACTTTCTCTTTGCATCTGCTTCCCTCCGCTGGCCACTTCATACAATGCAAGCACAGCAATGATTTTTCTTCCACTTACAATTCGATAAGGATTAACAAGCACAGGTCACTATCTACAGTGACATTTTCCTTCCATTATAAGCACATAACAAATGGTTAAATGTAGCTCCACTGACAGACCGATGGGTAAAGGCACTCATTCTTGAGCCGTTTCGTCAGGATACTAAAGGTCACCAGGCCAATGTCTATAGGTGTGAGAGACCGTCTTAGCAGCTACAGCCACTGATTGCTTTCAGTACTATGTTGGTATCTGACTCATTTGTTCCCTGTTTTGCAGGTGCTGTCTTGTCCTTTGGTGTGGGGTATATAACATTGGACTGGGCCATCTGGGGAGAGCTGGCATTGGGCTTCTTCTCTGGAGTCAGCAGTATTTCTCTGTTTATTATGGACTGCACTGACAACATATTGATTTGCTACACCGGTTACATGATATTCAAAGCATCTTACATGCTTCTTATTACCATTGCCACGTTAGTTTTTTAATTATTTTTTCTCCAAATTTTTAATTTTACATTTCCTCTCCTATGGTCAAACTGCCCCATCTCCCAGATCTCTGCCAGTGTTGATTGTTAATGGTACAAATCTATAAAGAGGTCACAACAAATCACTCTTTTTAATAATAAAAGTATGGTAAACCCATTTGTCTTTTTGTCTCTATTACTATAATATTGATCTCTCCTCACTTATTCCATCCATTCTACTCTTGCTTCTCTCTACATCATCACTATATTGAAATCCAGATCCAGTGCACCAGCTCTTACTCTTCAACTCATTCTTTCCCTGGACCTCAGAACCGTGAAACTCTTTACCTTGTACAATTTTTTTTACGTAAGAGTGATACGGCACATATACAGTTCATGCTGGTGTTTAGATTTCACACACATCCCTATTCTTTCCCCTCTCCTACACCCCTCTATTTTCTTCTCCCTCATCTATGAATCAAGTTTTCTCTTAAATATAATGATGGTATTTCCTTCAACCACAGATTCTGGCAGTGAGTTCCACATTTTCATTATATTCTGTATGAAGATGTTTATTCCTAAACTCCCTATTGGATCTACCCTTAGCTGTCTTATATTTATGACATCCAATTATGGACTTGCTAACAAGTGGAAGCAAACCATCAACATCCATCCTAGCAAATTAAAAAGTCTACAGGCATAGACTTTTAAAACAACAAGCTTGGGTTCACAAAGCCACAATTTTTTGAATCTTCTTGTCTTTCCTGACATTTAACCTTGGTGGTGTCATGCACAGTGGTTCATTGAACTTCGAACAGGTGCTAGTAGTTGTGTGACGCAGAATCTGGTTTTCCTTTCTGTTTATGTGCTACTACCTAGGCATTACACGACATCTTTCCAACTAATTCACAACACTTATTAGGAAGGATTGAAATTGGTGCAAAGTTTTGGATGTAAAATATAAGAAACAATTTAAAAAATGGTCACCATGCAATTTTGTAGGCTTTCCCCTAGCATATATGCAGTCATAATAATTTACAGTAAAAACTATCGAGTTTTGAAAAGATTTCCCAAAGTGAAAGGTGCCATATCAAACAAAAGTTTTTTTTTTACTTCTTAATTGCAGTTTACTTCAACAACCCCATAACCCAAAGAAATGAAAATAAAAGTTAAACACCTGCAGGAAAAGTAGAGAGCTGAGGAAAGAAACAGTAAATTTCACCTACAAATCATCAGTGGATTCCTTAATGCGCAGAAGTGTCAACTTAACTCAGTTGTTCGTTCTGTCGCCTCTGAGTCAAAAGGTGGGTTCAAGTCCTACTTTAGGACTTAGAACTCACAGTCAGGGGGGAGAGGATGCTGCATTTTTGAGGGTGCCATCCTTTGGATGAGATGTAAAATCTAGGTCCGCCTGTCTTTTCAGGTGGATGGAACTATTGCAAAAGATAGCAGAGTTTCTCCCAGTGTCCTGACCAGTAATGCCCCAGATAAAATCGATCATTCATCTGATTTTTTGGGATATTGCTGTGTGCAAATTAGCTGCTGTGTTTGCATACACAGTCACTATACTTTAAATCCTGTGAAGTACTGTGAGATGTCTCAACGACATAAGGTGCTATATCAAATGCAAGAATTATTACTGTTAGTGCATTATGGAATGTTAGTCAGATAAATCTATAAAATATGAAGCAGGTTCAGCCTTGTATAATTATAAATTGCGAGAGGATGAATCATTTCCTGAATCATGATTTCCAAAAGGAATATTCCAAACACCTATAAACATTTTTGAAAAGTTAAGCGTGAGTCTACTCAATAGTTCCAAAATTAATAATAGTTGGCAAGTAACATCTGAGTAATTTATCAATCCCTTCATTATTTTGATTTGATGGGATTGTCTTTAAAACTCTGCACGTTTTCCCCTGAAAATACAGTGATATTTCTGTTTGATTGATCCTCAGATTCCAGATTGCATCAAACCTACACATGCAACGTTATGCTTTAATGTTTGGGATCAACAATTGCTTAGCGCTTATACTTCAGACTATCCTGACCATTATTGTAGTTGATTCAAGGGGCCTGGGACTGGACATTGTCATCCAGGTAAGATTATTTTTCCCTTCCTCTCAACATTTGATGGGAATCCTTATTGAGCTTTAAATACTTGTACATAGTGAGGGTCAGAAATTTCCAATCATTCATTGATTTGGAGCCAAGTTATCTTCCAATTCTGAAAAGATTGAAAAGAAAGTGACTCGTAAATTTATCCTGACTGTTTTCCTCCTTCCATTTCCACTGCAAAGTACAAATAAAAGATCAATCATATCCTAATCCTAAAATAAATTATTTCTGGCGCAAAACTTCAAAAAGGATTTTAAAAGCACCATAAATCACAATTTGATTCTAATAGCTTGCTTTCACCTACATCAACTGTGCCTCTCCTCATATTGAAGGCTTTGATTATAGCCCCTCTCAACCTTCTGCAAGCTTTTCCTCAGAATTTGGAGCTAAGTATAGATAGATGCCAAATAGATCTCCCATCACAAGCTGTATGCCAACCAGGAATCCATCTTCTTGCTCTCCTCTTTATCTTCAATATAGTTTTGATGGCGCAGTGCTAAAAACTGCATACAATTTTAACTGTAGCCTAAGCACTAAATTATACAAAGTCAGAATAATTTCTGTTAATTTGTTGTCAAGTTTCATTGAGGTGCAATCTTGTTCTTGGCTGTCTGAGAGCAGCACTCTCAGTACGTTGATTTGTAGCTTTCAATGAAAAGTTATTAAGTACACTCAAATACTTTGCCATCTCCATCTCTGCTAACGGGCACCGGCCTTTTAGTATGTTATGCTGTTTCATGTTCTAATATATATTTATCTTGTATTTAAATACTTCGAAATCCATCTGTCAACTCTTGGCTCATCTGTTTGTTTAAAATAGAGAAGGTTTCCAATGGTGTTGGAAGTTGTGGGCTTGATGTTTCATCTTCTTGTGTTCCATTCTTATTTATGTTCTTATCTGAAAACTGAGTTGATTTTTTTACTGGTGTTTGAAAAAAGAAACTTTAATGTCATTTATCTGGGTTTAACTTAAACCCAGACTCAAAGCTGAAGAAATGTTGAGTTCACAAAGCAAACCGCTCTTCGCAGTTCATTTAGTTTTGTAATCACTAACAAGAAAGACTTGTTTTGGGTGTTCCACTTTTTACTGCCTAAAAATACAATCATTAAACTTGACAACTATTATTTGAAATGCTTTGAAATGTTTCAACTTTTTAGGAGCTATGCAAGTTTTTTTTTATTGTTGATTACAAATCCAGGGATTTTTACCAGTGTTTGTCTCATTTGTTCTAGTTCCTCATCTATGGATGTTACCATGCTGCGCTTTCTGGAATATTCCTAATAAGGGGAGCGTATACCCTTGGTCATTTCAAGATGAAAAAATCTCCAAATATCCACTTGTCATTGTCTGAACACCAAAAAGATGAACCACTTGTGGAAGAGCACTGAAGCATAGACTAAAAAAGGACCACTGCTGCAAAGAACATTAATGCTTTGTGCTGAGAAAGTTCGAATAAGAGTACAAAATAGTTTCTGGACTTAGTGCATCTGTACAAGGACAAAATCAAGTGCTATTGATGAATTGTGGTTTGGATGGTGATGGGTTTCCGCATGTGTCAGGCACCCGGCTGATCAAAAAAAATGAATTGTAAAAGACTGATTAGTAGTTATCAGTGAAAAGTTATTAAGTACTTTGACTCTAGTACTAGTATTGCTACTTCAGCAAACAATAAAGGAGGTGGTGAGTTACTTTGCATTGCCAAAGCTGAAGACTCATGTATTCCTGGCTAGCTGGCCATTAGATTTTCACAGCCTCAGTCATATCCCTAAGCCTTTTACTCTCGCAGTATAATGCTATAGAGTGTAAATGCTGAAAGGTTGTGTGATACAGTGCAACGTATAATTATACTGCTGAATAAATCTTGTGTGCCTGACTCTCCAGTGAATTATGATCGTCACCCATGAAGCCAACGTAAGTTCCCTTGTATCCCACTCACATCCTATATTCTATTAATAGCATGTGAGGGAGGTTTTCCCATGAGTGGGAATAATTAAGTGAAGTAAGCATTCTTTATTTTCCAAAAGAGAATGCATAAAAATGATGTAGGAATATCCAACACACACTGTAGCAAGGTTATCTTTTTCCAGATGCTGAAAACAAACTGAATTTTGATGTTGTGTTTTCTCTGTTCCTTGGTACTAATATTTAAATTCAGCCAATTACAGAATTGAACTGGAAGGGTACATCAAAGGCATAACAGTTCTACAGGATTCAAGGGGTATGGGGGGGATAGAGCGGGTTTGAATGAACAGCTTGTTCTGAGAGCTGGTGCAGACTCAATGGGCTTAATGGCCTTGTGTAAACTTCGATAACTGGAGGTGTAGTAACTTCAGCACTAGGTCATTATCGCTTGCCCCAATGCAATGATATAAGAATTTATATCAAGACTACTTGAGAATATTGTGTTGATTTTGCAAGAAGGTATTTGTTCCAGTGGTGCGGGATGAAGGTCAAATACAAAAATAAATGAACACAATGCTTGTTGCCAACAATTTCTAATATATTTTCTGGGAGATACTGGAGACAATTTAGCTTTAGCAAAATGTTTGAATGCAAAGTAACACTTTGACCTGTGTCATTCCATTGGTTCATATTGTTCTACTTGAGTGCATTGTTCTGTGTTGCAATATATGGCAGTAATTAACATGTAGTCCTATCATCTTGGAAATGAATAATACCTCTACAATTATTGCATATTACGTGTCTCTTTGACAATACTGGGTAATTAGTATTATTAACATGCCAATAAGAAAAAAATCAGGAAACAAAAGTGCTAGCATATCAGGCTGGCAATACTTCACCTCCTTTTAATTTACTTTCATACAAACGTTAGTCTCACTTTCAGGAACTTGTGGTTGGAGGAATAGCAAGGCTTGGTTGCCTCAAGGGCTTCCAAGGTTGTCCTGGACAATTGATGATCTTTGACTCTGGAAGGTCTCTGAGCTGCTGCTTTGGTAAATCAGGCATTTGTGAAGGCGCATCAGTGCCTATAGGCGTCTTGACGACTTGTTCTCCAGGTGTAGCCTCAACAGAAGCACCCCTGATTGCCCCCATTCCTGGAGATATTTGGAATTCCTTGAAAATAAGAAAGGGGAATAAATATATTCACAAGCCTTCCAATGTAACTGCAATTATAACAGAATAAATTTGATGTCTGGTCCATTGATTTGATATCTTCAGGGACAAAAGAATTTTTGTGAAATACATTTTTACTTAATAGTTGGAAAAGGCTGAAAACTGTTGCATCTGGCTTCACTCAATTGTTTGGTTTCCAAATGCCAAAACCTGGTACTAATATTGCTGATTCAGCAAACAATAATGGCGGTGGTGAGTTACTTTACACTGCCAAAGTTGAAGACTGGTGTATTCCTGGCTAGCTGACGAATAGATTTTTACAGCCTCAGTCATATCCCTAAGCATGCTCATTATTAAAATAGTTGCATTTTTTGCAAGCAAATACCCTCTTAAATAATACAATTTATCCAGCATTATAGTATTTAAAAAAGAGTAAATTACCTGTTTTTTGGGTATTATGTCAATCATTTCATCACCGCAAGATACACTTAGCGTTCGAGCATTCAACCAAGGTCTACTATGCAGAGTCGACTTACAATACAGCTACAAAAATAGAAGAAATTATTTGAAAAATATGAAGCAGTAAAAATCAGCTATAAAATCTGGAGTTTAATGGACAAATGTCTATCGTATGTTGCTTTCATGAAAAACATCTCCACATTAGGACCCTGCTTAAAAAGGTTATACTAAATACACGTGATTTACATCAGGAGGACGTCTCAAAGCACTTCATAAGACATACTTAAAACGTAGTGACTGTATTTTGAAGGTTATTATAGCATTGTGACCATTATTAAAGACCATTATTAAAGTAGAATTGTTTCCCCATTAGGTCTTATGGACATACAATACATCTAATACTAGAAAAATACAATTTTCTACTCAACAGTACAGTTGCTTGTGTTTAAGCAAATTTAAGGCGTCATTCACAGAAAGACAGTTCTGCAATGGTTTCAGAATTGATTGGCAATGAGAAAATTAGTGCCTACAGAGGTTGATAGGGGCACATTAGCTTCTGGATGTTTAACCCCAAGTTCAGCTCCTTCAGGAAACCCTGGACCTGACATTGAGGACTGCCTAAGAGATCAATATGGAAGATCTAATAGGTTTAGGAGAACTTCTTCATTCACAGGGTGATGAGAACACATAATACACTGCCAGAAGCTGTGATTGAAGAAACAGCATCAATGTATTTAAGAGAAACCTTGATGCAAACATGAGGTAGAAGAGAATAGAGGAGTGCAGATGAGGGGAATAGAAGATGTGAGGGCTTGTGTGAAGCATAAACACTGGCACGGACTTGATGGGCCGGATGGCCTTTTTCCATGCAGTAAAACCTTGTGTAATTATGGATCCTATTAGAAATGGTTTCAGGAGTTTGTATTATACTGGTTTTGGAAAGTCAATGGTCTCCTGATGTGAGGCTGCGGCTGGCTTGGCTACGGATGACTCAGTTAATATTATGCAATCCGCCCTGTGGAGTGGGAGAAGGGGGTGTTCACTATTCAGGCTTGCTGACTCGTCTCCAAGGACACATTAGGGCTAATTTCGCGGCATGAGAACACAGTAACCACATATCAAAATAATTACAATATCTAAAATGTTCTGTGTACAGATGGCCCACTGTGCAATAAATAGAGAATAGGCCAACAATAAAGCAATGTGAAAGCTGTTTCTGTGGTACTCACTGTCTTGAGCCTATCCTGTTGCACGGGGCAGTCTTTTGGTACGATTGTGGAATTTTTGGTGCATCCAGTTTCATGGATAGCAAACGATATCATGAATAACATTCCAGACACCACCTAATCATATATTTTTTAAAAAAATTGAAATTACCTGTTAGAAGATAGCCTCATCTGGAGAATGGTTCAGTGCAAAAAAATGTGATTAGTTTTCTTCAAACAAAATTGTAAACTGCTGATTCATTGGGGAGGTTACTTGCCTTTCATCTCTGGGACCAAGGTTTAAATCCAGCCAAGATGGATGAATAAAATAAATGGCCTTTGAAATTAGCGTAAAAAGTGGCAATTTCACTCAGAGGTTACAAGATAACTCTATAAAGTGGAAAGGTCAATCCACCAGCATTAGTGCCATTCTGAAACTTGGGCTGAGGCAAATTGTTAATAGCAGGTACTTTACTTAGCATTTGGCTGTGCTATGCCTGTCCTGTGAGTGCACTGCAAATCCACATGTTAATCAGAACAAAATCATTTGAACAATGTTATTAAGAGCAACCTTAAATATCTACAGATTTGTAAAGCAAAGTCTGACCTGTTTAACAGCTGTGTATATAGTGCCAGGTACAAAAAGATGAGAAGAGTTACTCTCATTGTTGATCTTTGTAACAGAGGAATGAAGTAGCTCTTGTATCTTAGGGTCATCATGTGGTACAAGTGTTTTGCCCCCAGGAAAAGATGCTCTCTGTCCAAATTGTCGATTGCTAACTGGAAAACAAAATTATAAGCAATTAGTGCACAATAATTATAATCCTTGCATTGTGGTAGTCTCTTTGACTTTGGGAGGATGTCTCAAAACGCTTCTCAGGACTTATTGTGCAGTGTAATGGCTTTGTATTCGCAGGTGAATATTGCAGCCAATTTATGCACAGCAATGTCCCACAAACGACCTTGAAGCGAATGGCCAATTTTATTTGGCTAGGACACTGAGAGAAACTCCCTTCTCTTTTTGAGTAGTGCCACAGGATGTTTAACTTGCACCTGGACAGTCAGACAGACCTCGGTCTCCTCTGAAGAATGCCACCTCCAATTGAATTAAACAGAAGTGAACAAGCATTACTGCATGCAAATTGAAATAGTGGTATGTGTGAACAAAGAATCATTACAGGACTGAAAGGATCCTTGTAGCCCATCTGACCAGCCTACAATACAGTAGGATTAAGCATATGATCACGATTTCAATATCACTGCTGGAAATTACGTGTACAGCATTGCCGGATAAGGCTTAGTTGTTACACTGGCCACACTTGAATAGTCTGCTGACACTCTGTTTAGACTCATACTAGAAGACTGAATATGTGGGTGAGGTACTGGAGTGTGGTCTGTGCATCAATACCAGGGCATCAGTCAGTGCCTTCACCATAGATTGGGAGAAATGTGGAGTACAAAAACATCCCATATTCTAACATTTATGTCATAATCAGTAATTGCTTAATCATTCCCCCCCAAGCTCCCCACCCCCACGTTGTAAAGTTTGTTTGCTTGTTGCCCCACATTGTCCATGAAAAGAGTGTTGATACAATGCCCTGCATTAAAGTTGTTTTTTAACACCTAAAATAAACAGTGAGGATTCTAAACGTAATTTGCATTTCACAAAAACTAAACAGAATCATGGTACTTGATCCTCAACCCTTGGTCTTAGTGTTAGATGATTAATTGTGGTGCTTGGATTTAGTGCAGATTCAGTGGCCAAGCAACCAATCCACGTTGCTTGGGTTCATGTCAACAATTTTATGTATTTGTTCAGTTGAGTCCGAGAGGATTAATTCCAAGGCTTGCTTGCTATCATTGTCAACTGACTTGGTTTGTCAAGCTTGCAGTCACTACAGTTATTACTTTGCAGAACCAATTTGTATGAGCCTCAGCAGAGATCTGCGTCTGCACAGGATGCACCCTGTCATCACATCATATCATGTGCGTGCTGACATCGTGTATCCCATCATTGATAACCTAGATTGCCAGTCAGGAGATGCGGCTTCTATTTTTTAAGGTAGCGCAGGAACCTGCAGTAGAACACAAGACCTCAAAGAAGTCTTTTTGGTTGCCATCATGCCATTGTCAATATCAGGGTTGCCAAAACAGTTGACCTGCAGCCTAAACTCAGTGTGAATGCTGGAGCCTTTAATGACAATTAATAATAATAATAATAAAATAATAATATTTGCATTTGGTATAGAACCTATAAAGTGCTTCACAAAGTTTCTGTGAAGCATAGAACATAGAAATCGGATATCTGGAAATTGGTGGCTAGGAAACTAGGACAAACTCCATTCTGTTTTCAAATAGCTCCATGGAATTGTTAACATCCACCTGTTTATTTTCTGCATATTATTTGAATGTAGGCAGGAAGAGTTCAATCTGTAATGGTTGAGTCAGGAATGAGGGAGGTCAACACAACAGTCAAATTCCAGATGTAGTTATCAAGTTCAGTCTGAGTTGATCTGTGGCATTTTCTAGACTGTTTGAGAAGGGAATGTTAACTTCCCATAATCTATTAATTTGTGAAATATTTGTGAAATAAAGATGTACTTTTTTTTAAAAAAAACTCCTTTATCCCAGAGTCAAGATTCAGAGACAATGGAGCCCTGTTATAATGCAGTGTTTGAGAGCCATAAAAGACAAGTGGAATTTAGGTCCTTCTCTACAGCAATTGAGTATAAATCAGAACTGTGTCCTGAACAATTCTTAAGCCCTTTTGGAAGCGAGTTCAAAAGTAGCATAGACCAAAGGTTGGAAACTGAGGTCATTCAAGAAGTGCCGTGTGCAATAGGATAACCCAGAGGGAAGAAAGCACGCTAGATAAGGTGGATCGTGAAAACGGTTAAGAATTATAACCAGCACTATTGCCTAACTGGAAAATTGGTCCTTGTGCAATTGTTACTGCAAATATGTACTTGTTATTCCGAGTCCAATGCCACTTACCAGGTTTAAGGGTGCATTTGTAAGATGTCACTTCCACAATACTATGGTTGTTGATGTACACATTAGATTCACATTGACCATTAGTCTGAAAATAAACATGGCTATGAGGAAAAGTGTTGTAAATAACATATAAGAAACTGCTAACATATCAAAGTCATTAGGTGGTGTTACACCCTTTTTATTATAATGGTTAAAAAAAACAACTTTAATCGTCTTTACCAATGTGACACCACAGGCAAGTAAGGAAAGAGAGCATTAGGTTCTATGGATCAGTCAGTAAAGTTTTGAAACCACAATAATAATCACTTAGAGAGGCATGGATTCAGTAATGACAACTAGCATCGATATGTAAAAAATCAACTCTTGCTTAGAAGGTTTAATGGAGTTATTTAAGAAATAATGGATAATCTATGGCTATTGTGTTTATGGATTTTCAAATGGCTTTTTGATAAGGTGCCAACGGAGTTACTTTTTGAAAATATTAAGGCATGTGGTATCAGAGGGAATTTGTCAGCATGGATAAAAGGTTGGCTAAATTACCGAAAACCGAAAGTTTAGTAGATTTCTTTTTCTGATTATCGTGTTATTCAAGTAGATCCTCCTCCTATCACCGCTAATGTCCAACTCTTCACGATTGCAGTTGACACTACTGAGAATATTAATCCTTTCCTTTTATGTTCATCCAAAACTTCATACAACTCATGATCAGCTGTCATTCCTTCCTCCAGCAATCTTAAAATCATTAATCAGTACTTATTGATTTATTTTATCTTTCCTTCCATACTTTTCAAATTCAGTGTTCTCCTCCGCCATACATCTTGACCCTGCACTTCAGTTTGTCAATTTAAAACAGAGTAAAAGTTTCAGGTACCTACAGTATTTTCAGAGGTTCTGTAGCCACAGTCTTTCCAGGATTTCTTGCTTCCTACAAGGCAGTCAGATTCCTGGATATCAAATTTTATGAAATATCGACTCCCAATTGTTCTCTGTGGATAAAAGAATTCCGCCAGGGGTTTGACTTGCATGGTCTCAGGGCACCTTATAGAGGCATATGAAATTCAATAACATTGTCATAATTATGGCAGGTTAAGGAGATATAAAAGATAGACAGAAAATGCATGATAAATGGCATAGAGGCTCAACTGGTAAATTCATTGCCAGTTAGAACTGAGATAAGATGCGTGAAATTGGAAGTGATAATCTTCAATAATAATAATAATAATCCTTACATTTGATATAGCGCTTTTCACATCGGGAGGATGTCCCAAAGCGCTTCACAGAACACACTGTAAAGTGAATTGACTGTATATTTGAGGGCGAACGCAGCAGCCAATTGCGCACACCAATGTCCCACAAACAGTCGTAGATTGAAAATGACCAATTTATTATTGTTTTTGGTTTTTGAGGGATTATTATTAGGAGTGTGGAGTAAGAAAACTTGCCCAACCAAGGTTTCGCCCTCTGCCTGGAATTGAACTCAGGTCTCTCGCTTGCAAAGCGAGTGCTCTAACCACTGAGCTACAGGACTCCAAAACTCCACTTTCAAGTGAGGAAGAGAGGAGAAACTTGAAATAGAAGATTTTTAGCAGAAAAAATGGAAGTAGAAATAACTTCTAACTAATGCAATAATAAAATACTCATAAATATAGAACATATAAAAGCTCACCTGTTCAGTAGCATAAGTAATTCGGTGCAAACCATATTTATGACCTGTTGTACCCTTAGTGTTGAATTTACGTAGTGTGAAATCCACAGCAACTTGAAGTTCCAAATTATCGCAGTCAATAGGGATTGGAGGTACTGTCGGCACAATATGAGTTGGTAAAAGCGCATTAATGTATAACAGCTGGGAGATGAAGAGGAGCACAGCCAAGAGCTTCATCTTGCCTCCCTCTTTCGCTAAAAAGATATCAGAATATCAAGCTCCTCTTATCCGTTCTGTGGTTAAACCTATTGAATCAACACTTTTTGAAATATTTGATTTGTCTTGTGCAACATGGTTCTGAGTTTACTCAAATAAAGCAAATAAGCAAATAATGTAAGCAAATACGATATCAGTTTGGCTTTTGGGAATAAATGACTACATAGTTAGTGAACAAATATTTCTACATCTGTGTTGTGCTCCTTCCTCTCCTGTATCCTTCTCCAAATGACTTTAAATTACTGCTAGTTGGGTTGGCTAACATCTTCTTTCATGTACTTCACTCCCCAGTATCAATAGGTGGCCAAAACCATTCTACAGTAATGCCATATTTTAAGATCCAAGTTTTGAGCAAGTTCATTTAGCAAAGTAAGAAGAAAGTTAGCACCTAAATTGTTTTAACATTATTTTGAAGGATAGGCATCAGCAGCACTATTATAGAAGGGAACTGGACAGAAATCTGATTTTCACAATTCTAGCTCTGAGCTGGAATTTGAACCTGCAACCTTCAGTTCTTTTGGCTTATACCGATACACAGATGGTATCTTTAATCTTTAGGTCAGCAGATTGAGCCCTGTACCTAGTGCATATACTTGGCTCCTGTTAACCATGCAAGCCAACCCCCTGGTCTAATATAACAAGCAGTGGGAATCTTGCTAGACAATGTTCACAATTCAATTTTAGCTTGTTAATCTCCAACATTACCCCAACACACACTCTTGGGTGTCCAAGATCTGGCTCTTGGCAACCTGATACTTTTCAATGAAACACACACAAAAGGACTTATTGACCATAATTCTGTTTATTTTAAAGAGTCGGGTTTGCATTCATGAAAGGGTAATAAGTAAAGTAGTGCATTGGCCCGTGTGATGATATGGTTTTTCATTGTTCCACTTCTTTTGCACTCATCCCTTATTTTCATCAAATAGGTTTCAGTAATATACAGGGAACAGTTAAACATACTGACATGATGGAAATGAAGGCTTTATAATACAATTATAATTATTTATTTAGTTCATTACTCTCTTTGGTAACAATAATGAAGTTTTTTTTACAAACCAGCCAGTAAGTCAAAATCAAAGAAAAAGCCATCTGATTTGGGTTGTTCCCCCTCTTCAGCTGTGTTTAGTGGAGGAGGAACAGTTTCACTTACAGGGTCGGTTGGTGTTATGTGCCTCAAAGGCTTCCATGGTTTTCCTGGGCAGTTGACAGGAGGTTCTGGTCCTAGAAGGTCTGCAAGCTGATCTATTGCAGAAAGGGGTAATTCCAGAGGAGCGGAAGTTGTAATGACTGCTGGATTTGATTGCTCAGATTTGTTTATCAGATGCTGTTCATGGGAATCCTGCTGTTGGTAAAAGTGATGCTGCCTATGTCTTTGTCGTTGCTGAGCCAAAATCCCAATGGTCTCAGTCGGTTGGCTTCTGAATCCTTCCATCTTGAAACAGAGTAAGAGGAAAACATTTTATTTTATTCCCAAGTTTATCCCATTTAAAATTCTGTTAGACAAATTAAATTATAAATCAAATCTCAAAGCAAACAGTTGTAGAATGGGCAAGGGACTATCGAGCAAAAATAGGTGCAATCGGTCACAAAATGATTAGTGAAGTAGAAAAGCAATGTTAGGAGTAGAGAGATGAGCATTACAACTAACCTAGGAGGAGGAATTCCACCTGAGTCTAACTTTACTGTATTTTCTTAGCATTTCAATGTCCAGAAGTTAGCAAATTCTTAAATACAATCTTAATTCACAGCCAGTTTTCAGTGAGTTTTTTTAAGTACTGGGGAAATTAGGCTTCAACTTTAAGACTGAGTTTAACATTTTCCTTAACGTAATATAATTTATTAGTGATTAAACAGATTGTTAAAATATAGTAGCAAATTCTAAGAGTATTACTTGAAATCCAATCGGATCGGTGCTGCAGGATACAAAGGTATCTATTTCATTTGCTCGAATACTGAAAAGTACAGTTGAGTTGCAGTAAAGCTGGAGAGTAAATATTAGAAAAAAATATTTACAATTCATTTGCTGTAAAACCTGGTTTAACTAGCACATCACACTACAATATTCTTTTGGCATCTTTATTGGTGCACTGTTTGGGTTGACCCAGTGTGTACCATTTATCTTTAGGAGATATACACAAGACTTACAGTTTCAGCTGTTAGCAAATGAGTTCTACTTTATGCAAGCTTCGTACAAGGATGTTGTTGTTGTGGTTAGGAAGTCATTAAATTGCCAATCTATTCCAGTCTATATTATTGAAGAATAATTGGATGGGCCAAATGGCCTTCTTCATCCAAACCAATCTGGTGATATGTTAACATACACTTGACACAAACCATAGATAGATTAAAAATATATTACTGTGTATTACTCAATGTACTGTCAAGACACTCTGTTCTCACCCATTTTGGCAGAGGCTCTTCTAACATCCCTGCCCAGAATACAATACAAAACACTTGTCCTGTGGTAGATAATCCTCTAATTGCAAGATCCACCTTCTCTGCCTGTTACATTCATTTTCATCTCTATTTTATCAATGTAACTGTAGCCATTGTTTCTCAGTACTTTCCTCTTTCCACTCTTCTTTCTCTGTGCCCCCACATATGTCATCACATGCACTTTTTTCTCCTTGTATCCACGCTGTGTTGAAGTTAAATGTATGGAGAGTTTCACCAAGCAATACTACAGGGAATAGCACAGCATGTAGAGATGGGCGCAGAGGCTACTTTCTGTGATACTCACCGTTGTTGCATTATCAGGCTTTAATATGCAATCTTGCCACACATCATTGGAACTTTTGGTGCATTCTGTTTCCCGCAGAGAAAACTTCAGTGTATATAAATATCCAGCCACCACCTATTTAAAATAAATGCAGCACTGAAGGGAGTAACCTTGATTTTAGAGTGGGCTTCACTTTGGGTATAGTGTATAATTGTTTCTGTTTATTTGCGTAAAACTAGATGCTTCGAACATATAGCATTGTATCAGCAAACTGGCTTTGTGGCTTTTTCTTATTTCACACTTTATTAAGTTCTTAACGCTTCTTCTCCCCATAATCACACAAAGGCAGATATGATGATGTGTCATTAAGTTCAGAACCTCCTAACCCCAGAAATACTGTATAAGAATGAGTTAAATGTTTATAGATTTCCAAAGGAATATCTAACCTGCGAAGTCACTTTGAAGATCACCTCAGACCCAAAGATATTAGGATAGTTGCTGTCACTGTTGAACTTTTTAATAGAATAATCAAGGGTTTCCTTAGCTCTGGAGCTGTTGTGTGGTAAAGAAATTGCACACCCAAGACAAGGTGCAATTTTGGGAACAATCCACGGATCGTTAACTGGGAAGCAAGGTGACAAGCAATTAATGTGTAAGCACAATTATCACATATGTGATACCATTTCTATTCATGTTTCATTACATATATAATAGCAAATGCGTTTTTTGTGTGAGACATGCATAACCTATACAGTAACAGTTGCGAGTATGTTTCAAATGTTATGCAGTACTGTATATACACAGAATTTGGTGTGAGATCTATATTAACTGTATAATATTGGGCATGATTAAGTTGTTTCATGTTTGTTCAGGATATACTGTAGTAGTTTGTCCATTGGTAGGCCTTCAAACCAAGTTGTCCCAAGATCTATCCTTGTGGTTCAGTTAGTAAAGCCACTGCAAAGTGTGAAACAGGTGACGGGTAATTTTTGGTGCGTATAATCATTGCCAATTTCCTTTGTCTTGGTTGAGTTTAGTTTTGGATTGTTAATTTTCTGTGTGTTAGCTGGGTTAGGTGTTTAAGGCTTCATTTTCTGTGCATTAGGAACATTTAAGTGTCGAAGGTTAATTCTCTGTGTGTGAGATAGGTTCAGTGTCCGTGCAGGTTCTTGACATCAAGGGTTGATTTTTTTCCATGACACTGTCTATCCTGTTTGCTTGGTACACAATTAGTTACTACGATCAATTAGTTTGTAAATCATTTTCTAAAGATAAGACTGTTACAAATATTTCTTTATTGCAAACAAGAGATGGTTTGATGTGCTCATCTCGGAACCATAAAAGAGTGCTGGAGGTCTGTATGTTAAAACTGCATTATATATCCAGAATGACATCTTGTCTGCAAATGAACAATATGGACAGCTTTTCCTTGACAACTGTGGGATATTTCTCATGAGCGTAATGCGGAAGGGGCGAGTGGGGAGGAAACCCATATGTACTTGCTGGCCTAAATGCAATGTTGCTTACCTGGAATGATGGTGCAGTTGTACATAGTCACTTCTAAAATTCTTCCTGCTCTGTGAATGTACACACTGGATTCACAATGACCAATATTCTGAGAATAAATAGCAATATTAGTGCGACGACAACCACAAATTGCATTTCTATAGCACAATGTCCTCAATGTTGCTGACGAGGGAGGGAAAGGTAAATCACTCCTTGTAACCAAGTAGTGACGCCCGGTTGCAAAAACATAGGTGCATGAATGCCATTTGAGGATTGGATGTGGCTTAGCTATGAAGTCCCACAGGTAATCTTACTACCTGGGCTCACACTTGAAGACCAGTCACTTACGTGAGATACTGGGGAAAGACTAAAAAATACAGTATATTCTGTGAAGCACTTTGAGACGTTTCAAAGGCACGATAAGGCGCTATGTCAAATCCAAGGATTATTATAATTATTATTATGACTAACATCTGCCCAATAGTACCTAGCATGATTCAGCACCTTCAGGACTGGAGGGAAAAACTGTAAGAAAGCAACCCCTGTTTGTGTGATTACCTCTTTTTGCTGATTTGCTTTGTATGAAAAAGTCACAACCATAAAACTAGCACAACACTGGGATATAGGAGGGAACTGTACCAAGTTGGTTCAGTAACAATCTTAGCAATCTTATACTATAGATTTTTCAGGTTCATGATTCCCCAGATCCCCACTTCTATGCCATTGAGGATCAAGGGCCAAATTCTATAAAGAAGGAGAAGGCATTGGGAAATGAGCCAACAGGCCCTACTTTATACTTACGGCAAAAAATAGCATTTTTTTTGTAATATCCTTATAACAAAATTTCCCAATCTCATAAAACCCCAGCAGAGAGAAGCATCAGCACAGCCCATGCTGAATGGAACCTGTCCATTCTCCATGACAATGAAATTCTCTATGCCATTGGATGCGAATCTACAGATTTAATGTTCTCTTCCACTATTCACCTGGACCCTTCAGCTTGGTTTCTCAATTTAAATGGAAGAAAGTTTCAGAAACTTACAGCCACTGTAGGAGGTCTGTGGTCGCATTCTGTCCAGGTTTTCTCACTTTCCACAAGGCAGTTAGATTCCTGAATATCAAATTTGATGAAATATCGACTCCCACGTTTTCTCTGTGTATAATAGAATTAGTCAATGTTCAGCAATAATCTCAATTCTCCATCTAAACAAATGAAACTAAACTGCTTGTTCACATTTTAGTCTCTCAACTGTTCACACGTATTGTGCACATGCCTATCTCCGTGCATCCACCAATGAATTTAATATTTCTGTGGGAAAGATGAAATCAAATCTACCAGTAGAGTCAAAAAGAGAAAGTGGAGCAGAATCGGATTGGGAAACAATGGAGAATAAGAAAGAAGAAATTATAATTGGTGATTACATGGCAAGTAGGAATAAATTAATTAACCTATTTTTATTTCCTTTCCATGGAACTCTTTGGATTATTGGTTAGAGCACTCGCCTCGCAAGTCAGATGACCCAGCTTCGATTCCTGGGCAGGGAAAAACATTAGGCAAGTTTACTTACTCTGTTTACCTAGCAGTAATTAGGACCCTAGTTGTTAGTCAATTGGCAGATCACTGTTCCGGGGGTAATAATTCCTTCAAAAATAAATAAATAAATTGGTCACTCAATCCATGACTGTTTGTGGGGCACTGCTGTGCACAATTGGCTGCTGCATTTCGCCCACAAAATATACAGTCAGTTTACCTTACAGTATATTCTGAGAAGCACTTTGAGACATCTCAAAGACTTGATAAGGTGCTATATATCAAATACAAGGATTATTATTTTAATCAATATGTATTTAACTGTATTTCTAATATTCACAAAGCTGCTACTGACATTTGAATAGCTTGTTTACTTTAATATTAGTATTTGTTTCTGTGCTGTAATATTGGATCTAAAAGGTTAATAAAAAGCCCTGATCCTGATTATACTGGCAGACTGAGGATATTTGTGGAAGTGTCCACAAGGAAAAATGTTTGTTAATATTATCATTAAGTATTTTCGGTTAATGTTACAGTAATAAAGCTGCTTCTGACATTTAGCTTTATTGCTGAAATATTAGTGTTTGTTTCAGCTTATTACGCCAGGCAGTGGGAGATGAGGAGAGGACCCTCAACAAGTAGGTGATTTGGTGTCAGAATCGTACCAGTACCACTCTGTGACAATATATGTATGATAATAATAATATAATAATCCTTGCATTTGATATAGTGGCTTATCACGTCTTCAACACACCTTAAAGCGCTTCACAAGATATACTGTAAAGTGGATTGTCTGTGTATTGTGGACGAAATAGAAATATAAATATAAAGGATAACCCATTGAGGGACTTGGCAGCGTTTGGGTTAATTCATCGACCTTCCCCATGGGCATCTGCTCAACCTCAGAAACGAAATACATCAACAATAACAACAACAACAACAACAAGATTCCATTTATAGAGCGCCTTTCACGTCGGGAGGACGTCCCAAGGTGCTGGACAGTTGGGTCAGGATCCGAGCAGGGGGGAAATGAGCTGTGGTTGTGAACATCCTCCCTCCCCTTCCCCAACACCACATCCTTCTGTGCTGGGGCATCAGTTTACAAGGTTACGGGCTTAGTAGTTTCTATCATCACCCACAAAAAAACAGACACTCACTCCACTTTACAGTTTATCCTGTGAAATGCTTTAGGGCATCAACACCAAATGTAAGGATCATTATTATTAATATCTTTATTATTATTATCACCTATCAATAATTCTCGAACAATTTTGTATATTGTTTCATCAGAACATAAAAGAGCTTGTGAGGAAAATGGGACTTAAGCACACTGTCCTGAAAGGTTAGAATGCAATAACAACAAAGGCTCCATGTGGCGCATCCAAAGACAATATTACTGTACTCTTCCACCTCCTCCCTTTCCCCCCCCAACAATATCACAACCCAAAATATCAGAACAAATCAGCTACACAATATCTTCTCATCAAACTGTGGAACTTTAACCGAACCACAAGTCAGAGTTCTTTCAGAAGAGCTGAAAAATTGGAAAATTTATTTTTTTCTAAACTAAAGTGACAACATGTAAAATATTAGGAAAACAATAGTGCATGCAACAATAACAACAACAAAATTACATTTATAGAGCGCCTTTCACGTCGGGAGGACGTTCCAAGACGCAGATTCTGTATGATGGAATAATAGATTTCAACTCACCTGCACTGTACCAAAAGAAACTCTATCGAGAGCATATTGATGAGTTGTTCTACGTTCACCATTAAATTTACGTAATGTGAAATCTACAGCTTTTAGAAGCTCAGGATCATCACAATCAATAGGGATTGGATCCACACTGTCAATGTCAGAAACGGAACGAGCATTGCTGTGTAACAGCTGGGAGCTGAAGAGGAGCACAACAAAAAGCTTCATTTTGGGTCAGATTATTCAGCCTCTGACACGAAAGCGAGATCAGATTACCAAACTCTTTGTGTCCCTGACGAATCAACATTTTATGAAATGTTTGACTTTGCTTATGCAACACGGTTCTCACCTCAGCTTTTGGGACAAACAACATTGACTTGACAATAAGAAAGAAAATGTTCTATGCGTGTGTTGTCACAATGTCACCAAGTGAAGGTCAGATAGAGTTGGTGGAGTCAACATTGTCTTCTCTTGTGCGCTTAACTGCCTATTAGTCGGCAAACAAATCTATTTCTAGATTTTGGAATCACAGCTTTGCAAAAGAAAATTATATTTAGGGCTTCCTCAGTCCAATCAATGCAGTCTTGTTACATGACTCATCCAACTAAACTATTTCTATCTTCTTTTTCAAGAAATCAAGACCCGAACAAATAAAATTGTAACAAAAACAATAGCTTCTATATTCTAGCCATTATAATCTCTAACATTCCTTACAGGCCGATACACTGCTGTGTGTTGGAGGATTGTAATGGAGAGATAACGGAGATTAAAAGTCAGCACAAGACTAAACTGAGAGCACAGAGTAGATGAGACATGAATAACCTTTTAGTGGGAGATAAGAATGGACTTTATGGAAAGTTTTGATACAAACGGCTTTGAATAGATACATATACCTTCCATGTGTTTTATTGCAAAGAAGAACTTTCACAAACCTCCAGACCTCAAAAGACACTGTCCTACATCCTTACTGTTTTGGAGGCAAACATCATTTCGCTGCTCTAATGCATTCTTTTCAAATCCTCAAGATTGTGGAAACAGTTCTTTTTTTTCCTTCCACAAACCACGGACATTCATAGCAAAGCTCTGGTTTCACTGCCAGATATGGTGCTTGAGGTAGAATCCATTAGTTTTTAAGAGGAACCTACAGTAGATAGGTATCTTAAAAGGAATAATTTGCCTCAGTGTGGGGAAAAGGCACGTAGATAGAACATAATGGATTGTTCTTTCAAAGAATCAATCAGCCCACGTGCATGTAGACTCCCACCAGCCCACTCTCCTAGCTTGTGCCCCCAACTCACCAGCCTTGCTGGCTTATTCGCTATTTTCTGCTCACGGGGTTTCAAACAATTACAATGCTGGTACCCGCATTGGAACTACACTTAGCCAGAAATTCCGGCTCGCCAGATCGAATCTTTCCCCACCCACCCACCCTGCCTCCCTCCCCCTGCCTCCTCCCTCCCCGCCGCCCCCCCCCCCCCCCCCCCCGCCCCCCAATTAGTCCAGCTAGCCTGGCTTTTTGTGTATTTGAAAAAGAAATTAAATTAGCTGACTTTAGCATAAAGTTTATCAATAACCATTTGCCTTTAAAATGTGTTTCAGAGTTTTTTTTAAAAACACAGAGATTCTCACACTTCAAAAGCTGACACCGTGTACAGTTTTGCACATTGTGTTAGTTCTATTTTCAGGATCAGACACATTGTATTGGTCAATGCCACAGAATCTGTTGGTTACAGTTTTGCACATTTAGAGTTTGGAATATTCTTTGTCTCTATGGGGCAGTTGAGCAGATATCTTGGCGTAGGTGTGAAATCCTTTGTTATATGATTTCTGAAGAGGGCCTCTGGTTCAATTTTCTCCCCTTTCCAGAAGATACTGACTCAGATCGTTTCCAAGGGGTGAGAGGTATATCAGTAAATCTGATTGTTTCTTCCCCATCGTAGTAGCCCTTCATATTCTGTGCATTAAACCTGTCAAACCCATAAATCAATTCAATAGACAGAGGATTGTTGCTGGAAATGAATCAAGTTGAGCCATGTTGAAAGCACTGTTGATTTTATTGACATATCAGGATTGTAACAAATAGATAATGCAAAGCTTATGGGTCAAACACACAGCAGAATGCATCCAAGAGGCCTGCTTAAATCTAAGTAAAAGTGTTATTAATACTCATTGTTAGTATTTCCAACTGAGCTCACATTATTAAAAAGTTAAGAAAATATTCGATGATTTAATCAAATTGCAGATTTTCATGCATTTTCCATTCAGACATCCCTCAGAAACCCATGCTAAGGTTTACCCTGAAGGAGTTCTATATAGATGTAAAAGTATCATAAAGGGTGCTTTGTTTTTCACCGGATAGAATTAGTCCCTCCTACAGAATATGGGCAAGAACTTGAGGAAGATCGCTTCAAAGGAAAATATGGAAGCACAACAAGGTTTTCTGCAGTTTCATTCATTTGCATAAAGGTTGGCATTCCTGAAGTTTGGCCTTTTCTCATCGCTCTCGGATCTCTAGGTAATTGTTCTATAAGGGCTTGATTACGACAATGATCAGGATGATTCAGGTCCCTGTATTCCTGTAAAGCAGAAAAGATTCCACATAGCGGTGCAAACCAAAAATACAAACAGCCCATTGCTCAAGGGATTTGTAAATGACAGGTAAAATTGTTCGCCTGTTCAACAGTAGAAACTGAACAGACAAACTGTTAATATAAGAGTAATCCAGGCTGCGATCAAGTAGATGGTCATTCAATTTCTGTATCCTCACTACACATTTTCACCTGTGGGTCTGACACATGGTGTGGTGAAGTTCCATGGTTACCAGAACCATCCATAGCCTCACTCATCTGCCCATTTTGATGAGTGCCCTGACCAGAAGTGCTGGCAAATTATTCAACAACAAGGGCATCATCACCGAGCTTGATCTTGGTCTCATTCAATGTCTTGATATTCCACACATGATTTTTCAGCAGGGGTCACTGGACAGCACTCAAGAGTATGTATCCTGAGTCATTTTCCTCTCCTTAGCCCAGTAAAAACCCCTGAAATCAGTTCATTCAGCAAAAGCCAGGGAAGAAGCTTGGGGCTTTTTTGGTGAAGTGTCACACGGCAACTTTACTAGCCATAAGGTCAAATAGCCTGTAACACCCACCATCTAACATTTCTTATGAAGAACCACTTAGGCAATGCACCAGAAGCCGAGTAACGTGAAACCTTCCCAGTATAAATAAAATCCTTTAGGAGCGGGGGGAAGCCAAATTGTAAGGGGAAAAAAATTGAAAATATATTTCAAAAGAATCTAAAATAATTATAATGCTAAGCTTATACTTTTAGCAAGAAGAGCGATCTCTAAATAAACTGATTGAATAAAGAGTATAACAAAAGTATTTGCTCACCTCTGGCTGATAGAGCTCACATGTCACAGTTGTACCATCTTTCATGTTGACGATTTGTACTGAGGCTTTGCAGAAACCAAATTGCTACAAATAATGGAAAACATCACATTCGGAGACTGGTAATTAAATCTCTGTAAGCAACTAATTATTGTGAGGGCAAATGCTGTACTTATTCAGATGTGGGATAATAGTGTTGAGGAATACAACGAATGTTAACCTGGGGCCAGCATTCTTCATTCCCAGGTCAGGGTCAGATACAGCATACTTTAGATGTTAAATAGAGTTCCCTCCAGCAACAACATATGTACCTCAGACATAAACTTTGATGAGCAGCTCTATTGCACCATTTCCCACACTTTCAAATTAGATACTGTACTGTTTAGGATTTTTAATTGCATTGAGAGTGAAGAGTCCCAATAATTACGTACAGCAACACCAGGGGCTAAAGGTTTGCACTTTGAAAGGTTTTTGACAGTCTGTTTCTTTGAACACGCCGTCTCCACGATGGTAAATTCCACAAAATGTGCTTCAAAAAACATTCCCTGAAACATAAGAAAAACAGGATGGCCTTTAATACAAGGAAACATTACTAGATTAATGGAGCTGGACGTACAAGGGCATACAAGGTAATGTTTGCCCTGGAGTATGGAGGATAAAAATGAACTAAGACTCCCATTCTTGATAGGTATCCGATTACCTCTTATCAGCCAAGGAATGGGCTCAGTTGTGATGCATCTTAATAATCACAAGATCGCAAGAGTAGTTAGGATGAAAACAGTCCTTCAGCTCATTTGATCTCATCCTCCAGAATACCCATCTTACCGTCCTCCCATCACTAAAGCTTTTTTTAAAAAATGTGTTCTGTATCCTGGTCCATCTGGCAAAAATAAACAAGGAATATTGTACGATCTGATTACAAAAGTAAAGTAGCTCACCTGAAATGAATACTTGGTGACATTGAGAAGGTTGAAATATTTGGTATTGTTACTATTTTGGTTGTAATTTGTAAGAGCCTTGTTAGCACTGTTGATTGATGATTCATTCTCCTTATCATCACGATCTATCGGACAATCTGGACATATTTCACTCACGGTGCGTCGATCAGCTGCAACACAAACATATCGTTTTAGGGTTCTAGGAATGCGTTAGAACTGTGGTCAGAGAGCGAGCATCTCTTCACGGAGAGGTTTGTGAAGATGTGGAATGCTCTGCCCCAGAAAGCTGTAAGAAGTGGAGACAGACAGATACTTAAATAGCCCATTAAAAACTCACTACACTGCTGTCCCACAGGGTGTATTTGCCACATGTGTGATCCCAATCTGTGTGCCTGTATCACTGATCGTGGCCACACACAATCACAAACTCGCTGCTTCTGCACAAGGAGTGATGTGAATTCAGGAGAATCTCCTCACCTCCTGTTGTGCGATTCACTTTTTCTCCAGTGAGCTGAGCAACCTTTGGAGGAGACTGCAGTGAGTAGAAGCAAACCAAAAAGAAACCTTTTCACATTGGGAGGATGTCCCAAAGCGCTTCACAGGATATACTGTAAAGTGTAATGCCTTTGTGTTTTGAAGCCAAATGCGGCAGTCAATTTTGTGCACAGCAATGTCTCACAAACAGCCGTGAAGCAAATGACTAATTTTATTTGGGAAATTATTGACCAGGAGAAGTTCTCCTGAATGGGGGTAAACTCTCTTCCCTTTTTGAATGGCACCATTGGATCTTTAATATCCACCTGTACAGGCAGATGGGGCCTCAGTTTAACATTTCATTTGAAGTTTTACATATTAAATCTACTTCACCTGAGGTTAAGGAACAGTTGTAGTCATGCAAGCAGACAATCCTTTCTAGATTGTTGATGTGTAATGTTGCGTTACATTCACCTGCAACCTTGCGCAAACAGAACACAATACAGTGAGATTCATATCAGTATCAAGTATTCCATTAAACCAACAAGGGACTGATTTTAGAACTCTAAAAGTAAATTCATTACAATATGTTGGACAAATTTTCCCTGTAATTCACACAAAATTATAAATGATACTGACAAGCTCCTCAGAGCATCAATGAATTCTGTAGTCAGTGAACATTGGTGTCAGATTGATTTAAATTTTATAATTATCCTTTTGTAGGTCCTATCAAGCTCCATTTTTTATGAAAGGAATGAGCCATTTATTTGAGGTATTGCCAGATATTTGCCAACCCTGGAGCCATGTCCAAACAGGTGTCAGCAATTTTCAGACGAGATGGAGGGGAGGAGAAATTTGGAAGGAGTATAGCAATTGTGTGAGTTCTTTTAATCTGATCCTCTATCAAATTACAGCGTTAAAACGTATTATACCTGGTGCAAATCACTGAGACAGTTGCCCTTTAAGTACTTTATTTAAAGAAACTTTTATTACAATGGGAAAGCAAAACAATAATAAAGCAGGTGCCTTTTCCATCAGATAAATTTGAATCTTTTGTAGCCCACGTAGTAAATATTAAGATGCCTATCATTACCATCATTACTACCTATGAGTCTAAGTGTTTGTAGGGACTCAGATTCGCAGTCTGTTCTGGGTTTTGCCTCTAGCGTCTTCTTAGATCTTTCTGAATTGAGAAATTCACACTTACCGATTGATGGAACATCCTACTCTCACATGATCTCCAGTCTTTCCTACTCAGCACGTGACATTCCGTTTCATCAACACCAAGAGTCAGATAATACACCATGCCTGCATTACCCTGCAAATCACAGTCACGACACACGGTAAAACACAAAAACATCTTATCAATCAATACGCTATCAATAAAAATAATAATAATTAATAATAATCCTTGCAGTTTAAGAAGTGAATGGCCAATTGTCATCTGGATGGCTGATGGGCAAAAGAAAAAGAGGGTCTGCTGACCAGAACCACTGTCCTGACAATATAACTTGCATCACCATCGTGTCTCTCGATTACCACCAGCAACTGCGCCAGCTGATTGTGCATCGAATGATATTTAATTATTTAATTAATTAATTTTAAACATCAAAGTGAAATCTCTTCCTCGTTCCAATGGGTGTTTAACATTCACAAAACTGGATCGCTGTCAAACATCCTCTGCCGATATAGATCAACTTGTCAATCCCTCTGAAACTTACGAGAAACAATCTACAGATCTATTTTCTAATACAGTTTGTTAGTCATAATGCACATTATGAAAATGATCGGAGAAACCACTAGTGAAAGAGCATTCTCAACCTGCTTGTATACAGCATTCAAGATGATGTTCATTCACCTGAGACTGTTTCAGAGCGCTCCTGATGCTGACCAGGTTGTAGATATAACCTTCCCTGCGGTTTCTATTGATTTCCTGCAGAGCCAAACCTGACACCTTTATTGTATTAGAGTCGTTGCAATTAGTGGAATCCAAGAGTAAAGGAGCAATGGGCTGAGGAGAGGGCTCAGCCCGTGAACTGGACAGCTGAGCCCAAACCACAAATACTAGAAGAGCCTTCATATCGCACAACAATGCTTCTAACACTTCTTCTTGAGCCGTACTCAGGAAATGAGAGAGACGGAGCTCATTTTATCAGGTCAGCCTGCTCTTAGCGTACAAGGAATTTCTCCTCCACCCCTCCTCCTGTCAACTTCTTAGCTGATTGGCTGGTGATGGTGGAAGAATGTTGATACTGTCCTGTGTGTGGAGTCCTGTAGATTAGTAGTTAGAGCACTCGCCTCACACGCGAGAGGATCTGGGTTCAATTTCCGGGAGGGTGAAACTTTGGGAATATTTACTTACTCTGATTACCCAGCAGTAAGTGGGAACCCGGTTGTTAGTCGATTGATGAATTAATAATAATAATAATAATAATCCTTGCATTTGATATAGCGCTTTTCATGTCGGGAAGATGTCCCAAAGCGCTTCACAGAACACACTGTAAAGTGAATTGACTGTATATTTGTGGGCGAACGCGGCAGCCAATTGCGCACAGCAATGTCCCACAAACAGTCGTAGATTGAAAATGACCAATTTATTATTGGTTTTGGTTTTGGGGGGATTATTATCAGGCTCTGTGTGGAGTAAGGAAACTTGCCCAAGATTTCGCCCTCTGCCTGGAATTGAACTCAGGTCTCTGACTTGCAAAGCGAGTGTTCTAACCACTGAGCTACAGGACTCCATTGCTTTTCTGGGAGGGAGTAATACTACCTTCAAAAAATAAATGAATAATTTTCAAAAAAAATTTAGTAACTTGGTCACTTAATCCACAACTGTTTGTGGGACACCGCTGTGCGCAATTGGCGGTGGTGGTAGCAATGTAAGATTGTTTCACTTGATGTGAGGAGGATTGTGGGAATAAACATGTTCTGTAATTTTGTGTTAAATATTCCTTTTCGTGGCATGATACGATGAAGCTGTGGCAAAGTGTTTACAAATCTGTCTAAGTAGAAGGTACTTATACCACAGAAAGTTCTTGGAGACGTTGTACTGAGTTAGAAAGGGTCATTGTTTCATTTTAAATAAGGAATCCATCATCTGACACAATTATTTTCATTCCTGGCTTAGCTGAGCGAGTGAACGAATACTGAGCTATCGTGCCTGTTGTTTTACCACATGCTATATTGCTTTGAAACTGGGCCATTCTCTAGATGGGCAGCATGAAGTTATCTAAGAAAGAAAAATAATCAAGCAGCTATTTGCATTATAAACAGTTCGCCAAGAACTACACAGCCCAGCTATGTTCATAACCCAAAATGCGGTTTGAACGTGTATGAAGTAGAACACAATGTTCATTTCCAGTAATAATGTGTTTCTTTTTATAGGCTTTCACTAAAAGAGTTTCACTGAATTAATTTCTTTACTGCTTTATAGTCTAACATGTAAGCTTTTATTACCAGAAAGTACGTTCTTCATTAGCCACAGTATAGTTTGATATCTTGTTTGTTACTCACCGAAAATTGTTAACCAATTTGGAATCTTTAGAAATTTTAAGGGAAGGCATGTGAGTATGTTTAAAGCTTCAGATTACACTCAATATTTACACTCATCAAACTTCTGTCGGACCCCATTTAATTTTGGTTGGTATTTTCATCTTCTATAATGCTATAATAAGGTTGTATCTGTTTTGCCCACATATACTGAGCTGTTGTCTCTCAAGTTTATTAAAATGAACAGATTTTAGTAAGAATAAAAAAAAAGGCCTGTATAGAAAAGGGTTGCTTCTCGTTATTTTTTCTTAAGAATATTCATTGAGGTAGAGAGATTATTCAGACACTGGATAATTGTTATTGAGTGACATGTTATATCCTGATTAAAACAGTCATTTCTATTGTCATTTTATTTTATTATCATTCATCTTACTGGCATATGTTTCAGCATTGTGTGTTGGTAGTTGATTGGTGTTGTATGGATATAATCTCTCTCTCATTCAAACTCACTGCTCTGGGCAGGTTAGAGCGTGTGGACGAAGATTTGGGAAACTGCGATAATGTGTTACTGGACCTCATGTCACCGTCTTCTTCTGAAGATTCCGATGATGATGATGATGATGATGTGTCCTCTTTTCTGGGCCTCCTTGGCTTTCGGAATTCAGAGCCTGAAACTGATCTCTTCCTCTTTGCCATAAACATCTGCCTTTGGCCCAGATTATTGTATTCATAATCCATTTGGCCACTTAATCCTTTGGCTGTCACCCTCTGTGACCGAATGTAACACAAAATCAAATCTAGCAAAAGGGTAAGAAAGAATAGCACACAGCAGGCGATGTGGAAAGGGAGAACAGTGGCACTGAAGGTTAGAGGAAAGTGAAACAGTGTTAGGACAAATCAAGAATGAATATTTAAGAACTGGGATTCCTCCCAGTTTAGAGGATTGAATGAGCAGAAAGAAAAATTTGCACTAACCTTTGTTGCATATCTCACAGGTTACGTCAATGATTTCATCAAGACCCACAGATTTGAGAGAAGCCTCACAGAACCTAGAAGCTGTAAAAGAAGAATATAAGTGTGTATATTGTATTAAATATGAAATCTCAAAATTAATTATGATATATAATCAATAATAATAATCCTTGCATTTGACATAGCCCCTCATCACGTCTTCGAGACGTCTGAAAGAGCTTCACCGAGTATACTATGAAGTGATTTGATTACATTTTTGTGGGCAAATTCTAAATTTAATTTCTCTACACTTTCACACCTTTTGAGCAATTAACCCTTGAGGCGCTACAGGGAACTCTGCTTATTATTTTTGTTTGAAGATTTCAGCTCATGATAAGAAATATTTACCAATAATACAGCAATAACTTTAACTCATGCATGCATCAGGAGATACTTTGTTGCTGTAATATGATTGATGTTTGCAAAATATTGTGTTTCTATAGCTTAGAGTTAATATGACAGAACTAACACTATTTCTGTTCCACTGCCGTATTTCACGCGTTAAAATTATTAAAACTATCCACTCCAGGGAGATATTCCTTGCCCTGAAGCTGTTGGCAGTCGGAGATTAAAGCAGTCCTATCAAGATGCTTATAATGGGAGGACAACAGGGTAAGTATTCTGTAAGGATGAGATCAAATTGGATGAAGGCTCTTCCTCATCCGAACTTCTCTTGTGAATTTCCGCTCTGGACATTGCCAAATCAATTAAAATGGAGTAACCCATGGTACTGTAACTGGGCTTGAATGAATGCTTTACTCTTCCTCTCATGGTAGGCATCTGATACTACGCCATTGCAGTTCACTGTACCAAAGAGTATTTAGTCATCTTATTCTGCATTTATCCCTATAATCCTGTAGTACTCTCCCTAAAGCAGATACTTACTCAGTATTTTACTCAGATACGATTAATGGGTTAATTAATAAATATTTGTGCTACTGCAAAGCAAGTGGAAAGACATAAACCGTTACTTTACAATGTTCTACTGTAATCATGTACATTTAGTTATACTGCAAGCCATTTCGAGACCTGTGGAACATGGCACAGTTTGTTACAGTTTGTTGCAGGCAACAGTTCATCTTAACTTCTCAACGATACTCTGTGTCAAGTCTTCTTCATTCATATGGCTTTGTGTTATGCGTTAGTGAGGCTGTCCGAAACTCTATCTGTCCAGCGCCTTGGGACGTCCTCCCGACATGAAAGGCACTGTACAAATGTACTTTTGTTGTTGTCGTTGCTCACTTAATTTACCACCAAGCATAATAATAGTAATAATAATCCTTGTATTTTATATAGCGCTTTTAACGTCTTCTCGACGTCTCAAAACGCTTCACAGAATATACTGTAAAGTGAAGCGACTGTATATTTGTGGAGAATCGCGGCAGCCAATTGTGCACAGCAGTGTCCCACAAATTGAGTGACTAAATTATTATTATTAAGATATGTCTGAACACCAAAGGAGCACTTTCAACTGTAAATTTTAAATGAATCAGAATTGGACCCCACTTCAATACAAGTTGGGTAAAGAGTTTTTATTGTGATTTCTTAACATGAACCCGAGTCTTCAACTCACCTGTTTTTCTTGGGCATTGTTGACTCTGTTCAGACTGTACTATACCCTTCCCTTCGAGCACTGTTAATGTGACCAATCGAACAGGTCAGCAGCTGTCACTGCTCCCACTGCATCACAAGGAATTGCTCCAAAAATACTGAGTTGTCGATAAGCAAGAACATGAGGATTAACAAGCTGAGCACAGGTCAGAAACACAGCTAACAGATTCATGACGAAGACTTGGTTCCTGCAGTTAGAGCCCCAAAGAACCATAAACACAGATTATATGTATGTCGGGACGTCCTCCCGACGTGAAAGGCGCTCTATAAATGGAATCTTGTTGTTGTTGTCTTGTTGTAATTTCTAATATTCCTCTTGATTTTTCTCTAACATGAACTACTAACAAATTTCCAACGTAACTGAATGTCAACCGTAAAGGGAGATAATGGGGCCTAATCTACCTAACCCAAATCAGCAAAAAATAAGAACTCCATATGACTTTATCCAGATCAGATGAAGGTCATCCTGAAAATGCTGTTGTTGACAGTTTTTCTGCAGAGATTGCAGACTCGGCCAGATACGGCAAAAGAGACACATTAATATCAGAGAACAGAATTGTCCTTTGTGCGGTAGTTGAGGCTGTTTCAGTGATAATTTCAGGATAGTCATGCAAACTTACCAATTTTTACTCCCCCCATCTTAATTACCAAGCATCAGACTACCTGTTGGAGCAATGGATATTCTCAAACAAATCCTAAAGTTTCGGTGGAAGTGACCTGTTTGACATTTGCAAATCGGTCGGAAGTTAATGCTGCTGTTCATAGGAAATTGTTCATTCATTTTATCGCTGTTTGTGGGATATTGCTTTGTGAAAATTGGCTACCATGTTCTCCTACAAATGCCTAAATCCTTTGAAGTGCTTTGAAACCTCCTCCTGACATGAAAGGTTTCTACAACAAATGCAAGGACTATTATTATAACAGGGTGACCAAAAGGTTGTGATACCATTACGATGTCTAATAAGTATTAAAGAAATGTTGAAATATTTTTTAGATAATAGGGTAGCTTCACGACTTTTTCGTCACCCTCTAGTATTATTATTATTTCTATGTCGAAGGTTATTTTGACTGATAATAATTGAAGCAAAAACTGGTGATCTGAATACAACAAATGCACGAATAAATTAAAAATAATGAGTTGGATATTTTAAAGAATTGGTGAAACTGAAACTGACAATTATTGATTTCAAAAAGCTATACACTTGCCCCCAGAAGATATTGAATACCTGAGCTTGATTTGACACTTAGGAAATTCTGTAACTGAGACTCCAGTGGAGTTTTCAATGAACCCCTAACCTCAGTTTGTGGTAGATTAATGCATACTATTATTTTGGCACCAGGTGGCAGTGCTCCCCCATTACTTGTCTGGATGGATTGACTGGAAAGAATTATCAAGGAAAAGTTCACTCTGTGACTGGATTGATCCGTCTGTCTTTATCTCTTATTAGTAGACTAGAAGGTCCAGACATGTAATAGGAATTTGGAGCCTACCCACCATCAACCTTTTTACTATATATTTTGGTGGTCCTTATGAAATAATGATTGTGCTTGTATAGTTTTGAAGGAAGACGGTGGAAGCAGAAAGTGTTGTTTGTTTCAAGAACAAATCAGATAGATTTCTGTTAGAGACTAATATCTCAGGATATACAATATATAGTTTGGGACATGACGTGTCAAGCGACTGCCAGGATAATGGAAGGCAAACGAGATGGGCCTTGGTCTTCTTTCGCCTGACAAATTCTTATGTTCTTATGTTGAATGATTTTCTGAAATAATATACAAGAGCATGGGAAGCAAAAAGAGCAGGGAATTGGGAGAAAGTAGTTGGGTACTGTATCAAGCAGTTAAGGTGACAGCTTAGGCTCAAGAGGTCAACAACAACAACATTTTGAATTTATATAGTACCTTTCACTCGTAGTGTCTTGGACCGCTGAAGACCATTACTTGTGTTGCCATTACATGTGTGGACCTTCTAGTCTCGGAGGTCAAGTTCCTCCAATGCTATAGTATCTATGATTTTCCAGGTTCCCTTCAGATAAGCTTCTACATGCGTACAATGTTCAGATTCCAATTTGATTTGTACACTGGAGTTTTATAAGCCAGTAGCTCAATGAAATATGATGCATTGAACTGTGCTGTTTAGCTGATGTCAGTCAGGCTGCAGTAGGTTGGCCTCAGAATCCCAAGTCAGTAAGAAGGAACAAAGAGCTCTTGCCGATCAATATCAATTGTAGATTAAAATAGAGCAAAGAGAGAATAGGAAGAGAAAAGAATAAGGAAGAAAACATCACGCTTTTGTATTGTGTTTAAGGTACTTATTTGAGTGGTTTCAGTAGATATTATAGAAATAAAGCTATTGTAAATATTTCAGTTATTGGTCTTTGTTTCAGCATCTCAGTGCATGAGCTGAAAACGTAGAAAACTAGTCCGCTCAGTGAGACAACATTTCCTCGGGTGTATCATCAGTCTGAATGTTACATTACCACTCGGGGAAAATTACCCTGTGGAAATTCAGACAATATCTCAGTAATAAATATCAGCTGTTTGCATCTGGATACCATCTGAAGTCCCTTACTTTCCCAAAAGGGGGCGAGTTTGCTCTCTCTATCCTTATGTGCAATTGTTTCGAAATACTGTAATCTGTGGAGTTATCTTTGAATGCTGATGTTTGATCTTTCCTCTGAATTCATTTCTGGTGTTTTGAAAGATGTAACAACACAGAGGTACTTTATTGCTATTTAAGGATACATTTCAGCAACAACTGACTAGAGTTCTGTAAATCTTTGATTGAGTATTTGCGCATTTGCTCCCCAAATGTCATGGATCTGCATTGCAATCAACTCAGGCTTCAGATTCAAAACCCACCTCCTCTCTGACAAAGGTCGCCTTATACCTGAAAGCCTTGTAATGAGGGTAGGCATAGAGTAAGAATATTAGTGCTAAGTCTAACAGTTGGTGCACTAGCAACTCTGAGATTAGACACTTTATTGCATCTGTAGTTTTTTTTATTTTAACTTTAATTAATCAAACGCAGGCATCATTTACAGACTTTGCTTTCAGCTTGGTTCAGTCCACATGAAATGACTCGTCTCTGAATTCCGCGCTGTTTTTGCGTCAATGCAGATTGTTTTCTTATCAGGAGGAATTGATTGGCTCACTTCTCTTGGGAGGCATCACAAAACAAGATCAGATAGGCTGGAAGCCTGGTCTAGTGTAACGGGCCCTCCCTGGGCAGGCTGTTCGAGGCGGGGGCAGTATTGGGAATGTTTGAGATTGGGAGTTCCCATTTGTACCTCCAGTACCGATAACAAAGCCAAAAGACCCTTGAACCTCCTCGGATGATTCAATTCTCCTTGTAGTTGCAGCTCTGCCACTTGGCTGCTTCTTGACATGTGGCTGGCCTTTATGTGAAGGTGATTGCCGCCTGCTCCTTGAGACACGTCCCTTTTCTTTAGCACGACCTCTCTTGATCCCTCCTTTATTCACACTCTTCCTTGTATTGGCCACCACCTACGGTATTAGAAAGACCATGTCAACATCTTCATGGATTTTAACAAAATGAGAGTTAGGTTTGCAGGACACCAGCGGTGATTAGAAGGCTCCAAGGTGAGGTTTTATGATACCGTGTGTAATATATGGAAACATAGACTGCAAAGTGAGGGGTTTCAAAGGTCTCTCTTTGCCAATTTTCTTTCCTTTCTCTCTCATGAAAGTGCTGACGACTGCTGGTTAGTTCTCCAAGTGGCTAATTTGTTATGTCAGTGTTGGCAGGCTGTTCGACTGAGGAGTGTGTCAGTGCTGAATCTCATTATCTCCTCAAAGAACATTTCAGTAAGGACACTGGGCAAGCATAACGACAAGCAACGCTGTGTTAACACCACGTTTGACATCTTAACTGCTGCCGCAACCGAGACCAGCTCATTCAGCACAAAGCAGCATTCAAATCTTCTTCTGATCTTCTGGTCCAGATATTTTAGTGCTATGGCAGGTGGCACCTTTAACCACTAAACCATTTGGGGAACCCAGAATCTAGAGGGTCGTAAACAAATGAATGCGCTCTGAGCCGCTATCATGCGTGAAGGGCTTATGTAAATGCAAGTTGTTGTTGAATGCGATGAGTTTTATTTTCAGCAGGTGAGACGTAAGTAAGAGTATGTGGAACATGATATTTGGAGCTCAGAAAAAAAATTCTGAGAAGCAATGGTGCAAGTTCTGCCAATGAAATAGTTCTTGAAAGTTAAAAACATTTGGGTCTAAAAGTGATATGTTACCTGCGGTTCATAGAGTTCACAGTTCACTTCAATCTTCTCTTTCCCAAAAATGGGCATATAGACAGAGGCGGTACACAAGCCCGTGTGCTGGACAGAAAGAAAGGCAGAGGTCAAATCAGAGCAAAGAAAATAGCTCTCTACCCGGAATATCTTTGAATGATAGTTGCTGCCTCTGTGGGTTTCTTTGGTTAATATAGATGGAGACATTACAAACACGGAATTGCATGGTAGGAATGCGATGCTGATTGGGAACTATTCAGTAACCAAATCTGATGTATCATTTGTGAAAGGATCACCCTCGTTTTTTTGAGATGTTCTGTTAAATAAGAACAATTTTGTGCAAAATAACCTCAATTGATCGAAGCCAGTGTGGGTCAGGGAAGAAGATATTGCAAGTTTGCATCTTGGATAGAAATTGCAAACACTGGATCAAAAAATCAACCCATTGAGCCTGTGCTGGTGCTAGTTACCCCACTGGAATTACCTCCTCCAATCTCAATTTCCCATACCCTTTCATATTGTTCCCATTGATCCAAAATTTCCACACTTACAGTAGACTTCAATGCTCCCAACCCTGCCTGACAGTCTGGACGCTGGGAAGCTTTACTGCATGCAGTCTCTTGGATCGCAAATTCAACAAATACATTTTTCCCAGCAACAATCTGAAATAAAATCACACATAATGCTTTGCATAATCAAGCTCGCTTGTAACATTCCTACCATTATCCAACTAAGGTAAGGTAAAATAGTACAAATCACAGCATCAGATCTGAAATCTGAATGGGTCATTCAGTTCAAAGCATTTAGGAATTGAGCATCAAGGAGTCTGTGTAAGGTCAATTGCTCACAGGTGTCGGAAAATAAGAGGAACAAAATTCTGTTAAACTATTTTCTATGAAGTTTATGTTCAGTTTAAGACATACCTGAGAGGAAGCTTTTGTTATTTCATGCAAGGCAAAATAGTTTGTCCTGTTGCTTTTCCTGTTATATTTTTGCAATGCGATCATGACAGAATGTGTGGCGTCTGTGTTGTTCAAAGGTATTCGATAGGGGCAGCCTGGACATCTTCTTAAAATCATATCATCCGAATCTTGAAAAAAGCACACGCAGAAAGTATATTCTGTTGGAGGCCATTTGAGCTCTCAGCCTTTACACATCAAAAGTAATAGCCTGACCGAAGCTCTTTGTCCCCCTCAATCACTTGACAACAAAAACAGGATATTACTGCATATTAAAAAAACTTATTCAGAAAGTACAGTTTTGTAAATAAAAGTATAAAACCACGCTGAAGGATCAGAGGTGGGGAGAAAGAAAATATATAGAAACAGAGTGGGAGATGCACTAAAGAATTACAATCGAGAGACGTGTGCTGAGGACAGAGGAGCAGATTGAATGGCAATCCACTTAATAAGGTAATACACTTAAAGCATAGAAAGTCGCTCTAGTCTTGACATCACCAAACTAGGGAGTTAGTCTCCTGGTGTTCTTTATCATAACTCTTGCCTATTGTGCTAATTATATATACAGAATACTGGCCTACCTGGGGAGATTAAGCACCTGTAGCTCTGAACATGAACCTTTCTTGTTGAATTCATCTGCAATTTCACTTTGCAGTCCCCAGAATTCTGAAATAAGAGACACAGATTCACATATAAGAGAGGCAGAGGACCTGGGTTGGTTTCCCGGAGAGGGCGAAACCCTAATCAAGTTTCCTTACTCCACATGCCTCTGTTTACCTAGCAGTAAGTAGCAATCTGGTAGTTAGTTGATTGGCGGATCGCTTTCCAGGTGTAATATTCTCTTTTTTTAAAAAAATGCTGTGTACATTTGGCTGCCGTTTTTTGCCCACAGTCACTCCACTTTACATTATATTCTATGAAGCGCATTGAAACGTTTCAATGACGTGATAAGGCCCTATATCAAATGTAAGTAATATTATTATTATGAAGATGGAATTGAGCGAACATTTCAATACACGTGTGAGGAAATTGTTAGATCAGATTTGTACCAGCAGGATATTGTACAATTATATAAAAACTAACCCGCAGTAAGTTATGTACCCCTCCTGTGCTTCCCAGAATCGGTGGATAAAAAAGCATATTATTTCTAAGCCCAAAACTCAATTGATTGTGGTGGCTCTGTTTTGAGCGTGAACTTAGTCATATAGTAACGTGTCTGCATTGAGCTGCACTCTTCACTGACATAGGTTTGCAATAATTCTAAGCTGTATTAAAGTGAGAATTTCCAGGCAAGGTGACACGGAGGAGACTTACAGCTTCACGGCCCGACCTGATTTGGCATTCCGATGCAGGTTTGGGATTCAGTGAGTGGCACCGAGTCTCCAGCACCTCAAATTCTAAGAACAAGGAGGATGACCCGCCTTTCTGAAAGGAAAAGGAAGATTCACTTTACAGTATATTCTGTGCAGCGCTTTGAGATGTCTCGAAGAGGTGATAAGGCGCTGTGATCCACCCCAGAGACTTAGACCATCCTATTCTGCTCAATAATTCATATTCTGGTAATATATTGCTTTACTTTCCTCTTTTATGGAACATTAAACTGGAGAAGTCTTCACCTGCTGCAGTCTTCAAATCCTCCTGCAACTACTAGCTTTTGAAAGCCAAGCTTGGTATCATATAACTTCTTGACTTCTATTTCTCTGCCACTCTTTTTATCAGTGGTGATATGCTTCACTGGACCTCTTCACCTAACGTTTCAATGAGCTAAAAGCTGAATTGTTGTGAAAGCAACAGTCACTAATCAGAAAGCAACCGCTTATAGATCCTGCTTTGATTTATTGATGTTTTGCAACTTGTTTGTCCAGTTGTTACAAAATTGAATGTAACTTTCCCTTGTGGTGATTCCCCAAATAACGTAACGTTCCACAAGTATCAGAGTAATGCCCTGTTGCTTAAAACCTACCTCTCCAACCGTGCTTTTGGCCACCTTGCTCCTAGCTCAGCATCCAACCCTACTTCTGTGAAGTACTCTGAAATGTTATCGTAAGTGAACGGCGCTGTATAAATGCAAGTTGTTGTTGTAGTGCTACTCACCCCCCTCTTCTCCTGAGCGTTTTCGATCTTGTTGAGGATATACTTGTAACCTCCTGATCGCTCAGCATTCATTTGCTCAACTGCCAGATCTGCTGCAGCCACTACCCTCAAAGCGTTGCAAGAGAGTGCTCTGTAGGAGGGCTGTTGGCCTTGAGCCACTGCAGAAAGGCAGTGAAAGATCTGCGTGCCAAGTACCAACACAGAGAGCAGTTTCATACTGTTTGACTGCTGTAGGGGCAGAATCTCAGCGGGCTGGAGAAATAGGGGGGCAGCAGATGTTCAGAGAGATGGGAGGCTCTGATGCCAGCTGCAGACAGAGCAGGTGAATCCTCTCCGCAGCAGAATAAGGTCTCGTGTTCCTGCTCCTAATCTAAGCGCAGCTTGAGTTCAGATCAAACGTTTGGCCAAGAGAAAAGTAAACAAGTAAAAACAAATATAAAAGCTTGATAAAAATGCACCAAGTGAAACATCAAACATTGGCAAAACAGCTTCTGAAAGGTCAGTTCAGAGCATGTGATGGCTAACATTTTTGTTAAATATAACCCAGTATTAAAAATTATCAAAATGAAGCAGCCAAATATAACAAACCCTAAATGTTTTTCTGATCACAGAATCGTTATACCGATGATGCAGCCGAGTACAGGTTGGTAAAGCTGGTAGTGTCGGACTCGTACGTTGAGCTCTTGGTCTCGGTGGAGTGGAGAAAGCTGAAGGGACATCAGAATTATTTCACCCAATTCCCAGCAACCACTTTCAAAGTGTCATTTGCGGTGTCATGTAATGTATTGGCTGGAGCACTAGAGCACGAGAGGACCCGGGTTCAATTCCCGGGCAGGGCGAAACCTTAGGCAAGTTCCCTTACTCCACATGCCTCTTTACCGAGCAGTAAGTAGGAGCCCAGTTGTTAGTCGATTGCCAGATCCCTTCAATAATCCCTTCAAAAATATAAATAATAATAATTTGGTCACTCAATTCATGAAGTTTGTGGGACACTGCTGTGCGCAATTGGTTGCTTTACAGTATACTCTGTGAACTGCTTTGAGAGCGCGATAAGGAGCTAATCAAATGCAAGGATCATTGTATGTCTTTGGTTAGATCCCAGCTACAAGTAACCTACCCTCCTCTGGGTCATGGCAGAGACACACAAGGAAAGAAAAGAGGAAATCTCATCATCAATAAGTTTAAATGGTGAAAATTTGCTTTTTTTAAGAAGAAAACCAGGCGAAAGGTGTAAAACACGGGATTTGGTGTGGGGTTTCTTCACTGCTAAATTGAGCCTTTGTTCTTCCAGATTCTATTACAGTGTCGCCTCCTTTATTACCTGACTGAGACACGGTCAGACACATCTTAAGGATCCCACAAGGTCAGTTTACATCAAGAAGAATAGCTCATGGTCCCATTTCATCTCATCCTTTCAGACCATCCCACCCTACTGTCTTCCCATCACAGCATCAAGCTGTTTTTCTTAAACAAATCGAATTCAAGATCCTCATCCTCACCTACAAGGCCATTCACGGCCTCGCTCCCTCCTACCTCTCTGACCTACTATCCCCCTACCTACCTGCCCGTACCCTCCGTTCCTCTGGCTCCGGTCTGCTCCACATCCCCCGCCCCAACCGCCCTACCATCGGTGGCCGGGCCTTCAGCCTCTCAGCCCCGAGGCTCTGGAACTCTATCTCCCAGTGCCTTCGCCTTGCCTCCTCCCTTTCCTCCTTCAAGGCCAGTCTCAAGACCTTTCTCTTTGACCGAGCCTTCAGCTCCACTCTCGACTCTCTACCCCCTCCTCGCTCCCTCCCTTCCCTCCCCTCACCCTGACCATTTCCCCCCTGCTCGGGTCCTGACCCAACTGTACAGCGCCTTGGGACGTCCTCCCGACGTGAAAGGCTCTCAATAAATGGAATCTTGTTGTTGTTGTGCCAAGTTGTTGATCTTGGATCCCATTTAAAATATTATATACCCCGAAACAGCCCTCTCTGAGATCTCTCCTTCAAGATTCTCTGGTATGAAACAGTGTCACAACCAACGTTGTCACTTCAACTGAAAGTTCACCTCCCTAGATTTTCCTTCCCCATCAAAAGATTGCATGGATTGGATTTTTTTAAAAAAATGAATCTAAGGAATGCAATATTCCTAGAATAGAAGAACATGTTTTTGATTTGTATTTTATGTAAATTAGGTTCGTTTAGATTTTGATAATGTTCAGAATGAATAGAGGGTGATTTTTTTGTAATAGCTGAATATCTATTTATCTTAATTTCTGTTATTTGCAGATGTGGTCATGTCCTGTTATTGCTGGAAAGGACGCTGAATTCATGGATAGTTTAACTGATTCAAAAGTCAAAATCGGTTTGGCATGTCTCTTGCGTGGATTCACAGGTACACGTTCTGCTGTGTTACAACAGTTAAACAATATAGTCTAACAATCCACAAAGGAACTTTTGATTTTATTTAGGAAATCCATCAATACCTTTACCAAAGAATATTCTACGAACAAAATGGCACAGTGATTCAATGTATGGCTCACCATAGTGTATTGGTTAGCGAGGACCCGGGTTTGATTCCTGAGTGGGATGTGGATTAGGTAAGTTTCCTTACTCCAAATGCCTCTGTTTACCAAGTTTACTAAGATGGAACCGATTTGGATTGCTTTCTAGGGGAAATGGTCTGTGTGTCAGCCTGGCTCACTCTCACCTCTGAGTCAAAAGGTTGTGGGTTCAAACCCCATGTCACAAAGTGTAAGAAAGCACTCCAATACAGTGCTGGGTGGGTGTTGCATTGTTGAATGTGCCATCCTTTGGATGAGACATTAAACCGAGGACCCAACTGCCTGTTCAGGTGGATGTTAAGGATCCTATTCGAAAAGAGTTTCTCCCGGTGTCCTGGCCAACAATCCCCCAAAATAAAATTGGTCACTCACTCCATAGCTGTTTGTGGGACATTGCTGTGCGCACGTGGCTGTGGAATTGACCCACAAAATACAGTCACTCCATTTTGCAGTATATCCTGTGAAGCACTTTCAGACGTGCCAACAACATAATAAGCCGCTATATCAAATGCAAGGATTATTATTATTTGGTATAGTGCCTTTTACATCGGGAGGATGTCCCGAAGTGCTTCACAAGATATACTGTACAGCGTAATGACCATGTGTCTCTTTGCTTTTAATACAGGATGCCTTCACAGTTGAAAAGGGTTTAAGTGATTAAATCAAGTAGTGGTTGGGTGAGGCTGAGCTTGATTTTAAAGGCCTGTAGGTTATAAGAAGAAAACGTAGAGATGTAATCAAAAACTGGAATCAAAAATGTAAGAGAGTCTCCCAGGTGCAGAATGGATCTTTATTTTAAACTCTTATCCTATTTTAATTTAACTTCTAGTTCTTGGTTTATCTTATCTGTTTTCACCCAAACCACTTGTATCTTTCACCCTTCACTCTATTTCTCAATGTTATGATACCCTTGGGTACCCTTATAATGATAGTGAGTATGCAAAAGGCATACCATTATAAGTTGGAATCTTTTAATGAGAAAAATCTCTAATTAATTATAAATTCTGCAATAACTCGATACCTTGTTGGGTGGTGTCTTTGTAATGTTTGGCAAAATATTGAGTGGAGTGAGAGCTTCATTTTGACTATACTGTGAAAGATTGTCAACCAATCACCTATATTCTGATAGAAAAAAAAGATTGCAAATACTGAGTGTCGTGTAATGACAATATATGATTTGCAACATGAAGATGCTGGATCTTCCTCAGACAAGCAGTTTCTCTATATAGCCCACCAAATATGCACTCAATTCACTTTATAGTATATCCTGTGAAGCGCTTTGAGAAGTCTCAAAGACATGATAAGACGCTATGTCAAATGCAAGGATTATTATTATTATATTGACATATTACCACCATGCAATGGCTCATTGTTTATTTAAGATTACATTTTATTTTCACCCTGAAACACAAGAGGAGGGAAGTCAGAGAATTCTTCTGTGTTGCTGTGTTGACTGTTTCGTTGCCAATTCTGAAGTGGCTGTTATCATTTGAGTTATGCTTCATTCCTCCGTTGGGTGAAGATAATGTGGTGTTGTTTTTGCGGGGAAAATTGGACAGGGTTATTTCTGCTCACAGATGCTCGGGGTGCCTGCGCACTCCTGGGCAGGATGTAAGATGCGCGGGGAGATCAGGGAATCTGCTAAGTTTGAGTAGTACTTCAGAGCCAGCTCCTGCTTGACCAGTGCCAATCAACAGTTCTTCAGAGGATTCAGAGGATTCCTGAACTGCTCGCTTGCGTTTAGGAGGAATCATTATTCCTGGAGAAATAGCAACTTCTGATGCTGCCGTGGGATTATTTTCAACAACTGCTACGGTGGCGGCCTCTGGTGATGCCACAGTGCCACTCTCACCTTCCAGTGGTGCTGTACTACTGTCGGGGGCAACCTGCAATATTCAAAACATAAGCACATTGTAATTCAAAATTACCGTGGTTCAAGATTAACATAAGAGAGGTTAGATAAATCAAACATATAGTGTGTAGGTGAAGACGTGCGCAAGTAGGAAAGCTTGCAAACTGTAGCAGGAAAGGAAATATACTGTCAATTCACTCTACGATATAGTATGAAGCGCTTTGAGATGTCTCAATGACGTGATAAGGCACTGCATCAAATGCAAGGATTATTGTTATTATTAAGAACGTGAGTAGTGAAGAATTCCACGGTCTTGAGGTTCTGGGGAAGAATGAGTTGCAGTTGGTGAAGGGTCAGTAAGTCAGAATTTCAGTGCAGTAAATGTGCAGGAGAAAGAATAGGCAGAATATGGTATTATTTGAAATATGGGAAGAAAAAGCGTTATATTCAGAGGAGCACGAATATCAGTAAAGTAAAGAGAAGGAATATTATGATGGAGAGAGAGATTAGAGGCTGAGGTAAGAGAAATATTAGCTGTACCACAATAGGACTCCACTTGATAACTAATGGTCCCATGCTACATCACTTACCTTGGTTGAGTATAACTCACAAGTCACATCCACTATTTCAGGGGCAGTAGCACCAGCTGGAGTGACAGTCGCTGCACAGAAACCGTTTTGCTACATAACGAGAGAAGAGAGGTAAAAGAACTAGGAGATATCATACGTTTTCAGTTTTGGGTGGTGTGTTCCCAACCGCCATTCTTGTTCTATCTGTATCGACAACCACCGCCCCCCCTCACCCCAACCAACATCACTTGCTGCCGAGTCTCACAGTGAAACTGGCCAATTGAGGAACTTTATCCCAGCACAAGTTACCCCCTCCCTGCAGGAGAGAGGGTTCCAGTCACCCCTAGCCTCACAAAGCTTTCTAAACCCTTTAACTAGATTCCAATCTCTACTAGTGATTTATTATTCTATACTTTGACCATCTGAATCATGTGACTAGCTACCAGATCCCTTTAACTCACGCCCAGCAATCCATTATTCTATATATTGACCATCTGAACCACTTGATTGGATTCCTGTCTTTAACTCATTCCCAGGAATCCATTAATCTATATATAAACTATCTGAATCTCAATCAGATTACAATTTGCAACTCACTCCATTATTTTTTCTATGGATACTGTGTTTACAATACTCACTGGAGAAATCAAGGCAATCAGGGAACATAGAGGTGAGGCTTTCCTACATGGAGTCTCCTGGATACTGAACTCCACCATCACTGGACTCCCAACTCCCTGAAACAGAATCAAATTAAATATTGTTGTAACCACTGAAGTATCTGATTTTATGCCTTACCTCAGTGACAGAATTGTGGGTTCAAGAGGCAATTAGATGCATTTCAAGAGAGTGAATAGAATGATAATATGGTTAGAAGGCTGATAGATGGGGGTTCAGATAAAAAAAAATAAAGCTTGTTGGCCTGATGGCCTTTTCCTGCTCAAAAACATCCTCAGAATCTTTGACAGAGTGAAAATAATTTATGAACAAGAACGATTTATTTAGCGCCCTTCACATGGGATAGCATCTCTGAGCACTTAACAATAGCGTAGCTTGCGGAGAGCCAGGGAGAGAGCGGAGGTGACTGGTGGCATGGTCGAAGAGGAAGGTCTTCAGGTGCGATCTAGGAATGAAGAGATGTACCTTGCCAGAAGCTCGTGTTATATCACGAAGTTGAAACTTGTGCATGTGATTGCTCACATGGTTAAATTTGTGCAATGAGACATTCACAGCGTATAGGACTCCAGTGTCGTTTGGAAGTAATAGAGTCGGACAGTTAGGACATTTCTCGATAACATCTTCAGCTGAATCTGTAACACAACAGTGCATGCAAACATTAATAAAACCATTAGACTCCTTCAATGGCTCAGTCAGTAAACCTACTGCGCAACTGACTCGAGGTTCCAAGTTCAAACCCTGGTATCTCCTGAGATAACTAATCCCACTTTCCACCCTACTCTCAACTGCAGGGACTGTCCCAAACACATTTCACACTGGACTCTTTTTTTTATCATTTTTGGGATTTGAATTCATGTCCCTCAGGTGAAAGAGTAGTGTTTAATCTAAAATTCCATACAACTCCCTGCAACTATTTGAAACCACCAGAGCTTGGCCTGCTGTATAAGGACTGCTAGACGATATGATTCTGATAAAGAGTCAGAGTCACACCCAGAACATTAACCTATCTTGCTCTCTCAGTATCTGATTCAATCTCCTGCACATTTTTACTTTTAATTTCTTTTCACTGAATCTATAATTTAACACAATGATAGTACCTGGAAGAAGAGGAGAATACTGGACTATACTATCTGTGAGGAGCAAAAGAGGTACGTGTTGACTAAAGTAGTAGTAAAACAGCTTTGGTGAAATTAGACTGGAGTTTATAAAGCTATGATTGTGCAAGGAAGGGAAGACTGACAGATATAAAGAGTTCTTTTCTATACTACTAAACCTTGGCAGTGCCCTTTCTTGTCTTTGTATGTGCTTGTTCCTTTACCGAAGTTTCTCAGCTTAAACAAATGATACTGAGCCAATATGACGACTATCACTAAAAGTGGCATTGAGCCTTTAGCCTAAGCTGTGTATATAATAATAATAATAATAATAATAATAATAATAATCCTTGCATTTGATATAGCACTTTTTCACGTCTTCTAGAGGTCTCAAAGCGCTTCACAGAATATGCTGTAAAGTGAATTGACCGTATATTTGTGGGCGAAATGCAGCAGCCAATTGCGCAAAGCAGTGTCCCACAAACAGTCGTGGATTGAAAATGACCAATTTATTTTTTATTTTTGGAGGGATTATTATTAGGCTCTGTGTGGAGTAAGGAAACTTGCCCAAGGTTTCGCCCTGCCTGGAATTGAGCCCAGGTGTCTCGCTTGCAAGGCGAGTGCTCTAACCACTGAGCTATAGGACTCCATATAGTGTTGTTCAAAGCAGAAAATGAACATACCTGGAGATAATTCACACCTATAACCATCCACGGAACTTGGAGCTCCAGCCTTGGTCACTACAATTACCTTACAATCTCCTTCGACTTTCTAATATGAGAATGAGAGAAAGAAGAACCTTGAGTTACTTGATTGGGTTTGACATGCATCCAAAGGATAGTCAGTATGTTGAATACACTAAGTCCTTTCATTGATGCCCTTGTGTGATGAATGTGTTAGCTGCACAAAGAAATACACTCTGCAAAGGATTAATGATCTGTGTCCAAATCAAAGTCACCTTTATCAGTTTTTTTGGGTGGAGATTTTGGTGCTGGGAAATGGAGTATGTTGCCATTTTAGAGGCCCATTCAAAAGCGTCAAGCATTCACAGAGCAAATGGAACACGGTTTAGTCTAGAACAACGTCCTTTCTATTCCGTCAAAACAAACCTCAGAAGAGAGCCCTGCATTGCAACAATAGGATATTTTGATTTCATCCTGTGGTTCCTCTGAGTAGATTGCCAAATGGAGGGAAATATTGTGCTGTGAGCCCACTCTCACTTGAGGCTGGCCCCAAACCAATTCAGATAGTAGTCTTATAGCCACAATTAGAGGGGATTTGATCCCATGAGTTGGCAAATCTTATCTAGTTTGCCAAGCAGCAAATAGCACAATACATCATTGTATCACTTCTGAATGGCACTGTATTAGAAATGTTCCGGCTGTTCTTCCTTCCCAGCATTTAAAATAGAAACTCTTATTTCGAGAGCTATTTGCTGCCAGAACGGCAATATAGATGAGAGGTTTAACCATCCACTGACTTCAGAAGATCAAATCATCCTGTCAGAAGCGATTTAGGGAACGGATTTGGAAGCTTGAATCTGCCCACAAAACATGCTAGAGATCTATGCAACCCATTCGAGCGGCCCAGAGGAACTTTGCCTTTCTTCTGTCCTCTCAACTGGAATGAATATAAAATCCAGGTCACAAATACGTAATACGTGTACTATGTTACAAGATGACAAGCCAAGGTGGCTTTATCGCTTTGTACGCAGTGGAGCATTCAAGCTATTCTGACACTTATATTCCAGCCAGTAAGGTTGAGGTAGTAACCTTGAGTAAGTTAAATAATGTGCTATAATTCTCCGCCATGGATAATGTGAATAATGGCAGTATCAGAAAAAGGAGTCAAATGGAAGAGAGAGAAGAAAATTCCTGGAGAACCTCAGTGAGAGGAAAAATAACCCCTAAAAAAGGAAAAATAATGAAGACAAAATAGAAGGAAAAAGAGGATGGTGGGGTCATGGGTCAATGTATAACTTTAAAAAGTATAATTTTACTTCAAGATGAGCTTTTTATTTGACTCCAGTGAGGTTGGGTTAATATTATAGCAGTAACACTGTCCTGATATTGGGTAAGTTATTGTTTTAATATTAGTACTTTCAGTGTCACAGTAAATAAATTGCACATGTGCAGAATAACTTAGATTAGGGCTGACCAATGCAGTGCAAAGGCCACAACAGTTAGGTTACACTGCACAAACGATAACCACAAAGATTATCGTTTGTGCAATCTAACCTAACTTAGTAGTAATTCTGGACAACATATTAACGGGAATTCTGGAATACAAGAATTGTTGAGAGAGAAGGTAATAAGACTCACGGTGTCCAAGAAGGAACGGATTTTACAGTCACTGAGAGGCCTGGGGTCCAGAATATGGCACTTGGTCTCACGGACATCAATTTCTATATAGTAGACGTTTTCTCCACCATCCTGAAAGGAAATAGTTCAAAGAAATCTTATTCCCTGCATTTGACCTAGCGCCTTTCCTGGGAGGACGCCTCGAAGCGCTTCATATGAATTACTGCAAAGTCTAGTGATTGTATTTTGCAGTGGTTACTTGGGACTCAATGCAAGATCATTCTCAGGATCAGAATGTCAAAATGCATTACAGAACTCGGTGCTTTTTTTCAATGATAGAAGCGAGATGCAGAAGCAAGGCCCATTATGCAGGCTCATGAAATTACCTCATCATAGGACAGCACATTCATTACTTGAGGGGGAAATCGAACGGGTTAATGCCAGTACTTTCGTGAGCAAATAGTGGGGAAACGGGGTAACAGGGAGTGTGGAGTCCCTGTGGAGAAGCACTCTCTCTCTCTCGCAGTATTATTGAGGCAAGGAGGTCACAGTGCAATCAAAACCTCAAGACTGACATGTTTTTACAGTGTGTTAGATTCAACCAAATTATTCCAAACCTATTGATCCATCAATCTGGCTTTTTAAAAAAAATTATCAATATAACCAATATCAAAAGTTCGCAAGATATACAGTCAATTCACTTTACAATATATTCTGTGAAGCGCTTTGAGACATCACAAAGGCTTGATAAGGCGTTGTATCAAATGGAAGGATTATTATTGTTATTAAGATTGGTCTGGAAGAAGAGCTGAGGGATAGAAATGTTTTAATTTTTACTAACCTTTTTCAACTGCTGGACGTTTTCGATCCTGTCCAGGCTGAATTTGTATCCTTGCTTTTCAACTTCATTGATGTGGTTGACAGCCAGATCTGCCAGAGCCACCACCTCCTGGGAATCACAGGGAATCGCTTCGTGTATCTGGGACATAACACAAGGCATAAGCAGCACAGTGCACACGGCCAACACTCCAAGCAGCTTCATGTTGGCTGAAAAAAACATTCAAATATTAGAAATGAAGCAAGACGGGCGGAAGACTCCAACACTAACTACTGCACTGCAGAGGGTGACTCACAGGCTTCACAGGCTGGCTGTTAAAGCTCAAGAAGGCAGTCGGCATTAAATAGTCTGCTGAAGGAATCTAATGAGAAGATAACCTTGGCTGCAGAGTAAACATGTACTCGTAAACAGGACTGGAGCGATTGTGAAATTTACTGCAATCAAAGTAAATAGTGCACTGAAGGGCATCTCAGTCCAGGTGTATTAACTGGGATATGATTGGGATATTAAAATAATTAATCACCTCAGATATTGACCGATTACCCCCTCTTGTCCTCTTTAGGTGTCTTTAGTCCTTGGTCCCTTTGTCCAACACATAGTTATCCATTTCTTGTTTAATAATGCTCATCCACTCCTCACTTACTACCACATCTGGGAGTTTGTTCCCAATGAAGAGGAAAGTTTTTTTCCATTCTCACTGAAGTCTTGTAACCTTTATATTTGTATTCTCTGGTGCTCCCCACATGGAGCAAGTTAAATAGCCTGCTCACATTTACATTCTCTGTACCTCTCTGCATTTCACGGACCTTATGCTGTGACCTTCCCCTTCAATCTTCCTTTCTCTGATGAAAATAGCCTCCTTTTATTTTCATCACTTAGACCCCTCAGGACTGGGATTGTTCTTGTCACTCTTCCCTCTGCATCCTTTGGTCAAGGCAAACTGCACTTACTGTCAATCCCACTTCAAAGATTTGATTGATTTATATTCATGGAGGATACATTTGCAATCACTTAGCTGATGTAGGTCACTCCTACAAAATGAAACATATTTGCCCACAAAATACACAGTCAATTCACTTTAGAATATATTCTGTGAAGCGCTTTGAGATGTCTCAATGATGTGATAAAGTGCTATATCAAATGCAAGGATTATTAGTATTATTACTATTAAATCATGTACAGTGTGAGTTAAATACAGACTAAGTATCCCTCTACTTTCTGTAGCCAATTCCAGCCAGAGAAGAATTTCTCCTACAATGCATCTCTGTGCTGTTTCTGTTTCCCACAACATACCTAGTCAGAGAAACTGTCTATTTAATGGCAATTTATACCAAATTAAGAATAGTTTGTGCCAATGAGAAACTAGGAGTCCTGTAGTGTATTGTTTGAGCACTCGCCTCACAAGTGAGAGGACTCAGGTTTGATTCCCGGGCAGGACAAAACCTTAGGCAAGTTCCCTTACTCCACACGCCTCTGTTTACCTAGCAGTAATTAGGAACCCGGTTGTTAGACAATTAGAGGATCACGTTTCTGGGTGTAATCCTTCTAAAAAAATAATAATTTGGTCACTCAATCCACAACTGTTTGTGGGACACTGCTGTGCACAAATGGCTGTCGTGTTTCTCACACTGAATACACTTTTAGTCTTTACAATATATTCCATGAAGCACCTTGAGATGTCTCACCCAGATGATAAGGCACTCCATCAATGCAAGAATTATTATTATTATAGTTTGAAGCCAGTTATTGCAACAAAGATCCTCATAGCCAGCAGAAATCAGGAATTTCTGCCAACCCGTGCTGGATTCAATCTCAGGGTTAGGAGATGAATAGACAATATTCTAACTGACGATGTCATTCCGTCTCCTACAGATTAGACTTTAACCAAATAATCAATTGATGTTTGCTTTCGGGATTCTGCTGACTCCAATGAAATCAGTCTGATTCTGCTCAGCAAAAAGCAATAGAATTTGGGTTATTTTCTTTTTCATTCTGGCAACATGTTTTAAATCATTAATTATTTTCTGTATTATAAGTACTTACGTGAAAACATTATAAGTGATATAGCAATTTATGATATTGAAGCATCACAAAGAGTTTTTACAGAATTTACTGTGAAGTGTATTGACTGTGCATTTCTAGGTCAACAGATTAGCCAACTTGCATGAAGCACACAGTTGTGAAGTGAACATTTATTTTTCAAATCAAAGGGATTTGGGGGCCAGGAAACTGGAAGAAACTCTCTTCACTTTTCAAATAGTGCCACAAGATCTTTAATATCTACCTGAACAGGCAGACAGAACCTCAAATTAACATCTAATTTGAAGGACGTCACGTTAGACGATGCATTAGAATGTCAGCCTACATTGTGAGCTCGAGTTGCCAACCTGGGCCGTGTATCTACACTACAACAGAATGACTCAGAGGCAGAACCTTGGTTCTATTTGCTAGAACTGCCTAGATGTTGATGGATTATCCTTGCTAGCCTTTTTTGTACAAAACAAAATGTACACTTTACTCAGTGTATTGCAAAACTAGGATTATTACTGGAACAGGTTTTACAATGGCATTGGGTATCAGTCAGCAAATTTCACCTTTGATTGTTGTTGTTGCTGAGAAGCCTAGGTGCTGAACCAAGGCACATTGTGGTCTCCTCAGTTCCAGCCATTGGGATTACTTACTGCTTGGTAAACAGACACATGTGGAGTAAGGAAACTTGCCTAACATTCAACCACCCCCCCGCCCTGATGAGATCACTTGTCCCAAAGGGCTTTCTTTATTTCCAACCTCTCTTTTGTGGAGTCCTGTAGTGTAGTGGTTAGCTCGTTCGCAAGCGAGAGGACCTGGGTTTGATTTCCAGATTGCACAAAACCTTAGGCAGGTTTTCTTACTCCACACGCTCTGTTTACCTAGCAGTAAGTAGGAACCTGGTTGTTAGTCGATTGGCAGATCGCTTTCCAGGGGTAATAATCCCTATATAAAAAAAAATTGGTCACTACTGTGTGTAATTGGCTGCCGGGTTTCAGAGATGAAAAGCTGGAACCTAACCTACCACCAGAATCAGATCCCTTCCCCCCACCCCGCCCCCCCAACACATATACCACTTCTGCACGTGTTGAAGATGTATTTCACTGTGTGAACTTCTGGCATTTGATTTAAGTTCCTTGTTTTTCCCACAAAACACACAGTCAGTACACTTTCGCCCACAAAATACACAGTCGATCCACTTTACAATATATTCTGTGAAGCGCTTTGAGGCACTTTAGTGACATGATAATAATAATAGTGAAGCCTCTCAAAGCGATAAGGCACTACATAAAATGCAAGGATTATTAGGATTATTATTGTGATCACAGGGAGCAACTTCTTTCTGGAAAGGTGTGTTGATTGAGGACAGGACGAGGCTTTCCTGTGGTCGACCAGCCTGCCGGCACTCACAGTCTCGGGGATGGTGCTGCGAGCAGGCAATGCCCATGGAACACTGGCCAGTTAATGAGTCACCATGTATAGCATGAAAGGGAGAAATTTGGGTCAAAGTTAAAAAAAAACTCCATGGAGTTGAAGTATCAGATCCCTGGTCAGCCTGTCTCCTGTTTATTTATTCTTGCTAACAGCATCATCTACGAATGAAAGACACTGATAAACTGTCTGGGTGCAAATTTCTAAAGTTATCTAAAGGCTTTGAAGATTTTCAGGGTCAGATACATATAAGGGCTAACTGTTAAGTTGGTGGCTTCTGCCTTTTGTGAAGAAATGTATAATGAATAATAAATTTGTCCCTTCTGACTTGCTCAGAACTTTGACTCATCAAAGACTTGTAAGCACTGAGCACCCCTTGGCTTGTCTGGACCCCATTTCCCAAATCCCCTTGTAAAACCTCCTAAAATACTCTCTCTGCCTCAATCATCTCCCCTGCTTACATATACTTTCCAGAAACTCTACATCGATGCCTCCAGTCACCTCTACATCTACTCTTTATTCTTGTTTGTGCTATTATTATTCCTTGTTTCACCCCAAAAATACACAGTCAGTCCACTTTACACGTCTCAATAAATTGATAAGGCGTATATCACATGCAACGTTAGTATTGCTATTAAGCACTTTTAGGCTTTTTTTTGCATGAAAAATTGGAAACAATTGTTGATAATTAAGGTTGAGATAAAATTCCCAATAACAGTATCTCACTCTGTTACTGAATGAAAAGTATTCCCAATCGACCAATTCTCCTTCAGATCCCAGTGGCGTCTTTATGTGTTTGAACCAACAGATGGCGATAAGCAACAGAAACATAGTTTCACAGAATTGCCCTCATTATTGTTGGAGTGGGAAGCAGTCTTACCCTAATGCCTCTTATCCAAAGAGCCTGATCCTGTCAGAATGCACAATGTGTCTAATTATATTCTTGAAAATATGCTGCACGATCATATCTTCAATCTATCTGATTCTCTTTGATTGTTTAGCCAATTCCCCTCTTGTTTTTGTCAGCCAGGAGTTTGACATAAGCAGAAACGATCCTTAAGAGTATCCAAACCAGACTAAGAGTCCCACGTGTGTATGTCACTTACACATTGGAATGACTGTGGGTCTAGAACGGAATACAAACTCACTTCCTGGAGGGACATACCTTGCTGACTCAATTCCTGAGAGTATCAGGTGTAGGTTGGCGAGAGCCAAAGCTTGGTAACCCCAGAATGTGTATGTTTGGTACTGCTGGAATTTAACCAGCTAAAATCACATAGCTTGCCATTGAAAGCATTGTGTGGCAAACTTCATGCTGCTTGTCCAGCTTGGATTACCTTACCTATTAGGGCTTTGGCTTGCAGGGTTAACAGGAACCGAGTGGGAAGAATCTATGCCTCCAGTGACTAGTCTGCATCTCCAAGTCCTGCTGACGAACCAGGTTGATTGGTCTTTAATCAGTGGTGCCCACTATTGCGCAGGAGATCATTCAGAATTTTGGAAAATTACTAAATTCATTGTTAATTTGGAAACTGTTTTTCCTCTATCCTGGAAAGAAAAGGGCTACAATCAATTGTAATTGATGTCCACAAATTTTCAGGAATCTATTTGTTGGGCAGTGTCCTTGTCCATGAAGGATGTACTGTCCAATCTGATGGATGACATTGCAGGGTGGACACAGACCACACTGTGATTGATGGACTGAAGACACACAGTATAACATTTTATTAGGCTAACCTTAGTCGACCACAATGCAGGATTTATTTTTTGTGAATACCGCATTTCTAGACCTTCAGACTATATTTCCCTTTCCATGAGTTCACTGTATCACCATAAGTGAACACCAGAGGACATTGATACGTATAACCTGAATCAGCAGTGTCTGTTACAGATTTCAATGAATTTTCATCCTCAGTGAAGGAAGGCTCGGAACTCATGCCATGATCATGCCACCCTCTGTCTGGTAATAGGTTGTTACCCTAATTCTGTGCAATTGTGAAAGAGGGTTGGATAAAGTAGGTCTTGTGGCCCATTGGATCAAAACCTTCCTACCCTTCCATCTTCCCATTACAGTATCAAACTCTTTATTCAATGAGACCTGGCTTTAGCCACCCTTCCTGATAACCTGTTCCAACTGTTTCTAATAGTCCTTGCTTTTGATAGAGTGCTTTATCACACGGTTGAGACGCCTCAAAGCGCTTCACAGAGTATATTGTAAAGTGGATAGACTGTGCATTTTGTGTAAAGAAATACTTCCAGTGTCTGTTCTAAACTTCCCTTCCCAGTGCTGAACCTCTGCCCTCTTTTCTTCCCTCCTTGGCTTATCCAGAAGCATGAACCCAGGTTTACTTTCCAGAGCAGCTTAAATACATGCAGGAAAAGGGGATGGATGAATCCAAGAGCCTTTTTCCTCTCCCTCTTTTCTCACCATCCCTCCCATTCATTCCATCAGAGGCAAATCAAGCTCTTTAAATGCTGACATTAGAGGGGAACCAGAAAGCCACAAAGAGATAGAGGAGAATGGGCAGGGCCCGGTTTACAGTGGGCGGGGCTAGTTGCAGTGGGTGGGGCTGGTTGCAGTGGGTGGGGGCTGGTTGCAGTGGCGGGGTGCTGGTTGCAGTGGCGGGGGGGCTGGTTGCAGTGGGCAGGGCTGGTTGCAGTGGACGGAGCTGGTTGCAGTGGGTGGGGGGGCTCGTTGCAGTGGGCGGGGTGGCTGGTTGCAGTGGGCGGGGGGCTGGTTGCACTGGGCGGGGGGGCTGGTTGCAGTGAGCGGGGGTGGCTGGTTGCAGTGGGCAGGAGCTGGTTGCAGTGGGCGTGGCTGGTTGCAGTGGCGGGGGGCTGGTTGCAGTGGCGGGGGGGCTGGTTGCAGTGGACGGGGGGGCTGGTTGCAGTGGGTGGGATGGGATCTGGTTGCAGTGGGTGGAGGGCTGGTTGAAGTGGGCGGGGCTGGTTGCAGTGGGCGGGGCTGGTTGCAGTGGCGGGAGAGCTGGTTGCAGTGGGTGGGGGGCTGGTTGCAGTGGGCGGGGGGGCTGGTTGCAGTGGACGCAGTGGGCGGGGGGCTGGTTGCAGTGGGCGGTGCCTGGTTGCAGTGGGCGGGGCCTCATTGCAGTGGGCGGGGGGGGCTGGTTGCAGTGGGCGGGGGGCTGGTTGCAGTGGGTGGGGGGCGGGTTGCAGTGGGCGGGGTGTTGGTTGCAGTGGGCGGGGCTGGTTGCAGTGGGGCGGGGCCTGGTTGCAGTGGGCGGGGCCTGGTTGCAGTGGGCGGGGCCTGGTTGCAGTGGGCGGGGCCTGGTTGCAGTGGGCGGAAGGGGATGGTTGCAGTGGGCGGGGCTGGTTGCAGTGGCGGGGCCTGGTTGCAGTGGGCGGGGCCTGGTGGCAGTGGGCGGAACTGTTTGCAGTGGGCGGGGCCTGGTTGCAGTGGGGCGGGGCCTGGTTGCAGTGGGCGGGGCTGGTTGCAGTGGGCGGGGCCTGGTTGCAGTGGGCGGGCCTGGTTGCAGTGGGCGGGGCCTGGTTGCAGTGGGGCGGGGCCTGGTTGCAGTGGGCGGGGCTGGTTGCAGTGGGCGGGGCTGGTTGCAGTGGGCGGGGCTGGTTGCAGTGGGCAGGGGGGCTGGTTGCAATGGGCGGGGCCTGGTTGCAGTGGGCGGGGCCTAGTTGCAGTGGGCGGGGCCTGGATGCAGTGGGCGGGGGCTGGTTGCAGTGGGCGGGGCCTGGTTACAGTGGGGCGGGGCCTGGTTGCAGTGGGCGGGGCCTGGTTGCAGTGGGGCGGGGCCTGGGTGCAGTGGGCGGGGCCTGGTTGCAGTGGGGCGGGGCCTGGTTGCAGTGGGCGGGGCTGGTTGCAGTGGGGCGGGGCCTAGTTACAGTGGGCGGGGCTGGTTGCAGTGGGGCGGGGCCTGGTTGCAGTGGGCGGGGCCTGGTGGCAGTGGGCGGGGCCTGGTTGCAGTGGGCGGGGCCTGGCTGCAGTGGGCGGGGCCTGGGGACCAGCTGTTGGCCGCTGTGTTGCCCCGGAGTCAGTGACAGGGAGTGCAGGTGCGGGTGGGATGCGGCTGCTGGTACTCCCCGTGTTGCTCCTCTGCTCCCCGGGGTGGGCGGACACCTCCTCCTCCTCCTCCTCCGGCAGCTACTCCCGAGCCCGGTGCACCTCACGGTGTCTGGGGCTCCGCATCGCTCAGCTCAGCGGCTCCTTCAGAAACCTGCAGGTAAGAGGCAGGTGGGGGGTGCGGGGTGGCCCGGGGGGGGTGCGGGGTGGCCCGGGGGGGGTGCGGGGTGTCCCGGGGGGGGTGCGGGGTTGGGGGGTGTGCGGGGTTGGGGGGGTGTTGGGGTGCAGAGAAAGAGCAGATTAGGAACTAGGATGGAAGAGCTGAAACCCCTCCTTTAAAGTGGGAAGAAGATAGATTTCATCTCTCTACTCCCCCCCATCCTCCCCCATCCTCCCCCCCCCCCCCAAAAAAAAAAAGAAGTAACCCCCCACAACAACCAGGGAAGCACTTTACAAAGTTCTCTGAAAACTTTGCATAACTTTTTTTATTGCACACACACACACACCCACACACACACACACACACACACACCCACACACACACACACACACCCACACACACACACACACCCACACTCGCACCCACACACACACACCCACACCCACACACACACACACACCCACACCCACACACACACACACACCCACACACACACGAAGAAAAAAGTCAGAAAGTTTTTTCCCCGGAAAGTTATCATCGCTTTAGGAAGTTTTTCCGAAGATCTGCACTTCTTTGCAGCTTTCACACCTTCCCCGGTAGGTCGGTGTTTGGTGCAGAAAGTGTTTGAAACGGGTGTGCAATGTAACCCCTGACGGAGATCGAATTAAAAAAACGTTTTAAAGCATTAAAAAAAATTCAGGTCCCGACAGATAGTTTGATGTTTATATTCTTGAGATTTTTTGCAAAGAAAAAAAGAGTCACAAGACTTTGTGAACATTTGGAGAGAAATTCCTTTGCACGAAAGCAAATGTCTGGGAATGCTCTGCGTACAATTAACACATGTCATTTTATTAACAGTATAGTATTACAGGAAATAAATAGAGCTTTTATACAGTTGCACTGTTTTTTTTTGTAGCAATTTCTGCATCAAAGTAACGCAGCACAAAAGATGCAATGGGTTATCCGAGCTCCTCACTCGTCCAAACTCAACCAGGATCTGTCCTGAGCTTTGTTTGAATATATATTCCACTCACAAACATAATTGCCGACTCCTATTCCCTGGTGGGGTGTGCAGACAGTGACAGAAAACACCCCCAATCCGACAAACGTGATCCTGTGCAATATCAGTGTTCGCGTTCAAGCTTTTTGTTCCAGTGAGTAAGTTCTCAGGGAAATTCATCTAACATCACATTGCCCATTTTTCTTGTTTCTTGGACTTGAAAAGTTGCTGATGTAAATCGCTGTTGAATTATTAGTGGAATTATTAGTGGAAAGCTCAATCCCCTCTCCTAATCACCTGTTGTACAGCCAGTATTTAAACAGGATTGTTTCCTGCAGATGAGTCTTATCGATTCTCTGAACTGCTGTGAGAATTAAACATAATTCAGCCAATGTTGGAAATTCAACAAACTTATTTTTAATATTTTAATCTGACGATTGAACTTCGATTCTGTTTCGGGTCCAAATCCCTGACTGGGCAGCGTCTTGGGACGTCCTCCCGGCGTTGATAGGCGTTATATAAATGTAACGCGTTGCTCTTGGTTTGGAGGTGCAGATTTTTATTCAATCCTACTTTACCTGTGTGCGTGAAAAAAAACACTCATTATTTTTCTGTTACAACCAGTGTATAGGTTGGTCAGAGTTTCTGGCGCTGGATTGCAGGAACAGATGCCCCCTTTATGCTGATGGTAGAGAAGCAACATCTCTTCCACAGTGAGCAAATACATTGGTTCTGGACCTGCGCCTTCTCTGATACCTTGTGTTATAATGCTTAATGTTATTACAGAGCTGAATGGCTCTTTGATGTGCTGTGAGCGAGAATCTAGGTCGTGAGGCGTGATCTGCAAGTGGATGGTGCTGGAGCTTTTGTTGCTGAGAGAACTTTATGGAGGATTCCGCAGCCCATCAATTTGTTCCCCCTGCAGTAATAAAAGCTGTGACTGTAATTCTATGTGGCCACACCTCAGAAGCAATCACTCTAAAACATCCAGAAGGTTTTGCGTGCATCAAACACTCCCGTGATAGACATGGTACGGTTTTGAAGCAGGTTTAAAGCTCTCTCTGCGTAATGCCGCATCCTTCACCTAAAGCTACACAAGTGCTGTTTGAATTTCCCACACCATCCACCCTTAAAGTCTCTGCGAGTGAGACCTACAAATTAGTGCCAATTTACGAGCAGTTCTGAGCTGTGCACTCTGGCCCACTAGGAATTGGGTTGAGACTGTTTAAAGTCTTTGAAAAGGAGCAACATTCAGCAGATTGATCTGGGCTGGATTCAAACCAGGCCCCTGAGGTGAAAGCAGAGCAGACTAACCCACTGCCAAACTTCAGTTCATCGGAAAACATTCATTTAGTTTGTACTCGTGACAACCTAAATCGTGAGGGGGGAGAGTGACGATTAAATTGTTGCTTTATTCTCAATTCTGAACAGTTTGTTTTCTTTATAATGTCTTTTCATGATTGTGGTTATTTTGAATAGCCACCATGCAACAGTCTGGGAGGGTACAGTATGGGCACAGCTGCAGTGGTTCTGTCTGCGTCTGTTGCTGTTTCTGTGCCATTAACTTTCATAACTGACCTACAACAACAACAAGATTGTATTTATAGAATCTAGAGCATTTGTCCTAAGTGGAGTCCTTATCCCCTGAGCTATTGTACAGTTACCAGTCAAGAGTTTAACAATTACCCTACATTAAGCTTTCTACATAGATGAGATCTCTGTTTAATATCTCAACTGAAGGATGTTAATAATAATAATACTTGCATTTGATATAGTGCCTTATTACTTTGTTGAGACGCCTCAAAGCGCTTCACAGAATATACTGTGAAGTGAATTGACTGTGTATTTTGTGGGCGAAACAGTGCAGCTGCCTGAGCACTGAGCAGGAGTCGTGACAAGTAGAAATTATCGAGACACCTGGTTAAGAGTGTCAAAGGTGTTTAGTGCAAGGTTAATAATAATAATAATAGTAATCCTTGCATTTGATATAGCGCTTTTCACGTCGGGAGGACATCCCAAAGCGCTTCACAGAAGATACTATAAAGTGAATTGATTGTACATTTGTGGGTGAACGCGGCAGCCAATTGCACACAGCAATGTCCCACAAACAGTTGTAGATTGAAAATGACCAATTTATTATTGTTGATGTGAGTAGGAGAAAAGGTGAGCCAAATGTGAGAATTAGGTGATGCTAAGCCTGGGGTTTGAAAGGTTGTGGGAAAAAATAAGTTTGCGAATCATTGCTCCATGACCTATGCAATCATTCACCACCTGATTCAATGAAAACAAATGTGTTTTGCACCAAAGGGATCAAGTGTCTAAAATGTATATAGCTTGGCAGTAGCTTGATTATGTTTAGTCTGTCATTGAAGAGTGAGGCTGGATGTTTGTTACAGTGCATAATCAGATTGGGAATTCTATTCAAGGGATGGGTTTGGTCTATCGGGATTCGGTGCTTGCTCAGTGATGTGAAACTGGTTGCACTTCCAGTCAAGTGGTTCAGCGTTTGTATGTTAGACTTGTTCTGGGTTAAAGCTGCTGTTGCCATGATGATTCTGTGCTGATGTGAATGCTGATGCAGTATAATTTTTCATCAGAGAAGATGACAAACCAAGGTTCACTCCATCTTTTCATATTAACTTTCAGCTCATGAAAAAGACAAGTTGCCTTCTTTTGACCAACAATCTCCCAGGTAACATTGGTCATTCGCACCATGGCTAACTGTGGGGATTTGCTGTGCACAAACTAACGCATTTGCCTACAAAATATGCACCAACCACATTACTCAACAATTCCTTCTGATGCACGTTTGAACTGCTTTGATGTTGTCATTGTACTAAATGCAAGGATTATTATTATCATTCATATGCATTCTTAGATAAAATGGAATATAAGCTTCTCGGCCCTGCTGAGAGAAAAATCACAGAGGAATAGCCAACTGGTGGATTTGCACAAACTTTACCCTGTGTGAAGGCTGCTAAATAAATGCAAGGGGGTGGTGGTGTTGTACTGGAGAGATTTTATTTCACTTCCATTGTTAAAAAGATTAGGAGCAAGAATCCAGATTTAAATGTCCTGCTTTGAAATCAGGCCTGAGGACAGCTCTGCTAACTGGTGCCAAACACTGGCTATGGTTAATGTTATTAAGAAGCCGGTCGCGTGACCAACTGTGCCAGACTCCTAAACATTTGGAAGGTTTAGGACAGTCCCATGGACCACCCAAGAACTTTGAAAGTAAATTGTTTTAAAATTGTTGCAGCATAAACAGGATTTATGCTACAGCCAGTGCATCATTTTCATTCCTCAACAGTAAATCAGCACTTTTATTGTCGGTGCGTCATGAGAATAGATTTGAAACCACCCCAACTGTGCAGTATAACCAGGCATAAGATATATATGAAACCCATCTTCCAAATTATCCAGGAGCAGCCAGATGTTGGCTTTGATTTGAACTTCGCCTATTCCCAGTCTGTGAACTATACCATATAATGTTATCCATATAAAGCAAGAGACTACAACTACCTCCCAAATTGATTTTAATGTTTCCTGTTAGTAGACCCTACTCCCTGCACAGTGCTAAAGAAGAATCAGTTCCATTTATCTGAAACCTGTGCCTGGGACCTCTAAACCTTTGGCATCAGAGCAACTGTAATATCTAAAAGCAACGCTGGAGCCTATCTTAATACCTGCTGCTGTTCTGCTCTGTCAGTAATATGACATATGATATGATTCCTCTGGTGCAAGGTCTATAGAGACATCACCTTTGCCTAGTACAGCACAGTATGTTGATATCGGAGGTGCATGTGTTTCGTGATGCTTTATTGGCCAGACCCTCTTGAAAAACCCACTAAGGAACTTGGAATAAATCCTCTTTCGTGCTGTTTTTAATAAAACATAGAATGTCTCAGAATCCATCTCTTTCTCTTATTAATACTGTCACATTAGTTTTGAGACCTGGTTCTCTAACTTTGTTAAGATGCCCAATCAGTAAACCTTGCCA